CTGTATAATCAAACATGGGCTACAGCCCATTTTAGGACCCACTCTGTAGCAGTGATGCCACTATTGCATCTCTTCAATGCTGTCTAGAGGAGTTTGTTCTGAGTGGTGAAGGTCTGTCCTATGACTTTGGGTGGGTTATATATGGATGCAAGGATGTGATTGCACTAATTTACCTGAAGCTCTCTCTCAGTGTGTTCAAAAACAGTTACCAGGATATCAATTGGAACTGCTTTGCAGGGGTGAAGCAAGTGGGCATAAGGTTTATATGGACCTAGTTGTTCCTCAAAAGCAGGGCACAAAAAGTGATGTTCAAAGATTCTTGTTGCACCCCATAGTCACTAGCCTATGACAGTGGTTTTCAACCAGTGTGCTGCGGCACCCTGGGGTGCCTTGAATGATAGTTGGGATGCCACGGGAAACACTAGCCTCTGTTCATCTTTCCTTTCTTCCCTCCCTCCTCTGATGCCCTCGTGTCTCTGCTTCCCAAAGGCTTGCACAGCTGCTTGTTGCAGCAGCCCTGGCTACAAGCTTCCCAGACAAATTATGCCTCTGGGGCTGGCCAGGGGGTGCTGGTTGCCAGGAACTCAGAGACCAGGGGTGGCTGCGGCGGCTGCCTGGAGGACTCCCAAGGGGAAGGGAGAGGAGAGGAGGCTTAGGGAACACTCCACAAAGGTGTTTGAAAAAGGGCAAGAGGCTGCCAGCCTGGCAGGCAAGGGGTGACATAACTGGGTTCCTGAGCCCTACAGGGGTGCCGCAGAAAGAATGTAGTTGATCAAGGGAGCAATGGACTCAAAAAGGTTGAAAACCTTTGGCCTATGAGGTGCCTTCTTGTCCCTCATGATTTTTAACGTCTACATGAAACTACAGCATAAGATTATCCAGAGTTTCAGCTGAAATATCAGCACAATGCTCATATGCTAATTTTCATCAGATTGTAAGGAGGAAGTGAAAACCCTGAATCGAGGTCTGGGGGATGAGAAAACAAGGGAAATAATCAAGTAGAATCAGCATCACTGAATTCAATGGAGCTTACTCACAGGTAAACTATGCATAAGATTGCTCTTATGCCACTTAACTGATCATGGATATGAACCCAGACCTCCCTGGTCAAATTCCAACATGCTGACTACTAAACCACCCTTTAACAGCTCAGTAATCTGTGATTGTCCACTATTCCAGTATGCATAGGATCAACACATGTGTCTGCATTTGAGACCCGGCTTGAGGATATGGTTATGTGGGCTGCCATGGTGAGCTCTCCCTCTTCAAAGTGTACCATGACAGCACTGGTTTCTCCTGTCTCCCCTTTCTGGAAGGAAGGTTATTGCCCTCACCCAACTCATTCCAGCCAACATTGTTCACAGCTTTTACTGTTGAAAAATAAGCCTGCTTTCAGAGAATTTGGCATCCTGAAGCAAAAGGTAATTACTTGATTACTAAGGCAGAAGCTATAAACCAATCCATTATTGCATCCACAGTTTATGTTAACAGTGTTAAAGGTAAAGGTACCCCTGACCATTAGGTCCAGTTGTGACCGACTCTGGGGTTGCGGCGCTCATCTCGCTTTATTGGCCGAGGGAGCTGGCGTACAGCTTCCGGGTCATGTGGCCAGCATGACTAAGCCGCTTCTGGCAAACCGGAGCAGCGCACGGAAATGCCGTTTACCTTCCCGCTGGAGCGGTACCTATTTATCTACTTGCACTGTGACGTGCTTTTGAACTGCTATGTTGGCAGGAGCAGGAACCGAGCAATGGGAGCTCACCCCGTTGCAGGGATTCGAACCGTCGACCTTCTGATCGGCAAGCCCTAGGCTCTGTGGTTTAACCCACAGTGCCAGCCTTGTCCCAAAGGAATCATCCCTGGGTGGGCACAACCCAGCAAAATGTATTTAACAGCCCCAAGATATCAGCCATCAGTAAGAGGCGTGTCTATCATTGTTGATTTTTAGAGCTAGAAGCAGTGCTTTTTTCTTTTAAAAATGTTTAGGGGTACTCTCAAGAAAATCACCATTTTATAATTCAAATTGGGAAAAGTAAATACAGTATATGGACAAAAATACAAAGATTCACAAAATGTTTAGGGGTATCCTGCTTCCCCCCAGAAAAAAACACTGGATAGAAGGGACCTTAGAAGTCATTCAGTCCAACCACTTGTTCAGTACAGGACTCTCACAACTACAGCATCTCTGGCAACGCAACCTGTTTACATTCCTTCAGCAAAAAGGAGTGATTCTCTTGCATCAGGGAATAAGAAACACTGCAAAACACACACACAAAAAACACCCCTCTACACAGTATACAAACTGTATTGAAATATACTCACTTTCTTCTTGAGATGTAAGGCCTCAGTCTTAAGGAGCTCTACCAGAGAGCCTTCTGGCTCCCCCTGTTCTTCCTCAGTGGGTGGCTGCTCATCAACAGAGGATTCCATGGGAGTGGGGCTTTCTGCCCTTTGTTCAACCCCAAGTTCCATCTCCAGCACGGAAGTCAATTTTGCATCTCACTTTTCTGCAAATAAAACAAGCATTCCCTGTAATATTATCTAATGGAAATCCATAGTTGATTCAGAGGAAGGGTTATGGTGGGTAATGATGAGCAAAAGCTGCCAGTTAATGGAGGAATCCTTTGGAGGTCAACCAGCCAAAGGCCAGTTGAAGAAGAATGTTTTCACCTGGTGCCTAAATGTGTATAATGAAGGCATTAGCTGAACCTCACTGGGAAGAAAATTCCACAAATGAGGAGCCACTGCAGAAAAGGCCCGTTCTCGTGTTGCCACCCTCTGGACCTCACCTCTGTGGAGGAGGCACACAAATAGGGACCTCAGATGATGATCACGGGGTCCGGGTAGGTTCATATGGGGAGGGGCGGTCCTTGAGGCACTGCAGTCCTGAGCTGTTTAAGGCTTTATAGGTCAAACCCAGCACTTTGAATTGGACATGAAAACTAATCGGCAGCCAGCGCAGTCGGGCCAGGATTGGAGTAATATGCTCAAAACGTTGTGCCCCAGTGGTTGCCAAATTCTGCACTAGCTTAAGTTTCCAAACATCTGAAGACGCAGCCCTACATATAACATGTTGCAGTACTGTAATCTAACCTAAATGTTACCAGAGCATAAACAGTAGTTAGGCTAGCCCTGTCCGGATAGGAGTGCAGCTGAGCCACCAGCCAAAGCTGATGGGAGGCACTCAGTGCCACTGAGGCCACCTGAGTCTCAAGTGACAGCAATGGATCCAGAAGTATATTCAAGATGCATACCTGCTCCTTCAGAGGGCGTGTAACCCCATCAAGAGCAGGCAACCGCCCATCCAAACAGTATAGGGAACCACCCACTAACAGTGCCTCTGTCTTACCTGGATTGAACTTCAGTTTCTTGGCTCTCAGACAATTACCAAGGCAAGTCAATGGTCCAGCACATCCATTGCCTCTCCACCTCACCTGTAGATGTAAAGGGGAAGCAGAGCTGTGTCAGCAGCATATTGCTGACAACGTACTCCAAAACTCTAGATAATTCACTCAGAGGTTTCATGTAGCTTTTAAACAGGATAGGGGATAAAATCAAGCCCTGAGGAACCCCACAGGTAAGATCCTGTGGTTCAGGTTTGAACAGCAACAGTACAGAGTTAGAAGTACTGTACTGTATTCACAAAGAAACCAAAGACTGGAACTGAGGGAAGTTGGGGGTGGGGGGTTGTGTGGGAGGGTGGGGGGAGGGAGGAAAATGGGGGGAAATTATGGATGACATGTTTTTGGATAATATGTTTTATTTAAATCTTTAATAAAAAATATAAAAAAGAAGTACTGTACTGTAGTAAATAAAGCTTTCCAGCTGACCAGAAAAAAAGAAAAAAAAGAAAGGAAAGTAAAATGTGTCTCCTTGTGGCTAGGCAAGAATATTGTCTTTGACCAACTGCTCCCTTGGGCTTGCTTGACCACAAGATGGTGCACAAGAGCCTGGATCAGTGAGGCACACTAAAAGACTTATGGGCTCAAGTGACTGGAACAGATCCTATAGTTAGGATAGCACAGGATTCATTTGATTATTGAATGTAGCCTGTAGGACTGCAAAGGCCATAGTTTAAACTATCACCTGAGTTGCACAGATCAAGAATGGTGACTGCCAAAAAAAAGAGACACCTTAGTCCATGCTTTAAAATCCTATGAGACAAGTCTAGTGCTGGGATTTGATCTAGGTTTCCCTCCAACAGGACTATGACGGAGGAGCATTTTCTATCAGATCCCTAATTACAGCAGTTAGTGCAGGCATCCCCAACCTCAGCCCTCCAGATGTTTTGGGACTACAACTCCCATCATCCCTGACCACTGGTCCTGTTAGCTAAGGATGATGGGCATTGTAGTCCCAAAACATCTGGAGGACCGAGGCTGGGGGTGCCTGAGTTAGGTTAATTTCTAACAAACCTACCTAAGTTTGGGGTGAAACTAGGATTTATTTCACCTGGGTCAAAAACCCAATTTGGCACACACACCCGCATGCATATTTGCATACACACACACATACAGAGGCTGACGACCTCAATTGTGCCCCTCTGGAGGCTTCACGCAGAGCAAAAAACCCAGCTAGCTCCCCTTGTCTCTCCCCCCCCGCCCCCTCTAGCTACGGCACTGCCTATGCACAGCTCTTGAGAAGCTGTGAATACCTATCTTAATCAAGGACAGACCAATTCAATCATACCAAAGATCTCTTTTTAAAGCCTGATCTCATGTGCAAAGTCCTCACAATTCTGCCATGAGGAGAGAGGCAGCCACTCCACCCAGTAAGGCAGCATGTCAGCAGATGGCACATTCCCAGCACAATGTCAGGTAATACTTCACCTGACGAATTTGGGCCTGCCATGTAGTTGTTGAGGCACTCAGCAATGTCACCTGGCTTCCAAGACCAAAGGGCTACTGTGGCATAAGCCCAGCAGGGATGAACTGTGGCTTCCTTCTCCAACCAGCAGCCCTAGCGACACAAGGAGACATCTTCCCCATTTGGAGAGGGGCGGCCATAGCTCAGGGGCAGAGTATCTGCTTTGCAGGCAGAAGATCCCAGGTTCAATCCCAAGCGGAGGGCTAGGAATGTCTCTGCCTGACATCTTGGGAATGCTGCTGCCGCCACTCAGTTTGGGCAATATATTGAGATAGAATGACCTGACTTGGTGCCAGGAGGCTTCCTTTATTCTGATTTGCAAAGCTCCCAGTCCCAGAAAAGCAACCGCACAAGAACTATTTCAAAAGAAGCTATTTATGTATGCCACAACAGCGGCTAGGATTTTAGTAGCCCCAAAATGGAAAGAAAATAAGATACCAACGAAAAAAGAATGGCAAGTTAAACTTACGAAATAAATATGCAGAAATGGCAAAACTCACGGGAAGACTTAGAGATAAAGACAATAGAGACTTTAAGAAAGACTGGGAATCGTTTACGCTTTATTTACAGAAACATTGTTAAGAAATGGACTCACTGGCAGGGTTTGAGTAAACACAATTAAGAAAACAAGAGCAAAGGTTAAGAAATAACAATATGGAAATTAATTAAATGTAAGATGTAATTGAAAGAAAACTTGGTATAAATACGGTAAGAATGTAAGAGCACTTAGACAAAAGATGGAAGGTAAGACAAAATTTGCTCAGAAGTAGCAAACAGTTAAAGAACCAGAAGGGGAATTTGAGGGAAGTCAGGGGGGAGGTCTGTTTTACTGTATTTTTTCCCCGTTTACATGATAAAGGTGTTGAATATCAAACTGTAAAATTCAATAAAATTTATTACAAAAAAAGAGAACTATTTCAACCCCTAGACCCAAGACCTACATACGGTACTTACTGAGATCATCCATGAAGTACTGTATCTTTCCCGTTTAAGACGGAAAGTAGCCTAGCTAAACTCATCGTCCATAGTACTGTAACATACAAAGGAGCCATTTGAGACTCAGGAAAACTAAAGCCCCCACTCCCCAACCCCAACTACCTGTCCCGTAAGTAAAGCGGCATTGCAAAGCCCGCCACCTCCCCTCCGCTTGGAGGAGCCCTTGCTGGTGTTGTCCTCTCCATCCCCACAAAAAGGGCCAGAAAACAAAGCCGAGTTCCATAACAAGAGCCTGCAAAACGTTTGGCGCGATGAAGGACAAGAGCCACCCTCGACCCCACCCAAAAGACCAGCGTCGTAACCGAGGAGCAACAATCGTCGTTAGACGCTGCGAAACGAATTCCCTCCAGCGACGAATCTCCCGCCCTTGGCGCGCTACCCACCTCAGGAAAAAGTGGGTCCCATTCACAGCTCGACGGGACGACCGCTTCCCCCAAGCCTGCTCTGCTTCGACAGAAACGCCTCAGGCAGAAGTAGAAAATAAGGCGCGCCTTGCTCGTGTGCAGGACTCGGTTTCGCTTTCGTTGCCTCGAGGCAGCCCCTCTTTCCTGTCAGGCCATCAAGACATAGCCTGCGGGAAGAAACTCGGAATTTCTCTGTCCTTCGGCGAACTTCTTCTTTGCATCGCTTCATTTGCAAAGCAAGAGGTGGGGAAGGCTCCGGAGTTCCTGGGAGCCCGACCATACGAGTGCGTTTCTGTCTGGTTGCATTGCATTTCCAAAAGACAATTTAAAACTAAAGGTGATGGGGAGCAGCTGCTCACTCAGTGGTCTTTACAGGAACCAAATGGCCAAACGTAAATAAATGCTTAGCATTCATATGGCGGTCTTCCTAAGCATAGCTGTCAATTTCCCCCCCTTTTTAAGGGAAATTCCCTTATTCTGAATAGGATTTCTCGCAAGAAAAGGGAAAAGTTGACAGCTATGTTCCTAAGGTGTTCACATTTCTGTGGCATTTGTGACCTTGCATGGTAGGCCATTTCTGTTTCCCCAGTGGAGGAAGTCTGTGAGAGAGACTTGGAGAGAGAAACCCCTGCAGTCAAACTCCACTGTGTCCTCACCACTCTCACGTTTCCAGCTGCTCCACTACAGTACCTGGATAGAGAATGTGTTTGTTTTAATTATCTTGGGAACTGCTAATGCTGAAATAAATGCTAGGTCTGCCTAGTTAAAACACAGAAATTTTTGAACACAGAAGAAATATCAGTAGCTGACAAGAGCATGCAGGAGAAATTCTAAATTAGGGGATGAAGCCTCAGATCACCTCAGAATGAAAAGGTGTGCAAGGACACAAAGTTTATGTAAAGGCTTAATCCTATTAATCTGTATAGGTAAGACTTGGGAAGAATGCCTCATGTATCAAAACAGGCACAGGTGGTAATTCTGACAACTATCACAGGCAGGTTAATAGATAAAAAAATTATTAAGAAGGCAACCAATACAGGCTGTAGCCAAACAGTAGTGTATTGTTTCAGGCCGTGCTGTTTTGGGACTACAATTCCCATCATCCCTGACCACTGGTCCTTTTAGCTAGGGATAGATTTTACTTTCTTGGGCTCCATGATCACTGCAGATGGTGACAGCAGCCATGAAATTAAGAGACGCCTGCTTCTTGGCATAAAAGCAATGACAAACCTAGACAGCATCTTAAAAAGCAGAGACATCACCTTGCCAACAAAGGTCCATATAGTTAAAGCTATGGTTTTCCCAGTAGTGATGTATGGAAGTGAGAGCTGGACCATAAAGAAGGCTGACCGCCGTAGAATTGATGCTTTTGAATTATGGTGCTGGAGGAGACTCTTGAGAGTCCCATGGACTGCAAGAAGTTCAAATCTATCCATTCTGAAGGAAATCAGCCCTGAGTGCTCACTGGAAGGACAGATCCTGAAGCTGAGACTCTAATACTTTGGCCACCTCATGAGAAGAGAAGACTCCCTGGAAAAGACCCTGATGTTGGGAAAGATGGAGGGCACAAGGAGAATGGGACGACAGAGTACGAGATGGTTGGATAGTGTTCTCGAAGCTACCAGCATGAGTTTGACTAAACTGTGGGAGGCAGTGGAAGACAGAAGTGCCTGGCGTGCTCTGGTCCATGGGGTCACGAAGAGTCGGACACGACTAAACAACAACAAAATGGGAGTTGTAGTCTCCAAACAGCTGGAGGGCCAAGTTTGGCCATGCCTGACATAGAGGGTGTACAGATCTTACAGCATGGTCATCTTAAGAGGGGCTTGTTCTCCATAGCAGTGGAGTCAAAGGAATCTCTCGCCACCTGCCTTCAGCCAGCCAGCCAAGATCACTCTGCCTTTTTCAGCTATCTGAAATCTTGTGCCAAAGGCCCCAAAACGTCTTGTGACATCACACTTGTACCCTGGCAGCCTTCCAAATCCTGTCTCTGTTCATACCTCAGGGCAGAGGGATGGGGTTTTCTTGCATTGCCAGTGGCCCTGTATTGTTTCTTAGCTTGGCCAGGTCATGCTGCATAGGCTAGCCCAAGAATTCCCCTGTAGCTTGTATTCTCCCTTTGTATCCCATATAATCAAAATCCTACCATTTGTTAATTTCTAGGGGGAGGGGTTGGGGGGGTTCCGCACCAGCCTATAGAACCATGCACATAAAGGCTGGATAATATAAATCAACATCTATGTATACTCACACTCTTAGGTAATATGAAAAAAATTAATACAATGGAACAATAATGAATTGTTTTTACGTTTCACTTTATGCTTCGCTTAGTCACTTCCTCATTGTGCAGGGTTGTAACTATTATCTGAAACTCCCTGCTTAAGTTTCGTTTTATTGAAAGTCACAAGGATTCCTAATTCCTGCAAACTGAAAATGGAAACTATTTTTCAAAACAACTGCCGTGCAGAGGTCTCAGGCACAGCAGGAGGTACATGAAGATCCTCTTCCGACTGCTCTTGGGAAGGGTTTAATTAGAATGTTTTTTCCAAGGACTTCTAGCTACTGTTCTTTGCATTGCTGCTGCCACCAGAAAAAGCCAAAATGAAGACCACAGAACACTGAGCTAGCCCAAGTGAAATCTGTGTGTCCCTCTTATGTTGCAGTTCTCAGCCCATAAAGATCAGAGTGATGCTCAGACCAACATTACCACCAAGAAGACCAGTTCACATGGGTGCAATCCACAACAATACTGAGCAGTGGAGATGCTGAAGGCAAGCTGTGTACTCAATTAAGTTGTAGCTATTTTTGCCAATAGAATTCTAGTTAGGACCAACTGGTCAGATTTCAAGCCCTGACCCAAGAGATCAAACTTCTGAAAACCCATGAGCTAAACTGCCTTCTCTCAGCTTGGAGTCTCTCCTGCAACACATTGGTGAGCTCCAGTGGACCATTCGGAAGTCACAGTGGTGGGAAGAAGAAATTACTCTTAAAACTTGCACTGTTCTTTCCCTAGTGAAAGATTAGAGCTACACTCTGGTTCCTCATTCCACTTGCAATGCTGCCAATGGAAGCACCAATCATAGTGTGTTATGTCAGCTTAGTGGCCAATAAAACCCATGGGGATGTTATAGCTATGTGGGAGAGGATAATCCTTGAATCTTTATGGATCACACACAACTGAAATACTCCTAGTTCACGATGTACACCACAGAGACGGGTCTCATTCACCCTAGCATATTTCCATTTTTTAAAAAGTGCTTTATTTTCTTAATTCCCTTTCCTTATTAGTGTTCCCTTAAGTATGCCACTCAAATCCAATGTACATTAGAAATTATCAAAGGTAACCATCCTTCAATCTAGAAGCCCCAAGATCCCATGGTTATTTCAATTCTGCTGCCCCAGAGTTCTGAAACAATGGGTGACCTTGTGCTTTTTTCTTTTTACAGATTCAGGGTTTTATACACCTGAAGGAGGTAAAGAGGTTACTATTCTTCACACTGAACAGTCCCGGAGTGTGAGCAACTTCTGAATTCAAGTTGTGTGATGTCTGAAAATGCACGAATAAGGGTACAGAACATCTGCCCCCCTAATGTTCGCGCTCCACAATGTTCATGGCCCGCAAGCTTCACTGTCAAGCCTAGGTCACTTCTATTGTTTGGTCACAGGCATCTATTACTTCTGTATCCTCACTGGATGATCCCAGATGTTGGCAGTATGCTGTCGCTGCCATCCAACAAGGCTTCACCGACATGGCTCAGTTCCTCTTCAAGGCTCTTCTCTGCAGAAAAGACAAAAGCGGGGAAAGATGCATTTTGTTAAGACTGTGATTCATTTTATGTTTTAACAAGTCAAATCCCACCTGTGATTTTAAAAAAGAGAAATGGGGGATGAGGTTCCATGAAGACCAACAAGACATTCCTTCAAAAGGCTTAATGCTTGAGGGAAAGTGCAGAAGCAAGGGAATGATGTTGGCCAGAGGTTACAGCCTTCCCTCATGGGATGAAAGCCATGATAAAGGAAAAGTGAGACTAGCTATATTCATCAGAGATTAAAGAGATGCAGGGATCCCCATTCCACCTCCCACCAGAAGGAACTCTGCCCCAAACGCCCATTGTCTTGGTGCTGCAGAAGGAAGCAGGTGGTCTTTCCGACCTTTGCCACTGGCCACAGGACTAAGAGGCACCAGGTAGTTCCAGGACACCAACCACCTTTACAAGGACACTGGCTCAAGATGGCCATCGCCCCAGCTGGATAGAAATGCCTGACACTGCTCACCTGCATCCTTCAGGTTGGGGAAATGATGGAATCCTTCCAGACCAGCAGCCAGGAAGACTTGGAGAACCTGTGTCTGTGGAAAGGAATGATAAGGAAGAATTGGTCAGTCATATTCCAACTTGTCCCAAAGCATTCAGGGGAGCCCCTGAAGATCTCAAAGACCAGAAGGACCCTGGATGGATGGAAATAGTCCACTGCTCAAAGGCAGAGTTACATCCAAGCTTTTATATGTCCTGACCCTTACATCTCTGGTTAAAAGGATCCTCTGGCTGATATTTATGGAACACATTGATCCAGGCACAATAGACCCCCCCCTTTTTTTTTTTAAATGGGTGGGCTGTACTTAAAGGAAGATGTTGGATGCTTCATGTTTTTAGAAACTTACTGTAGAATCAGGTAACTGGTTAATTTAACCTAGTGCTGTCTACTCTGAATGGCAGCAACTCTCCAAGGTCTCAAGCTAAGCTCCCAATATCCTTTAAAGAGACAGAGACAGACAGACAGACAGACAGATGCCAGGGATTGAACCTGGTACTTGCTACATGCAAAGCAACAAACTCTACTGCTAAACAGTGCCCATCCCCTAAATGATGAGTACTGGGTCTTAAGCCTGCTCAGCTTGTTTCACAAAATCCAGCCACAGTGTGTGATTGCTCCTCTGAGGTTGCAGTTCTCCCCCACCTACCTGCAAGCCAATAAACACCAGAGAGAGTTTCCTATGCTGCAATTCCTGGAGCAGCTCAGACAGGCCCAGTACCGCTGTGTAATCAATGCTGCTGACGTGGGTGCAGTCCAGAATGATGTTGCACAGTCGAGACTCTGAAGGTAATCGAGAAACAGCGTGCTCAAGAAAGGGCGAACGCAGACAGGGCAGCTACTCATACCAAGAGAGTTCTGGCCGATGGTCAGTTTCAAGCCATGACCCCACTAACTACAAGCTTCTTTGACACTTGGGCTGCACTAGTCCTCCCCACAGCTGGTGTGTTAGGAGAAAACAGGATATCCTGAGACTTGGATCATTCCTCTTTATCTGGCAGCAGGTAGGAACTAAGTACCATTAACATATAGCACCATTAACAAATTCCTGCTTCCACCTTCACTACTGTCAAAATGCAGCATGGCAGGTTACTGGTGCCATGAACTCCCAGAACAGCTGGAATCCTAAAGTGCTGGTAGCCCCATGTTGCCTGCTTTATCACTTTGGGTCGAAGAGAGGCAAGTCAGAATTCTCCCACATTTGGAACAAGCTGTATCTCCCTATGCCAAATTACGAGAGGGTGGAGTTTGTTTCCTTACTGAAATTCATGGGTGGGGTGAGGGGCTCAAGCATAGACCTCACTTCTTTTTCCCCCAGAGGCACCCGTAGGGCCAGGAATATTAGTTCCTCTTGAACAGATCATCATCTCCTCAGAACAACACTTGTGTCCCTAAGGTGCAATTCTATGCAAATATTATTGCCCCAAGCGGTTTGGTCCTTTTGTTCAGATGGCAAGAGGCCTTTACTTCTGGAGCCAGTTCAATTCCTCACAGCCAGCACCACACCAGGAGCTTTCCGTTCTTCATTTTACCTGACTGAGTCCGTTTGCGCACTGTATCCCTCAGGAACTCAATGGCTGGGAAGTACAGGCCACCAGCAGGCTGTATAAATAGTGTCTCCTGCTCATGCTCCAGGACCTGCCAGAAAGTGCCGTGAGGAAAACAGGATGAGGCTTTGTTACTGTTCAGCAATTTCCCCCCTTCCTTTCTTGAAAGCCAAAGGAAACATGCCCCAGAGGCTCTCATAGCGAAGGGACGTGCAACACCTATTGCCTATATTAGATATTTCAGCCATATGGGAAAAAATGATTGGGAGATGAGGAGTGGGATATAAATGTATATTAAAAAATGCTGCCTTCTTCACTGTGCATTGCACAAGGCAACCACTCTCCAGTTTTACACTTCAAGAGGGTCACGAGCAAGTTGTAGCAATTGGATACAAAAGATGATTTATTTATTTGCTATTGCAGTATCTCAAATATTAGAGCTGTACTACAGTAAACCTGTTCTGTGTTTTATGGGTTTCCCTCCTAAGCTCTTGCATTCTGACTCAGTGGGATCATAACAAACCTTTATCCGTGGCCTGGCAATGGGGTATAGCAGGAGAATACCTGAGACCAGCACGCCTGCTATGATTCCATACTGCACCTCCCAGAAGCAGAAGAAGAAGGTTACACACAGCGGCACCAGGTCCAGCCCTGAGGGAGAAGGGGGAGGGGAATGACTATGTAGGACTCAGACTTTTCCAGTCCTGCAGCAAGATGGCTGCCGCAGAGCACAGTGAAGGAGAGAAAAGAACAGCAAAATAAAATTAATAATAATAATAATAATAATTTATTTATACCCTGCCCATCCAGCTGGGTTTCCCCAGCCTCTCTGTGCAGCTCCCAACAGAATATTAAAAACTTCCCTAAGCAGGGCTGCCTTCAGGTGTCTTCTAAAAGTCAGATAGTTGTTTATTTCCTTGACATCTGATGGGAGGGCGTTCCACAGGGCAGGTGCCACTACCGAGAAGGCCCTCTGCCTGGTTCCCTGTAACCTCACTTTTTGCAGTGAGGGAACTGCCAGAAGACCCTTGGAACTAGACCTCAGTGTCCGGGCTGAACACTGGGGGTGGAGATGCTCCTTCAGGTATACTGGGCCAAGGCCATTAAATAGTTGCTTCTTACCAACGAAGATGTCACCAAGAGATTTTACCTCATTAGTGATGGGGCTGAGGCAACTAGGAGGTCATATAATACAATGTTCTATTTAGACTTGTACCCTCTCCACCCCGCAACAATTCTAGACTCATAGAGATATACCATTAACCAAATCAGAGCCCAGAACCCATCCCATAACATAAAAATGGGCTAGACAGCTTTATTTCCTACCGGGAACCACATTCCCCTCAGGGCTAGTCTGTGAAGGGCTGCATGCTGGCAGTGGGTGGAGCCAGAGCCAGTGATTGGCAGAGCCAGGGGTAAATAGTCTTCTGGGTGAACTAATTCAAAATAAAGAACACCCCAATTCCATTTTCACTATGGTATACCTCAGACTGCAAGGGTTTGATGGGGTTAGTTTCAGCTAGCATATAGAGAATTTCATTTTATTTTTTAATCTGTGCTTCATCAAATAAGTGGTCTCTTTACATTCTTTTTGTCACGTTTCTGGACAAAGAGAAAAACATCAACAGGCAGTTTTGTGCTGATGAAAAGCTGGACATTAGTTCTGAAAGGAAAGTATAGCTATTTATTTCTGCTTTTGGAAACACACTAGACTTTGGTAGATACTCCATTTGTCCAGCAGATGCCAGCATCCTTTAAGTTGGTAACTTTCCATAACCAAGAAGATAATATTCTTTTGTTTAAATGTGAAAGGGACATCATAGAGAGATATTTCAAATTCAGGGGGTGCTACCATGGGAGATCATGGAGTGAGGAATATATGATTTCCCAGAAGTATCTATGAAACAGGATTCTCAATTCCTGTTCACAGAGCCAGAAAAGTTACAAGAATGAGGAAACATTCTCTGTTTTATATATTTACAACAACCTACGTTGCTCTGCTTCAGCGTTACTACTTGAAAGCAGCCTATCCAAGAACTCTGAACACCACATACAAAAATGCTCTAAGCATTTGAAAAGTTATGAATATCAACTCAAAACTCCTTAGATTTGCAGAACTCTAAATCTGCTGCTAAAACTGGGGGGGGGGGGAGGGCAGAGAAAAATAAGGTGTGGCTTTTAGTGCAAATTATTAAAAAATTAGAAAGTCAGAAAATTAAATTTATGAATGATACTTTTGTTAAAGTCATATGAACTGCACAGCACATTTTAAAGAATTCTAACCGGGTCCATTATTGTTAGGAAAACATTACAGGATCCCCGACTTTTCAGCTCTGGAAAGAAGAGGACACATTCATGCTCATACTTTTAACCTGCCATAACGTGTAGAAGATCCTGGCATCAAACATAGGAGCCACAGCACAGATGATGACAGCTGCCAGTGCAGCCTTGGGAATGTAGAAGAAGACAGAGGTAAGGAAGGCCAGAGACAGTAGCACCAGGACCCCTATGGAGCAAACAAGGAAAAGTGAGTAAACAAGGGTGGCATTAAAATAGCACAGTGAGCCCCTCAGAGTTCTGTATCCCCACTCAGATACAGCAGGCACAAAGACATCCTTCTAGCTCCTACCTGTGATTAGACCTCCGGCAGGAGTACAGACACCTGTCTGCGCATTCACTGCTGTCCTGCAACATAAACAAGCTTTGCGGTTACGAGAACAGAAAACAGCCCCTTCACTTTCCTAGACCCATTTAAGGGACTGTAGTCAGCCTAGAGACAACAAGAGCTAATGATTACCGTATTAGCCCGAATATAAGCCACACTCCCCCCCCCCCCCAATTCTGACCGTGGAAAGTTAAAGTGCGACTTAAATTTGCGACCTTACAAAAATTGCTGTGGTCAAACCACAGCAGCCCGTGAGGTAGAGGGTGGTGGGGAAGAATCTAAGAAGTGGGGCCACAAGTGAGCGGAGCAAGGCGGGCGTTGTACATGAGGGGAAAGAGATCAACTTCCCCTCATGAGCGGCCCAAGTTTGCTCTCCCCCTCCCTCCGTCTTTCTCTCCAGCGGTGCCTGGATGCCTTGAGCGTGTGAGAAAGTGGCCCAGACAGACACACACGTTTATATTCGGGTATTGTCTTTTTTTCTTTTTTCCCCTTGAATTTTAAATGTGTGGCTTATTTGCTGGTATGGCTTATATTGGGGAAAATACAGTACTTCACACACTGCCCCACACAAGCAAATACTTATTTATCAGTATGGATTATCCGCCCAGCTCTTTTGCAACAAGGGCATCTTTCTAGACACCACCGAGAGGGATGAACGGCTAGCAAACCTCGGATTCGGTCTCAAGCATTACCTGCAGCCTGCACTTCTCATTATTTATGTGAAGATGTTATATACTGTATTTTTCGCTCTATAAGACGCAGCAGACCATAAGACGCACCTAGTTTTTGGAGGAGGAAAACAAGAAAAAAAAATATTCTGAATCTCAGAAGCCAGAACAACAAGAGGGATCACTGTGCAGCGAAAGCAGCGATCCCTCTTGCTGTTCTGGCTTCTGGGATAGCTGCGCAGCCTGCATTCGCTCCATAGGACGCACACACATTTCCCCTTACTTTTTAGGAGGGAAAAAGTGAGTCTTATAGAGCAAAAAATACGGTACTCCACTTAAACTAACCCTAGTGGTCTCTTGAAATGGACTGCAATATACGTCAATAAAAAAACAAAATAAAACCCATACAGTAAAAACATAAAGGGAGCCCAAATTGCATATCCGTTATGCAAGTGGGAAAAATGAGTCCATAGCAAATGATTTTGCACACGCCCTTGCACTACTATTTCTGCACATGCAACCAGCACTACTATTTAAGCTGAGCCACTGGGCAGCTAAGTATCATCCACAATAGGAGCCACTCACCGGCCAAAGCTGCCTGTGACAGGAAAGGATGAAATGAAGGATCCTAGGAAGTTGGTGAAACCTGGAGGCCACAGAGGGAGAGAGGTTAAGGAACACAGGCAGAAAAGATGTGGAGTCCTGCTTCTTTGGCTTAGGGAAGAACCAGGAACGCTTCAAACAATATATGGAAATAAAGCCATTTTCCTGTATGGGAATTTCGGCTCTTCCTTCCCAGGCTCATCCCCAACTCCAAAGTGAAAGGGCTCAATCCCACCCAGCCAACAGCATCCAATCCGTTCGTGCAAAAATCTTACCCATGGCCAACAGCTCCTGGTTGGGGTCAATTTGGTAGTTATTTTGAGAGGCTAGAATGAAAAGGGAAATCGAGAACACACGTTAACACCGAGAAACCTAGAAATACTGGTGTTCTTAATGGGTAAAAGCTCCACAAGTCGCTGCAAATGTGGAACAAGAAATACAGGGCTGGAAAGGGGCCTGGATCCACCTAGCAGAAGCCAAATTGTGGTTTTCTGCTCCCTGCAATGTCTTTTCTACTGAGAGTTCTACTACCTGAACAAAGTTATTCTTTTTGCCTTTCTAGGTAAAGGAATCTTACTCAGGGAATATTTTTAGGTTAAGGAATTTCCCTAATTTTAATCCATGGATGGAAACCCGTGGTCCTCTGAACACTGTTGGATTTGAACTCCCGTAAACTCTGGGCAGCATGGCCAATGGTCAGGGATAATGGGATTTGTAGTTCAGTAACACCAAGACAGCCACAGGGTTTCCATCCCTGCTTTAATCCATGGTTCGGAAAGAGACAGAGAGAGTGAAGAACACCTAGGTGGGGATGGGATGCCATCTCACAGTGCCCACTGGATGGGACCCATGCAATCAGTTCTACTGGGGCAGTCAACCACAGCACTCCTCTCTGTGGGATTACCGTATATACTCAAGTATAAGCCGACCCAAATATAAGCCGAGACACCTAATTTTACCACAAAAAACTGGGGAAACTTACTAACTCGAGTATAAGCCGGTTCACCACACCACAAACCTCCTGGTGGGTCGGAATGCATGTGCGCGCATGCAGCAGAGGGGGCTTCTCTCTCCCCCCCAGCCCCTCCCGACCCCCTGCCTACTTAGGGTGCTGCCAAGAGGCAGAGGCTGGTGGCGGCAGTGGCAGAGGAAAGCAAAGGCAGGGGAGGAGGAAGGAGCAGCCTGAAAGAACAATCACTCGAGTATAAGCCGAGGGAGGATTTTCAGCATAAAAAATGTGCTGAAAAAGTCGGCTTATACTCGAGTATATACGGTATGTCAAATGGAAACAGGTAATTTCCACATCGCTGGGTGTTAAGGGGTCATTATTGGCTAGGTAACAAGTAGGAGATAATGTTGCAGCTAAATTTATCATCACTCCCTCCTCCCTACAAGCATACAGTCCTTAGAAGGCAACAGGTTTTCCCAAACCCAAATCCCATTAGCTGCCATGTGAATTTTCCCCTTGACTCAATGCCTAGAGAAGCTGAAAGATTTGAGGCCCCATACCAAAAGCTTTGGCAATAGCAACCGTCTCCAGAAGTCCCATCAGAGGCACCACAGCCAGACCAGCTCCCATTTTCTGTAACGGGGGAGAAAAGAGAGAGGATGGCTTAATTCTACTACAAAGGTCACTTGTGCCCAACAAATGAAGCTTGCAGCAAACATAGGATGGCATCTCAGTATTCTTACCATGGCATCTGATCAACAAACACTGGACAACACAGGAGTCTACCCGTAGTTCAGGCTATTCACTCAAAAACTACCAGTTTTAGACAGCTGCGTGCTTACCGTCAATTATGGTTTCCAAGGAAGGCACCGCCTCAGCACAAGAGAATGGGAAATAGTTTAATTCACATAAACTTTACCTAATAATTTTCTATTATTGTATATGAAATTTATAGGACACCTTTAAAACTCCTTCGATGTTGCCTCAACAACTCTGCGAGGCAGCTTATGCAAAGCAACGCAATAATCTTGTGGTTTATTTGCTTATTTATAGAGCTATTTATATAACACCATGTCATAAAAATATATCAAAGTGTTATACAACAATAACAATACCATACAATAAAAGCATAACAATTTAAAAACAAAGATCAGCTGATTCAGTCTGAATCATGTAACATACCATAGTATGGTAGGTCCAGGAAAGAATAAATTAGTTGCTTCCTTTCCATCATTTCCAGCGACCAGAATTAAAAGATTGAACACCTTCAAAGATCGCAAGAACTGAGCAGAGGAGTACAGTGCTAGCTTCCACCAGCACAGAGATGCACAAATGCAAAGGACTGCAGGCTTCATGTGCTGCTCAATTTAGTATAGGGACAGAAAGGATTACTTTCTCTGTGCACATGAAAATACCCAAAGAAAGAAAAGAAGAGCTGTAGAGCAATTCTATGTAGATTCCAAGCAACAACTCAAAAGGATTTTTTCTGGCTTTATAGGAGAGAGAGGATTGATTTGAATTTGAAGTAGATATTCAGATTAAATTCTTATATTTTGTTGTTGCTAGGAAGGGTTTTAAAAACCTATATTTATCTAAATACCTCTTCTTACCACATTCAGAGGATTGTGTTAAAATGTTGCTGTCAATTATTTCTTTCTAGCTGTATTCATAACTAAATTGGCTGTAGTTTTAATTGTAATTATTGTTGTGAACTGCCTTGGGGTTTTTGGGGGGGTGTTAACTACAAAACAGGGTGTTATATCGGCATATAAACCTATGGCAACAACTGAAATACCCACCTGCACCATCCCTCCAAAGGAGATGGTTCCATTGGGCGTGACCTCGGAGAACGGTGGCAGCTGGAAGGATGGGAGTCCCTGGGGCGTAACCCCTGTGAGGGTGAAGGGCTGGGAGCCTGTTACCTGGAAGGAGTAGGCCACGAGACCAGCAAACAGGACCACAAGAGCATTACGGACTGCAAGGAAGAGAGTGAGACTCTTATAGCAAAGCCGTCATCCACTACCCAACGGTGAGCATAAATGGTAGACATAGAGGATAGTTAAGGCCATAAGCAACAAGGGCAAATCTCTTATTAGGCCATGAATACACTCCTGCCTAACCATTTGGTGTAGAGACCCAATACATGAAGAGTGGGGGTTCCCCATGCTTAGATTACCACCAAGTTTTAATATCTGCGAGGTGGAGAGAGACCCCAAAGCGTATAGGCAGCTTCTGGTGACAGCTCCCATGTTTTTAAAAATTATGGAGAGAATTTGCAATATAAATTCGAAGGTAAATAAATTTTGTTTCTACAGTCTAAAAATGCAATTAGGAAAAACCTCAACTTTCTCATGAGGTTTAGAAGACCCTCTTGTATCCTCTATCTATCTTCTCCCCACCAATTCTCCAAACATTCTTTCTTAGTAATGCTCTTTCTCTCTCCACTGCCTACCTTTCCTGCAGCCTCTTTGATCCTTTGCTCTCACTCAGTTTATCTGCAGGACCACTTCTCAGCAGGGGCAGAGGAAAGGGTGCGGGTCACCCCGGGTGTTACAACTGAGAGGGGTGACAAAATGCTGGGTGGCACTCACTGCAGGGCCTGCAGTGTCTCTCCTGGGAGGCTTGGGCGCACGCAGGCTCCACACTGCCCAAACGGTCCGCCCGCTGCCTCCCCCCCCCCCGCTGTACGGCAGCTAAGTGGGAGGAGGCAAGCAGACTCCAGAGGCCCCGCGGTGTGCCCCGCTCCTATGGGCAGCTCACTCCGCCCCAGGTGCCTGAACGGCTTCCTCCACCGCAGCTTCTCAGTACTCAGCCATCCTTCATGTGAGATTTTTAAATCCAGCCAAACTGACAATACTCCCTTCCCTCGCAGGACTGCAACCTATTTTTTATTTCCTAAGCAACTAAACCACTCTTAGCCATCGCACCACTTTACACAATTGGGTAAAGTCAAGACACTTTACCAATGAAAAAATAAGACAGATAATTCAACATACATTACAGCACACCAAGCTGTGAAAGCAAAGTGCTAAAAAAGCCTAGCTAGTAGGGTGGGATAGACAAACCTGTAGCTGTTGTCCAGACAACAAGCTGGCTGATCCTGACAGACAACGGTTCCATCCGGTTGGCCTTAGGGATGCTCTCTTTCATTTGTTGTAGCCCCGTAAGTGCTGTTAAGCAGAACAGCCCAAGAACAGCATCTGCAACCCTGCATATAAGTTATAACAATCATAGCTGAATTGAAAGGGGCCTCACTAAAACAAGGGGAGAAACCAAAAAAGTGGCCTCCATCACATCTGCTTCCTGAAAACGGTCCCTTCCTACTGAGCCAATGGATCTGTGCATGAGGAACATAACAGCCAGCTTAGCACTCACCACATAAATGTATGAGCCTCTCCTTAGCCCAAATTAAAACTTCCCTGACAGATTCTTAATTGGCTGTGGGAAAGATGCAAGATTTGAGGACCTGAAAAGTTACATCCAGATCCACTTTCATTCATTCTTCCAAGAGGTACATCCACATTTAGCATCGTTGCTCATAGACTACAGGCATAATATGGCAGATTCAGCTTTGTGCAAGAACTGCAAGCCCAACTCTGCGCACCTTGGAGACATTCAATGCAATACATGCAACAAGTGCACCCAATTAAAACATACAGCTCAGGAAGGCAATATGCCAAGGATCCTCTCAGTTGCTATAATTTTAGGACTAGTCACCTCAGCCTTCATTACAAAAAATAAAAGAAAGCCTTTAGCTCTCAGGGATGAGGCAAAAGACTTTGCTCACCCCTGCCCCCCTCAGCTCTCTGGTAAGAGCACCCAACTTTTCAGCTCCATCACAGAATCCCATACCACACACCACCCCAATGATGTGAAGTTGCATGACTATTACAAATCTCATGGAAATTCAAGAAAATAAACTGCTTGTGAGGTCCAAGGGTATCTGTTATTCCCAGAGGTATCCTACGTACTGATTCTCTATTTATCATTCTTGCTACTTTTGAAGACTAAAGATCTTGTAGAGAGAAATAAACAAGGGACAGACTTACCTTGTCTCTCCAATTCTGCAGAAGGTGTAGTACACCTGAAGGATAAACTGGCGTGGGATGTTCTGTAGGCCCAGGAGTGTCTATGTAAACACATTTTAAAGCCACAAGTCAGGATGATGAAAAAAGTTAGTGTGTCTGCGCGCGCGCGCGCGCTCTCTCTCTCTCTCTCTCACACACACACACACGCACGCACACACACACACACTACAATGTAGCTGCAGAAAGTGCATACTTGTGTCTCTGTAAGTGTTGTTCTTATTTCTATACTGCCCTTCATTCGAGGATGACAGGGTGGCTCACAATATAAAAACACAAAAATACATACTACAGTAACAAACAATAACCCCACCACACTCTATTTGGCCTATTGTGTTTCCTTTTAGGAAATAATTTCTGAGGTGCTCCATGTTACCAGCAACAAAGGGACATAGCTGTCCTGGAACCTTTATCCTAAAAATAAAGAGCTCTGTTCTTTTCTGCCAACACTGCCTTACTCTGTGGGTAAGCGAGTAAGACAAGGTATGTGAACAATAAAATCATATTTCTGTGCTCAGTTACACAAACTTCCAAGTTAAGTCTCTGCCATCCACAAAAATAAAAATCAAGAGATGTCCAGACAACCTCTGCTAAATTATTTGCCCATACTACAACGAAAGATGGTCTTTCACCTGAGGAGGCTTGCTACCTCTTGCCTACCTTAACTGCTTTAAAATCATTCTGTGGAAAAAGAGCAGAGGGCTTCTCTTTCAAAGGTACTTCCTGAAATGAGCTGTTGTTGCAAACACAAGGAGTTCAGCCAGTGATTGCTATCATCTGCTGCTGCTGCCTGCCCCTCACCCCTGTGAATAGCTGACTGTGGCCAACCACAAAGGAAGCATTGATGCCACATCAGACTGAACAGCGTTTTAAAGATACTAGCTGGAACATGGTAGGCGGTTCAAGCATTCACACATCCAAAAAAAGCCCCAAATCTATGGCAGCAGAAGGTAGGATAAATATGTCCAGATAACTGTCCGTTTCAGTACTCTGGGCGGTCCATGGCCCCTTTGCTTCATAAACCAACACCATGATTAGCTGAGATCATAAAAAAGCTGGTTAGGCCCTAGTTACTTGTCTCTGTTTCAGGTATCTCTTGCCTGGCAGTGGCATGAATCTCTTAACACTTGCTGCTGGGCTGTGAAGGCAAATCAGTGGGGTTGTCAGTGGCCAAAACAGGGGATCCCAGCTAGCTAAACAGATCGGCCAGCTGCCATTTAGTGTTTACAGAATCCTTAGGTTCCATAAATTTAAAACAGGTGGGAAGCAGGAAACCCTGTAACCCAGAGGAGGTAGAAGAGGACTTAATCCCATGGAATGTTGCATAAAGGGAAGGAAAAGAGAGGGCAGAGGGTATAGCATGTGAAATAGTTACATATTCCAGGTTCTCACAATTGCCAGAGTCTTCACATAAAGGCAGAGCAATTTTCCTAAGTTTTATCAACAAGCATTTTTGAGCCAGCCTGCTTCACCCTTGATAAGCGCTACAGAGCTCTCCTTAAGCCCTTTAGAGAAATCTAATTACTTGAACAGGCAAGCCTGGCCTCCATCCTATTCTTACAGAATGGGCAGGTGAGTTTTACAAGCAAGAAATGTCACTGCTGAACCTGGATTGCTGGATAAAGGCCAAGTGAGGGAAGAAAACCCCTTACCTTCACTTGATTGAAGCCAATGGTGACTGCAGCAGCTGAAGTAAACCCTTTAATGACAGGATAGGATATAAAGTCCAGGAGGAAACCTGCCAGGAATGAAGAATCCGCATTAAGTCTTACAAAGACCAGGCGCAACGGACTTACTTCACTACACATTATACTCCATTCAGTCCATTCAGAACTACCAAGCTCCTCAGTCAAAAGCTATCCATTCATCAAGGATGCCAACACACACATAACGAGACAGAGGCAGTTGCAGTATGCCACTCCCCAGTATCCTTCATTTGGCTTTGGTTTGGCCAAGAAGGGTCTATGGTCTGTGCTCTTTGAGCCACCTAATGCTCCACACCAGAATTGAGCCTACTGGATTCCTTTCTGCATTGCTCTGACAGTCACTGGAAACTTTTGTCTGTCATTTGGTTGTCTCTTGCCTTCCTAGAGCCACAGGTCCTTCATTTCCTGCCGATCCCAAGCACTAATAGCAGGGGCAGCTGGACAAAGCTGGGAAGAGGCAGGCTGTTCTCATCTAGTGCTGCCTCAATGCACAAGGCAGAAACCCAAGTTTAACTAGTGCCCTTGCAGCTACAGAACTAAGCAAGGAAAAGAGAGATGAGCTGAATGTATGATACTTTTTAATTTTCTAAGTATTTTCTTCTGAGGCGTTTTAGTTTAAGTATTGCCAGTCCCCAAGTTTGAAAAAAATGAAGGTTAAAAACAAATCTGTACAAAATGGGCACATTACTCTCTTGCAATAAACACATACATGTGTACACACTGAAAAACAAAAACCTTGGATAGTAACAGATAATCTATAGGAAACAAGGTGGGATTACAAATCACTATAATTCAATGAGCTGTGAGACTTAAGACTTCAATCATATACCCTCTTATTTGGAAGTAAAGCCGCACCAAACTCAATGGGACTTACTTTTGAGTAGATATCTAAAGTCATAGCATTGTAATTAACGGAGGGCTGCGGTCACAGCATTATGTTCAGCTCCAACTATCAGAATCTTGTGGTACACAACCAGTGATAATCTGCCCTGTCATCTCTCCAGTTCTGCCTCCCTGTTTGGCTATTATTGGCCGTAAACAAACTGATTTGACCAAATATAGCCCCATCCAGGTCTTACCAAGATGCAGCAGCCCCATAGCTAACTGGATGCAGCCCGAGAGGAAGGTGAGCAGGATGGCATAGGAAGGGTCATGGAATGCGTAGGACGAAACCAGTAACGACATGATAGCTGTCGGGCCCAGTGTCACATCTTTCGATGTCCCCAGGAGGCAGTAGACAAAGCAGCCCATGAAGGAGGAATAGAGGCCATACTATAAGGGAGGGAGGGAGGCAATTAGAGACTGATCGCAGTGATGTAGGAAGAAGAGCAGAATCAGGGAGAAAAAGGCTGTGAATGGCTAAGGAAAGTGTAATCCTTGTCATACATAAAGGTCTTACATATGTGCTGTGTACATTTTAACTTGTAGTGTGTGTCAAAACTTTTATCAAATGAAAAGAATAGAGAGAAAGAAACAAAAAGGTGTCTGCTTGATAACTCGGCAAAACACTTTTAAAGGAGGGTGTCTGAGAATTTATTATCTTGGAACAACAGGAAGAAGCAGAATCAAACAACAGTAAAAAGTATTTCAGAGAACTGGTAATTCCCGCTCATTGACCTTTGATTTACTCCAGGCAGCCACAGTCTGCTAGAGACTCTCAGAGCTCATTAACTCTAAAGCTGCTTTCCTCTGGAATTGGATCTATATTTTTCAAGCAAAAACAGAAAATGAAATATTCAATAGATGCTACACTAAGGCAACTAAAGCTTCTGGGTCAATAGCCTCACCTGCACTGGGAGGCCAGCCAACGCAGCGTAGGCAAGAGCTTGTGGCACAACAGTCAATCCCACCGTCAGTCCAGCAACGAGATCAAGCTGCAGCCATTGTAGAGAATATTTGGGAAGCCACTTTAGCACCGGCAGCCTCTTCTGGATTATTCCGTAGCATCGTTCCCGACACTCATGGCTTCTCTCTGCCATGGCTGAAATCACAGTAGTTCAAGCCAATTCACTTGGGGCCCATCACACCACTCATGATCAAAACCGCTTGCAGGCATATCAAAGTCAAGAGAGCAGACAAAGGAGAAGGTCACTGCTGAGGCACATCAGAAAGACTCCCAAACAGGCAATAGGAGGCTTATAATAATACCTGGGGGAGAGAGGGAGAAAAAGGACACCCACCGTTCTAGTCATTCAATCAGTTCTTCATTTCAAATATTAATGGGGTATTGAAACCTAAAGACATTGCTATGGAATCTTCTCATTCATGTTTGCGAAAACAAACCCAAGAAGTGATGGGCGTGTTTTAAGATGAAAACTACAAACAAGAATACAAAACAAAACCAATTAACGTACCCTAAGATAACTGAAGTGCCAAATATTAGTACAACACAGGAAAATATGATAATGGGAAAGCAAAGAATGACCACTGGGCTTGACAAACTATGGGCAGCATTCCTTTGGGAAGCAGGTAAATCTTTGCTTCTGAAGAACAGACAACTCTCCCCTCCATTCTTAAGGAAATCTCCATTTTGCCTCAAGAAGCGAAGAGGGCAAAGCCAGCTCTAAGCAGGTTATTGACCCAAGCAACTGCACCACCCACCCACGCTAAGGGTGCACACCATAATATCTTGGAAGCCGAGGGCACAGCTCTCAGACTGCATGCTTCAGTTTGTGTGGTCTGACATGACCTAGCAAAAGAGGAGGGACTGTGCGGTTGTTACTTCATGTAAACAGTGTCATCAGGGGACAGCTGGGTTCTAGTCAACGGGTTTATTTGAGGGGAACTTTTTAGTATGTCTGCTCAAGCTGTTTTTATGACTTGGGAGGTGATCCTAGGTGCGCTGGCTTGCAAGTAAACCCTTTTGAATGCAGAGAGGCTTATTTCTGAGTGAACGCACACACACTAGGGCTGTAGATGTTGCATGCCGCTTTACGTATTATTTCAAAAGGAAACTCATCCAGGAGTAAATGCCCTTTCCTCCTGGATTAAAGCAGCTGCTCTAACACACATATATAGTTGGTAACATCAAATACAGAACCATATAGTTCAAGCACAGCCTCGCAAGCCCCGCCTTTCTGACCAAGAAGCCTCATTTCCCTAATCACAGGTATGGGGCCTGTGGCTATTCAGCGACAAGGAAAACACACTCTGTGCATACCCAGAGTTTACACTCTCACGTTCTAGAGCCAGCACCGAAAACGGGGCCTGGGGCTAAACTACTCCTCAGCTTAAGCCACAGCAATGCTCCAAAGCAGTTAGTAGGTACGAGACCAGAAATTACTTAGGACTCTTCAGGGCGGAGGGGGCACCATCACCAGACTCGGCAGGGAGAGAGAGGGCTTGTCTGGTTTTTAAAACGAAAGCAGGAAAAAAAAGGAGAGGAGTCTATTTGCTCCTGCTGCGTAAACAAAGGAGCTCCAGGGTCACAGCTTCCTCCTGGTAGTCGAGGGGCCCCTTCTGCTTTTTCCCCCAACTCCCAGGCTGGACTCACCCAAAGCAGCGCCGGCAGAAGGCACCGAGGAGCACGGAAAACCCAGATCCGGTCAGAGGCGTCTCATGTGATCCGGAGGTGGAGCCAGGCGGCGGCTGGCCCTTTTCCCAGCGGCGTTTAGTCTGGGAAGGGGAGAGGCGCGCGCTCTGCCCGGCGAGGAAGGGGCCTGGGCGGGTGTCTCGCCATGCCGCTGCCTGCGCAGAGATGGGGGGCGCCGCCGCTGCTGTTTCTGCTTCTGGGTCTCTGCTGCGCTCGGAGGGATCCGGGCAGACCTCGCAACGTGCTGCTGATCGTCGGTGAGCGAGCAGATTCGGGGGCCCAGCCGGGGTGCTGCTCTCTGGAGATGAAACCCACGCCTCCCCCTGTTCCCCACTCAGTTCGCCCTCGCGGGAAATAGCCCTGAAAGCTCTGAGGAAGGAAGTGGGAAACTTCGGGGAGGGGCCGGACTTGCGCCCCCCCCCCCCGCAAACCCAGTATGGACACTAGGCGCTAAGATATGTCCCACAACCACCATTCCCTTCTCATGCCCCTCTTGGTTGGGGCACTTGGTTCACCAGTCAGACCATGTTGCCAACTTCTTTTCGGCTAGGGCTACTGTGCTGTTAACAGAATTCAACAGGCGCAGCTGTTCCCAGACTGGAGATGATAGGCCTGTGTTCTGCTGGGGGGCCAGGGAGGCCTTGTGGTGGACACTGAAGAGCTAGACGGGTATTAAGAGATATTGGGGTTTAGCCCATAGCTGTCATCTTTCAGATTTGAAAATAAGAGATCAGCAGCCTCACCTGTCCCGGGGACAGTCTAGGGGATATCTAACAATCCGGGATAGCAGCGGGAAACGGCGCTGGAATAAGGGAATTTCCCGCAAAAAAAGGGAAGGTTGACAGCTATGGTTTAGCCATAGGTAGCGTAAGTGAGTCAGTATGTGATGATGATGATGATAATAATAATAATAATAATTTATTTATACCCCGCTCATCTGTCTGGGTTTCCCCAGCTTCCAACAGAATAGTAAAATACAATAGTCTATTAAACATTAAAAGCTTCCCTATAGAGGCTTGGACCTATGCCTGCCTGCTCTAAAGCATACCCTCTCACATTTCTCCAAGAAAATAGGGACGTCCTAAGAAAAAGTGGGACATTCCAGGATCAACTTCTTTAAATCCTGGACTTTCCCTGGAAAATAGGGACAATTTGAGGGTATGTCTACAGGATTTGGTAATACAGTCCCAGCATTAACCAGGATTGTGTGAGATTTGTGGTATTCGTTTCCCCTTTTTCTCCTGCTGCAGTTCCTCCTTTGTCCCACAAACTGATTCATATGGACCTGTTGGGTGGCTCAGATTCCAGGGTTGACGTTTCCACTGTGACTGCATGACTCATTTGCTCGAGCATCTGGGGGTAATGTTGCTTATGGGTACTTCCACACAACAATTTATTCAGGACTCAAGTTTTTGGTTTTTTTGGTTTTTGCAAAGGCCACACGACATCATCCTCATCAAAATGCTGTTCTATAATATCTTCTCATTTAATCTGGATTTACCATTTTAGCAAAAAAAACCAAAACAAAACCATTAAGTAAAGAAAAAAGGAAACGGTAAATCCAGATTAAGGGCAGGGATGGGATTTATAGTGTCATGTTATTGCATGCATTCACAATAAAGGGTGCTGTGTGGAAGCACGCTGTAAATTGCTTGAGTTTGGGGTGCAGCACAAATTCAGTTTTGTTAGGAAGTTGGGCACTGCTTGAGCTGCAGAACCTGGCCCCAAACCCCCAGCTACCTGGTTCATAGCTACCATTGTTCATAGGCAACAGTGGCGTTGCAATGGGACACTGATCTCACAGCTTGACCTCTGACCCTTCCATGGCAGCTGACGACGGTGGCTTTGAGAGCGGCGTGTACAACAACACGGCCATCAACACCCCAAACCTGGATGCCTTGGCCCAGCGCAGCTTGATCTTCCGGAATGCCTTCACCTCCGTCAGCAGCTGCTCCCCAAGCCGGGCCAGTATCCTCACAGGCCTGCCTCAGGTAACACTTGCCGGATGGCAATAAGGGAACTGCTTGCTCAGTCCTTTTCTATCACCTTGGAACTCCCTTTCCTGCCTGCCCTGCTCATATTGTGAATGGTTTTCTCTTATCTACAGCACCAGAATGGGATGTATGGGCTGCACCAGGATGTGCATCACTTCAACTCCTTTGATAGTGTTCGGAGCCTCCCCTTGCTGCTTAGGCAGGCAGGGATTCGGACAGGTAAGCTGGTGGGAGCAGGAGAATTCCTCCCTGCAAATTCACCTGCAGCTCAAGATACCACTCATCTTCTTCTATAGGGAATCTGGGAAGGGAGCCTCCATACCACACAAATAATTTTAGTTCTTTTTGCCTTGCAATCAGCTAAGAAAGTGAAACTTACAAGAAGCAATAAAACCATTTTTCTAAAATGCATGCAGTGCTTCTCTAATCCCTAGTTTATAATGTGCGTTGATGAGTTTTAGCCCCAGTTATGTGGTTGTACATAGATGGAGAAAGGATTCTATTTATTCTATTTTTAAAAAAAGTTTTTCTTGTTTTGCAAAACTACATGCCTTGTCTCTTTTCAGGTTGTACATTCTTTCTTACACGTCAGTTACATTTGTTGTGAGACATTAGTGTTGAGTACAGTATAAGGTTGGGGAAGGAGAGAAGGGGAGGCGTGTATTCTTTTGTATAGTGTGCGTGTGGGGTTTTGCGTCAGCATCAACTGGGTAGGTCCTCTTTCTGTTCGTATATTGCATTTCCTTGGTAGTGAGAGGTATTGTGGGGCAAGGTGTGCTTGGTTGTCTGTGGCCGGCTGCAGTGGGGTTTATTTTATTTACCACGAAGCTTTCACCAATATTTTTCTGCCAAGGACTGCCCTCCCATCATGGGAAGGGGAGGAGCTTCCATCATCCGTGTTTTGGAGCATGCTCAGCCCACAACAGAAAAGCAGGTTGCATATACGTGTATACATGTCTTCCCTGAGTACCCCTTCACTCAGAACCTGGCTCACCTTGGCACAGATGAGAAGATGTGAGCCTTCTCATGTCATGCTTGGTGCTGGGATACATACAACCCCCAAGTACAAAATCCCAACAGGGCAAGCATTGTATGTGGAAGGTGCTGCATGCTATATAAATAGTTCCTCTCTAAAATCCATGGAAAGTGTTCTTCTTTGTCACCACCTTCATGTATTCTAAAGGAGAAACCAGCAATTGTTGCACAGTAACACAATTTTTCCACATATACAAATATGGCTATTTACATGCATGTACTTATGCTAAGTACAAAATGTATTCCATGTCAAATATACCCTATATGAAAGAGACTGGTTTTAAAATAAAAGTTAATCTGAACCAAGTTTCTCCAGAGCTTAGTCCCCAATCTTGTTTTCCATAGCAGAGGCTAAGCCTTGGCACATGGGAATGCATTCTGTAGATGCTTAGTCTCCCACCACCCAGTAACCACATTCAGGCCATACACCTGCGTTCCTCTCCAGCTGAAACGAGGCCTACATTTATGCAACCGTATTTGCTTGCATCTCTCCCATTTGGGATTGAGATAGCCTGAGCCTTGGCAGGAAGTGCTGTTTTAGGAAACCACAGTTCTTGGGAGGCAGCCAGTAGCTCTTAGACAGCAGAGACCTTGTGTTGGATTCATCCAGGGCAGGCTTCCTCAACCTCAGTCCTCCAGATGTTTTGAGACTACATTTCCCATCATCCCTGACGACTGGTCCTGCTAACTAGGGATCATGGGAGTTGTAGGCCAAAAACATCTGGAGGGCTATGGTTGAGGAAGCCTGATCCAGGGTAACCACTAGCTTCCAAGTGCATCAGAGCGCTGGTGGATTTTTATGTGATCTATTAGCTTTTCCTTGCTATTGCATCTGACTGCTGGCGTTTGTCTGCTTCAGGGATCATTGGGAAGAAACACGTTGGGCCAGAGGCTGTGTATCCCTTTGACTTTGCCTACACTGAGGAGAACGGCTCTGTCCTGCAGGTGGGGCGGAACATCACCCGAATCAAGCTGCTGGTTCGGAAATTCCTCCGCAGCCAGGAGGAGGAGAGGTAAGAACCCATCATATGGTGCTGGTATTGCATTGCAGACTCACTTCCTGTGTAGACCAGAGCACTCCGGCACATACAAATGGAATTTAAGGATGCACAGCCATCAGTCACAGTCTACATGTTTGTTGCAGGGAAATTTACGCAAACCTGAGAGGCGGCAAAGAGAGCTTGGGGGGAAATGGTGGTGTTTATTTCATGGAAGATAAAAAATCAGCACAGAGGTTCAGCAGAAAAACTGAAGGGAGCAGAGGCTGAGGGCTGCAGTTAGCAGAAAGAGGAACCTCAGCAAAGCTGGAGGACGCCCAGAGTACTTTTGCTAAAAGTGGTGGAGGTGATGTTGTCTCAGGCGTTTGAGTGCATTCACACCACCTGCTTTTTCAACTGGCAGGCCTTTTTTCTTGTATGTTGCTTTCCACGATCCACACCGCTGCGGCCACTCCCAGCCCCAGTATGGAGCCTTCTGCGAGAAATTTGGCAATGGAGAGCCTGGAATGGGCTGGATCCCAGACTGGAAACCCCAGCACTACAGCCCAGATCAAGTGCAGGTGAGACATGGAATGTGAGATACAAGAGGAAGGGCGGGATATAGATTTAATAGGTCATTAAGTAAAAACACGTGGGCCGGATTCAGCTATCACATTCCACTAGCAGAAGCCGTCACGTGGGCTCCTCTCTCTATGTGCACCTCCCCATAACAGCGCACAGGGGAGGGGAGGGAGATTGTTCAGCCTGGCAAGCAGAAATGGATTGATCTCCACAGCGCTGCATTGAATTCTGCCCTTTTCTCCTCTGCCATGAAACGCCGGGAACACGTGCAGCATCCTCTAGCCCTCCCCATTGCCAGACTGGGAGTTGTGCAGCAGATCATTTGCGCCCAATGGAGGGAGGTTAGCCATGGCCATTGCAATTTCTAGGTAGTTTTGTGGGCCTTGATTCCCTTGGTTTCCCTTCCTGATGTAGCTTCTGGTAACAGTTGCTTTTCTCCCGCTTTCTGCCCTCAGGTCCCATATTTTGTACAGGACACACCAGCTGCTCGTGCGGATCTGGCAGCTCAATACACAACCACCGGGCGCATGGATCAAGGTAGGGTGTTTATTGAATCAGAGCAATCCTGCCTGCAGGAGTGGAGGGCAAGGCTGGAGAAGCAGCGCTCTTGAAGCAAGAGCGAGAGCTTAGGTGTGTTTCAGGGAGAGTCTGGAGCATTTTTGCACATTTGATTTACCGCGTGGCATCTCTTGTGCTTAAGGACCTAAGGGAGTCCTTCTGGAGGAAGGGGTGGCAATCAAGTTCTCTTCAGCACAGGGATGCATGTGACCTCCAGTTACATACATGTGCTCAAGTTGCCCTTTAAAATCCTGGAAATCCCAGTGAGGAGTGGAAAGAAAGCACCAAGCGACTCCATACATTATATCTATGAATTTCATTATCTTTAGTATTTGTGGTTAGCAATATCCAGACTTGGCTGCCCCAACTGAGTGAAAATATTTCATGCTGAGCAGCTGGATGAGCTGCTTTTGCCTGCTGGAAAGCCTGGGGAAGCAAGTCCAATTCCAGTACAGTGGTACCTCGGGTTACAGACGCTTCAGGTTACAGACTCCGCTAACCCAGAAATAGTACCTCGGGTTAAGAACTTTGCTTCAGGATGAGAACAGAAATCGTGCGGCGGCAGCGGGAGGCCCCATTAGCTAAAGTGGTACCTCAGGTTAAGAACAGTTTCAGGTTATGAAGAGACTCCAGAACGAATCAAGTTTTTAACCTGAGGTACCACTGTAATTAGATGGTGACGATGAAGCTCCCATCTAATCAAAGTGGTTCACAGTGTAGATGAGAGTTCTTCTGAGCAAAATTGTTGGTGAAGGCTAGAGGCCTTTTGCACAGCACCCTCAGGTCTCTTTCTGTGGCACATGTAGGCATTGGTCTTGTCCTAGAGGAGCTGAACAACGCTGGCTTCCGCAACACTACCCTTGTGATCTACACTTCCGACAACGGTATCCCCTTCCCAAGCGGCAGAACTAACCTGTACCGGTCAGGTACGGCTGAACCCCTCCTCATCTCCTCGCCTGAGCATCCCTCACGCTGGGGACAGGTCAGCAGTGCCTATGCCAGCTTGTTAGGTGAGAGCCACTGAATTATCGACTTCTGTATTGACATCGGGGAAGTGTGAGGCAGGGGAGGGTTTTGAATGTGGGGGAGAGACTTTGGGGGTGTCTAGACAACCATGAACTGGCTTCCATTTGCACTCATTTGTTCTGTGTATTTATTTTTAATTTACATTTATTTTTGATGCTTATCCAAAGCTATACAAAAGTTCATACCCAATATAAAGTATATTTTTATAATACACCATAACAAAAGAAACACTTAAAAAATCTAATCTAAAAAGGAACCAAAACAAAAAAGAAGAAATAAAAGAAAATAGATAAAAAGATTTTAAAGGACTTCCAGTTCTATGTCCTTCAGTTACATATAATATTCACCTATTAAACTCCCAACTATTCTATTTTCTGTAAGCCAATTTTTTTTTCCAATCTTCATTTTTTTATAAAATAATTTTTATTTCATTTTTCCATTTTTAACATCTAAATATTCAAATATTTTTTTTCCAATCTTCAAATCCAGATATTACAAGTTCATTATCTTTCAAGCAAGAAGTCCATAAAAAGTTTCCAGTCTAAACGTGTTTTATTTACTATGCATACTGCTGGATTGCAAATTAAATCTCTAAAGCAGTTTAACAATAACAAAAAGCCGTTTACACCGGGTTGAATTGTGCATTTTAAATTGTTGATTTTTATTGTGTTGTTCATAGTCACTTTAGATTGTACGCCCTCTGGGGAGGAAATTCTTCTTTTAATTGCGGGATTGAGCCACCTACATTGGCAGGGCCATTTAAATAAATGTTGCTATTATTATTATTATTATTATTATTATTATTATTAATGGATGCTTGATGTTACCCCTTCCTCTCTGTAGACATGACCCCCACCATTCTGGACTGGTTCTCTGTGCCGTACCCCAGTTACAGCCTCTTTGGGAAGCGGATAGTGCAACTGACTGGGAAGTCCCTGCTGCCAGCGCTATCTCTGGAGCCGGCGTGGGCCACAGTGTTTGCAAGCCAGAGCCTCCACGAAGTGACCATGCACTATCCCATGCGGGCCGTGCAGCGGGGGCCCCTGCGCTTCATCCACAACCTGCAGAACCGCACGCCTTTCCCCATCGACCAGGACTTCTACGTGTCGCCCACATTCCAGGATCTGCTGAACAGGACCCAGGCAGGGCAGCCCACACACTGGAACAAGACGCTGCATGGCTACTACTACCGGGAACGCTGGGAGCTGTACGATCACAGCCTCGACCCCACGGAGAGCCGCAACTTGGCTTCTGACCCCCGCTATGCCCAGGTCCTGGAGGAGCTCAGGGGGCTGTTGCTGAAATGGCAGTGGGAAACGGACGACCCCTGGGTGTGTGTGCCCGACGGCGTCCTGGAGGATAAACCCAGCCCCCAGTGTCGACCGCTGCATAACGAACTGTGATTTCCCCCCTCTTCCCTTTTGTGGTGGCTGCTAGTTCCTCATTCATATGAGCAGTGCTAAGGAAAGCTGTGACTTGCAAAGGCTTGCAGTTTGCAGAGCTAAGCACTGTTGCGTTTGCAGCTGTGGGAAGAGCTGGAGTCAACAAGACGAGGGTGGTTTCTTATGTGCCTGCCTTCTTAATTGCTGCAGACATATCAACCATCTTAGCCAGCCCCCCACTGCCAAAATGTTTGCTGCCAAAGGGAATGATGTCGCAAGTGCCTAATGGAACAGCCAGCAAATGCTGCTCTACAGAATTGGGATGGTCCCATCCAGGCTGTGATTTGCACATTCAGAAACAGTGCCTTTTGCAGGAACGTGTACAGGAATGCGTTAGGCCTAGATCCGGTTGAAAAATTTAGGAGAATACACCATACAGTCTTCTCAAGAGGTTTGCAAATGGTGGAGTCACTTAAAAGCACCCAACTCCAAAATCTGCCAGTAGGTGGAAAGCTAACATGCAGTTCCTCTCCATGAATTTCAGACTGCTACAGGCCTATGAGACAATTCTAAACAGTAAGTTTGAAAGAGCTTTTTATGTGGCTCCTACTGAATATTCAACCAACAAATAAAGCAGTAGATTACTTCATTGAGCTGATAGCCCTTCTCTTGTTACTACAGCAATGACAATCACTAGAATGTCTTATAGTTTCTCCCACACTTGCTGTTTGTCTCTTCAAGTTGAGAATCTGGAAAATCCCACAGAGATTTGGGTTGGGGTCACCATAGCAGTGGCAGGCAATAAACATATATAAGAGTGTCCAACAAGGATTTTAATTTAATGCAAGCAGCAGAGCTACCTAGCACTGTGCTGTTTTACAAAATGAAATAAAATCAGGATATTTGCTTTACCTGTTGAAGTAATTAAAAACAGAAAGTGGAAGGTAAACCAGGTAAGAGACAGCTTGAATGAATATGCAATTGTTTACAAGTATTGTATCTACAGTCTCTGGATTAAACACCTGCAGTGTATTAATGTTGCAAGATGCTTGAGAAGCAGGTGCTGACAGAAGGCCAGAGAGATCTGGGATACCCAGTACACTAAAAGAGAGGCCACAAGGGTCCCGTATATTCTGGGGGAGGGAAATGTAGGGCATGAGCATAGCAAATCATACAACATCCCACCGTTCTTCATTTGTACATGTGTTAATAGTGTATAGTGAGTGGCATATTTATTGAGATCTGAAGAGTCAAATCCTTTGCCTACTTGCCCCATTGAAATCAAGGTGTCTCTCTCGCTTTCAAATTGGCCCTAAAGCACCTTTTTTCCAACATTTTAAGCAAAATGTAGAGAATAATGGGAACAAGCCCATTGGGGACAAGCCACAGAATGAAACATGTCTGAATTTTTTTTTAACTCAGCTGAACAATGTTTTGATTTTCAGTGGAACAGAAGCATCGTCTTTCCTAGTCAACATAAGACTCTGCATAGCCGGGTGTGCAGTCAGGGTTGGGAGGCAAAAGGTCAATTAAGCTTGGAAGTGTGTGTGTTTTGTGTGTGTGTGTGTGTGTGTGTGTGCGTATAGAAGAGTGTTCAGAAAGTTTGAACAAACATGCCCCGAGTCCCACTTGAGCTTAGTTCAGAATATATTGCACCACTGTCAAGTCCTTCCAAGGCCCTGAGACAAAGGACTGCCACACGCTTGCCCATTTCCAAAAGGTTCAGTGAGGCATTTGTTCCACCCAGACCACTTTCTTCTGCTCCTCAGCAATGGCCACGCGGACACAGCTGACAAGAGTGTCGTGGTCACTCCAGGCATCAGGGGCGATGGTGCCATAGAGGCAGGGCACCGTCTCCAGCTGGGCCTCCTCTTTCCGGGCAGTCTCCAAAAGTTGCTCCTCAGTTGCTCCAAGGCGCTGGAGGGCTTTCCTGAAACGCAGATCGTTTGTTGTGCTAGAGGTCAGCAACGTAAGACCTGGGAGCCTTACTCTCATGGGATGTTATCCTCCAAACCATGTCTGCTCAGAAGTAATCCCCACTAGCTTCAAGAGAGTTTGCTCTCAGGTAAGCGGGGTGAGGCTTGCAGTCTCGGTCCCATTTCGTGTAATATAGACTAGGAAAGGAGGCTGTAAGGGGCACTGGAGGAGAAGGAGCACATTTTCCCCAGGCTAAGTGCAAAAGGGATGAAGAATGGTGGCAACAGTAGGAAGGATGGCAAAGACTGAAGTGGGACAGGTGGGAGGCGTGAATAAGTGGCAGAAGAAATTATCTCCCCTGCCCGTTTTGGTGATTGGCATAGTTGTCATCCAATACTTTTGCAGGGGGTTCAGTTATGTAATTATTATTTACTTAAATGATTTCTAGACTGTCCTATAGCACAACAACCCCTCTGGGCAGCTTGCTTCTTTTAAAAAACACAATTCAAAAGAACCACTTTTCACAGCCAATCCACAACGTGATAGGTGTGACTTTCTGCCGCACCCATAAATGCCACTCCAAATACATTATAGTCATACCTCATGTTGCGTCCGCTTCGGGTTGCGTGTTTTTGTCTTGCGTCCCGTGGCAACCCAGAAGTACCGGAATGGGTTACTTCCGGGTTTCGCCACTCACGCATGCGCAGAAGCGCCAAATCGCATCTGCGCAGATACAGCGCTTCAGGTTTCGGGTGTTTCACGTTACGGGCGGGCCTCCGGAACGGATCCCGTCCGTAACGTGAGGTACCACTGTAAAGGCTGCATCATTAACTTTATGCAATTCAAATCCAGGCTTGAAAGGAAGAAGGTTGTCGTGGCTTTAGGATTACGCTAAGGAGGCCTTGGCCCGTTGGGTTTTGCTAAGCAGACAATGACCTTTCAGTGCAGAGCAGCGGCTCTTACCTGAATTTCTTTCCATTCTTTTCACTGATGGTGACCAAGATGATGATGGGGTAGATTTCCATAGCCAGGAGTTCCTGCACACTTTCCAGGCCCAGGTCCAGCCAGCCATGCACATTCTAGAGGGGAGCAGGTTCAGGGTACAATTAAGTTCCAAGTCTGTGCATGCATGTTTCTTAAGAACTGGGGGGTGGGGGTTGACAAATCCTAGTCTCTCCTAAGAGATACTTGCATCTGCACCCCTGGGCCACATTCCCAGACCCCCTGCACCCCTGTTACCTTTTGCATCAGCCATTCCAGAGCCTGATGGGGAACACAACAGTTGCTACTCATCTCGCTTTTTTCAGGGAGCGCATCTCTACTCTGTGTTTCGCCTTGGGGCTCTGCAGAGGGGAGAAACAGGTCAAGAAGACAACACGGCTTGGTGCCGTTCTGAAGAAGCTTCCAAACTGGAGCTCGCCTCTCAGGAATTATTGGTGACACTGCTGGGTGCAGGGGGTGGGGCAGAGTAGAAAATGAGCAAATGTACCACAAGGCACATTTGCCAAGATGTCAAGGCGTGTGTCTTGGGGTGAGGCAGTACTTGTGACAAGAACTGGAGATGGATGTCAGAAGACAACCTCTACTACCCTCAATTCCATTGCTTCAGTGGAAGACACTTGTGGTGTAGTGGTTAAGAGCCCTGGACTCGTAATCTGGTGAACCGGGTTCGCTTCCCCGCTCCTCCACAAGCAGCTGCTGGGCGACCTTGGGCGAGTCACACTTTTCTCTGAAGTCTCTCAGCCTCACTCACCTCACAGAGTGTTTGTTGTGAGGGAGGGAGGGAAAGGAGATTGTTTGCCGCTTTGAGACTCCTTAGGGTAGTGATAAAGCAGGATATCAAATCCAAACTCCTCTTCTTCATTACTTGCCCCCTCTGTTGAGTGAAGCCAAGCAAAAGTCCCTCGGGTCTCTGCTCCCTTGGCCCATGGCTTATCCAACCATTCCCCTGCACAGTTCCAGCAAAGGGAGCCAGCTATTTTATGTAACAATGGAGTCGGCCCCATCCCAAGGACGTACCTGCTGGACATTTCTCAAAGGCCTTGGACAGGCACAACTTGTCAGCTAGGATCCTTCCCAACAGTGTTGGCACCAGGAGGACTGGGCGCGGGCAGCCAGGCCTGCAGGGCCTGACCAAAGTGTACGGCATCAAGCTGACACAGCTTCTGGTGTGAAGACTGACTCGGCGGCTCGCTAGATGAAGAGGAAGAAGAGCCAAGGCTGGAGGAGTCCACTCATTCAAGGCCACACCCAGAGATCCCCACTGAAGAGAAATGAGCCACTGTTCTGCAGAAGACCAACCTCAAGACAATTGTCTTCTGGAACGACACATTGCTAAAGGACAAAGGGTAATTATCTTTTTTTTAGAAACAGAAACTAGCCGGAACTCACTATGTGGCTTGCTGGAGTCCGACAGGCTGCAGTCCATCGATGACCAGAGCGGATTGATCTTCTTGTTGTCTGTGCTCACGATGCGCACCAGTTTGGGCTGCAACCCAGAATTCTGCAAGGCAGGAAGGAATGTCAAGCCTTCATTCCAAATGACTGTCACCCAGTATGTCTTCCACATATCAGTGCTGTTAGGGTTATATGCTTCCTTCTCTCTGCCAACTTCCCCGGCTTACAAGGGAAATGGCACTGGACCATGTTTGCTGGTGGAGCTGCATGTTTCGTCACCGGTGACTGCCATTCACAATCTGAACAAATGCTTGCAGATTTAACTTCAGTGACGAGACGTCATTACTCCAAAGCAAGGGATGGAGGAAGAGGACACCGGTGTTTACAGAGATGCACCAGTAAGAATGGCTGCACAGAATTGCGCACAAGCTACTGCACAAGACAATTCCAGTGAGCTGTGCCTGCAACCATATGGAAAATATATTAAGATTCTTTCCTAAAATTATTTCATAGGCTGCTCCCAATTACCTTGTGAGTGACGGTGCTCTTCTGGGCCATTTCCTGGATCAGGGTGATGAGTTGCTGCTGTGCCCTAGGGTGGAAAGAAGGGGACAGAGGAATGCATTAGGTAGAAAGGAGTAGATGTGTTCCCTCCTCCTTGGCCATGTGAAGAGGACCATCTCAGATGCGCTAAGGAGGCCTTTCAGGCCTCCTCAGATGATGAAGCTCACCGGCAGTAGTTGGGGATAGTGCCAGCATCCATGTCTTTCATGGTGTAGGGGTTCACCTGGCAGGCACTCCACTGTGTTTGGCCCTGGCACACTGTGTCAGTGATGTGCAGGATGTCATGGCACCCTACTAGAAGTTCCCCAGGTGCCTGCCTCTCAAGGCAGAGGTTGGACCGAATGTAGAAGGAGTCCCCAGATGTCACCAGCTTGGAGTTCAGATCACTCAGCAGCTTCTTGTAGCCTAATGGGTTAGAGAGTAATGGAAATGCTGTGCAGGAATAGCAGGAGTACAGGATAAGAGTTGAGAAGCCCAAGGGGCATGGGGACAATGACGATGGCTTCCTGACTCTACCCATGGCTAGGGAGATGCCCAGGGTTGTCCCAAAACATTCTGATGCCCAAGGTGGAAAATCTAAAAGAGCACCTCCTCATTCACACTATTTAACATGGGGTGCAATCCGCCAGAAAGTTGTCTATCTAACACATTCCTCCTTGAAATGCTCTTGCACAGCTTACAATCGTTTCAACTGGGTTTGTGCAGGGGAACTTCCCAATGGATTCTACCCATGAAGCAGGTCTGCCTATCTCCTAGTATGCCACCCTTAGTGGTATCCACTGTTCACCTTACTTGATGGTGTGACCTCAAGCAATATCCATATCACTGATTGCTAATAGCAACTTCCCCTTTCCCATCAGGCAACCCTTACCCTCCATATTGAGCCGCACGGACAGGCAGCAGAAGCCATTGACCCTTTCCAGGACCCAAAGAGCCTCCTCAAGTGTTGCATCCTCCAGGACAGCCTTGAAACCTGGTTCCATGACTCCATAATCCACCTACAAATTTGAAGAAGAATAGCGCAAAAATAAAATCAAGGAGAGTGCTTTGAAGGAGGGTTTCCAGAGACAGACAAACATATGATGGCAATCAGTTGCAGCCCGGTGAAGCCACAACACAGGAGGTCAGGTGGCCATTCCCTGGGCTCTACATGGATGCAGGGATGCAGCTAGGAGGAGGAGTAAAGCGTCCAAAGGAAACAGGTTATCTCCATGGGAAAGAGAAAGAAAGGCTCCTTAGGCATAAGCAACGGAGTCTTAGAGGAGTGAGGAGATGTGCACATCTTACCAGCACAATCTGATGGCCTGGCGACAAAGACATCTCATCAGCAGCAGAGCCAGGTGTGACTTGGTGAATGAAGATGCCCGTTTGGTTCCCCCCAATGATGCTGATCTGTTCCATCAAAGTGTTGGCTTGGAAGGCAATGGTTGTGATGCGGCTTGGGAAACGCTGTGCAAGCCGCCGGCGCATAGGCACACTGGGGAAGAGGAGAATGGAGCCGTGAGGACAGAGTGGGCATGGGGGCTTCTGTCTCCTCTGGGATGTGCATATGTCCCCTTTCCTTCCCCTTGGCTCATCCCATCACAGGTTCAACTAAGCTTCATAGCATTACATGCAATATGGGCCACTGTCGGAAATATCAGGTCTTAAAACCTTCCCTCTGAGAAAAAATATATGTGCATGCAGACACACACATATACATCATGGTAGGCAACTAACCCTAGATGACCCGTACCAGGGGTGCCATCTTGAACAAAATATATGGGGGGGGGGAGGCAGGTAAGCCCTGCCCCACATAATCGATCACATGACGCACTGCCCACACACTATTAAATAGCAATGTCCATCAACTTGGAGGAGGCCTCAAATATTTTATGGGGGGCGGGGAGACCCCTTGGCCCCTAGGAGTTAGCTCCTATGACTGGTATCAATTACTTCCTGGGAATCCTACAGCTATTTGCCTATACAAAAATGTTAGCTGGCCTGCTACTTGCTACTCAGATGTTCTATTCTTGCTTAAACTTGACACCTGTTTCTTATTTCTGTTGCTCCTTCTTGTCACCACCTAGCTTCTTGCCCTGCGTTCTCCTCTTTCCTCACCCCTGCAAGTTGCCTTCAGATAGATTCCTTGGGTAACAAACTCATTTTTTCCTTGATGTCAGCACAGCCCTTTTGTCTTTTGCCCAGGACGTGGGTGCCTCAATTGTTGAGAAAATCCTCACTGACTTAGGCCTTGAGTCTGTGGATACTTACGACCCAAACTTTCTGTGGTTGAGAACTTGACATTTACCTCTCTGAGATGCAGGGGTCCAGGTGAAGCCACAAAGAGTTGCCATCTGGAATGAAAAAGAAATGTTTGAATAGGTGAGAGCTAAGTGACCACTTTGTTTGTCTCTAACCAGGCACCCATGTTAAGTTAGCAAAGCTGCACACCAACCAATCAGAATGGGACAGGTAAGTTCTGCAACAAGAGGCAGGATCTATTATTGCTGCACAAAATGCTTGGCTGGTAACCTTCAGAGTTTACTCATTGTGTCTCCTTTGCTTTGCTGGATATGGGGTGCCTGCTAGATGAGGGGTGTGGCCTGGGAAAGTCTCATGGGCTCGATAAGAGATCCCTAAAGGGCCACATTTGGCCCTGCAGGTCTGAAGTTCTCCACCCCAAAAAACAGGTAACCAGAATTCACCAAGGAAGCACATTCTGGAATTGTATGTCCCTGCTTTTTCTCTTTAGTACAGATCTGACTTTGGAGTCACAGTATTGTACTTAAAATTAACACTTTGATAACAAGTATCCTACTATTATTGATATGATTGGTTTGCCCTGTCCCAACTGAAGGGCCCACTTAGATTGTGGACCCTTTGGAGAAGGGTAGTGAAGCTGCTACAATATACCCAGAGCTAATGAGGTACCATAATTATAAATACAATAACTCAATGGGAAGAGTCGTCTCCTCCCCTTAGCCAGGGACACACCAACCTGGGTTTGATTCCTTACCATCTTTTCCCACCATCTCATACTCAAAAGGGGGGTCTTCTACTTTCTCTTCAGAAGCTGAAGGGAAATCGTCCTCCAGAAACTCCAGGGAACTGCTGCAAGAGGAGACATAAATAAGATGAAAATAACAGAGTGTGAACTGGAAAGTTAGATCAATCCAGGGGGTCATGGCGGTTGCAAGGTTATATTCAGGATGGTGGGTGTGGGTGTATGATAAACAGGATGAACAATCTTAAAATATTTCCTCCTTATATATTGTTTAGTTGAGCCTAGAACAGATTCACACATGTCCAGTGGAGCATGTTAGCACATCATTTTAACTTGTTCCCCCTCCCGCCGCCCAACACTACATAATAAAATTGTCCTGCTGCACTTTGCACGGCTGTCAAGAAGTGGCCGTGGTAACTGCTGCACAGAATCTGGTGGTATATGAAGACTTAAGGGTGCAAGTTTCTACCCTTCATGGCTGTGAAGAAAACATTTGAAAAGTATAAGATCAAGACTTATAAAGACTTCCAGTGGTGGTGGGAGGTAATCGTCACATCTCCATATCCTACCTAATTGCTCTTAACCCCCTTTCAAAATTCTGCTAAAATCTGGATGACTGGGAAAAAAGCATCTGCAATAAATTAGAAAACCAAAATATTTCTGTAAATTGGTATTTATTTGCCGGCTTTGCAAAATGCACCTGTCTATCAAAATCGTGATTCTCTCTCTCTCTCTCTTTTAATAAGCACACATGCCCACATAGGCCTAGCTGGGAACCAGCAGTATACAGCAGAGCATGGTCTGTACTCACCTTCTGGAAAAAGAACTTTCTTGCATGGCTCTCCTCTGTAGGGAATGCTTACATGGTGGGATTGGGCAGCATGAGCGGATGCTCCCAAGCAGCTCTTGATTTGACCTGTTGCTTAAATCTGACCAAGACTGCGAAAGAAAAGAAGTAGGTCAGGCCACTCAGACACAGGGGAACTCCAATTTCCCCATTCAGGTCTTTCCCCCAGGTGTTCTGTGCCCTAAAGAGTGGGGGCCTGCAAGACAAGTGAGACCCCACACCCTGAGGATAGTATCCTGTGGCGCCTCCCCCTAACCCCCCCCCCCGCCTTGCAGTTGGAAAAAGTATGGTGGGTTTGGGGAGGGGTGAGCTATACACCTCAGACATGCTCAAGAAGCTGTCCTGGCTGTCACCCCGGGGGCAGACGGCGTTCATGCGCACAAGACGCTGCTTCCTCTTTGGACAAGGTTCCTTGGTCAGAGAGCTGGCAGGCCCATCCCACTGCACCTGCTTAGAGGAAACAGAGAGAGAGAAATGGCTCATAAAACACGCAGCAAAGAACTGCCTGCAGGGCAGAAAATACTGGCGGGAACAACGCCATATAGATGATAAGGAGCTGCCATTTTTCTCCTACCCCAGTCATTTCCATGCTGTGTGCTGGGGAATATGCGTATGTTGCCTGCTAACAAGTAATTTTAATGTGTATTCCCCCCATATAATAAAATTGTTCTGTTGTCATGCTGCAGTTTGCATGGCTGTCAGTAGGTGGCTACAGTAACTCCAGTGTGACAGTAGGCAAGCAAGCAGTGGAGGTGGCAAGTGGCCCTAGTGAGCTATTTAAAAGCAGGATGGGAGGTGCTCCAGAGAGCAGTTTGGTAAGCCACTGTCTGAAATGCCTCCCATCCTACTTTCAAAGGGGTTGGAGGTGAGGGTGAGCTGGGAGGGGTGGGGGAGTGGGTGCTGGGAGGGGAGGTTTGGGCGAGCTGGGAAGGGATAGGCGAGGAAGTGGGAGAGGTGTAATGGGAGGGTGCCCTCGGTTACCCTCATCCCAAAACTCACCGCGAGCACTGAGCCACTTAGGCCTGTCTGCTTCCTGAGTTCACAGATCTCATCAGTGAGCTCAAAGACTTTGCGGCGGAGCGAATCTTTCTCCAGGAGGCTCTGAGAAATTTCCACCTGAGCAGTGTCCCTTGCACTGTAGGCCTGGGGGGGGGGGGACAGAAACACATCATCGGCAAGGGGTTTAGGAGACAGACGGAAACAAGCTATCGGCAGCAACAGTTATAGGGACAAGTGCAGGAGATCAAAACTATTCTCACAATAGCTTAAAAGGTTCCAGTGAGCCATTTGCTCTGGAGCCTTGAGAATCAAACCTAAATAGGGGCAGAACATACCACAGGAAGTGCAAGGAGTACTCCACAGTACCAACAGAAAAGCCAAGGTGCTGCCTGAGTTGTCTTGGGACTGCAAAATATAAAAGTAAGGCAGAACCTACTTGTCTGGCCACTTTCTGCTAATGCAGGGTGCATTGCATGCAGGACCTCTGCCTTGAGTAACACAGCTATGTTGGGAGGTCCGGGGGAAGAGATTCTGCAAACAGAATTAATAATGCAGCCAATTCTCTGTTTAGACAACAAGCCTTGTTACAATTGCTGCTATCTTTTTAACTACTGGGCTGGATTCTAGCTGCCCATTAAAACCTTGCAGCTAGTAACAGGTAATGTCCATTATATGGCTTGGAACATTTGACTGGACATTTACTTTACTGTTGCAACATTCTAGAATGGTAAAGATCCCTTCTAATCGGACAAGCCACCACTTCCCTTACTTTGGTAACCTCCCTGCCCCCTGCCCTGAAAACAACTCCTCTCTTTGCTGCGGTCAGACCTCTAGGTTACCTGATCTCTCTCTTTCTGCAGATCAGCCACTTGTGCCTGGAGGGCACTGATTTTGTCCTTGTAGATCTCACAGTCCACCTTCATCCTCTGGCACTGGATCAGAGTGTGCTCCTTTTCTTCCCAGCACTGAATGGTGACAAAAAATGTTAGCAAGATATTAACACCCAGTAAATGCATGACACTCTCTGCCACTGCCTTAATGCACGGAACGGAATTGTAGAGTTGGAAAGGACCATGAGGGTCATCTAATCCAAACCCCTGCAATGGCCGGAATCTTTGTGACCAATATAGGGCTCAAACCCACAACCCTGAAATTAAGAGTCTCATGCTGTACCAACTGAGCTATCCTAGGTTCTCTTGACACCTACATTATGCTGGTAATGTAACCCAGCTTGACAGCATTCAGGTGCAACATCAAAATATATTTGAAGCAGCCTTTGTTGTGAGACTCTGTCCTAAAGGTATTGGCTCCCACAGTTTTAATCAGATGCTGTTTGACATTTTAAATGTTCTATGGTTTATTTATTTTTGGTATTGCTTTGTGTCCTTAGATGCCCTGAGCTCCCCTAGGGGAGGAAGCATGGAATACAAATGTAAACAAACAATATGGGCTGGATTCTGTAACCTCATGCTACAGACTGAAGTATGGGCATGCAGCTAGCTATGCTATTTGAATTGTCCTCCTGACATGAGTTGGAAAGAGGCTTGATTCCTCTGCCTCCCACCTTGCCTAAAGGCAAGCATGGGTTGTGCGGCCCCCCCTCACCTGCTTCCGCTGATTCTCAGCAAGCACCGCCTGCTCCCTCAGCGAGTGGATGCGATTCAGCAGCTCCTGCTTTCCGTCCAGAGCATCATCGAGGTTCTGCTCCAGGATATCCTTCTGCACCTGGACAAATGAGAGAGGCTCATCAGAGGCACATTTCTGCTTCTCTTATCCTTCTACCACACCCTTGCCCAGGTTGGGGAGGATGGGTGTGGAAACCCATATGTGGCGGTTGGATCTGTGACAATCTGCCTCCTCAAAAGCTAAGCCTCCTGCAGCCAGTAAAGGAATGTTATGTAGTTGGAGGGGATTTGTGCAAGACAAACAATTTTGCTGAAATGTGAGGAAGCAACTGTGCAGTTGCCTATATAAGTTTGTAAGAAGCTTGTATTTAGGGCAAACACATTAAGGGCACATCTACATTGCAAGCCTACATTGGTTCTTACACCAGATGACCAATATGCTGCTGAAGTATCATAGAAATGGTTGTTTTGTGAAACTAAGAATTCTGTTAAGAAATCCCCAGCTCTCGTCACAGAACTACAGTTTGCTGGATTCTCCGAGGGAAGGGAAAGGACTGTGAAAAGAATCCACAGCACAGGCAAAACCAGTATGAAAGTATTCCTGGAAATAGTCTTTTACCACACTGAAGGTCCCCAGCTCCACCATTGACTTGAGACGCTCGTTCTCCTCTCTCAGTGTCTGAAGTTCATCGGCCTGTGGCTGTGTGTCCCCAGCTGGCCTTGGGGACCTCTCCCATTCACAATAGGATGACACCCGGGCTCGCTGCAATTCCTGCTTCATCAGGTACAGCTACCATTGATGGGAACACAAAGAAGAAGAAGAAGAAGCAGTAGTGAGCGAGCAAGACGAGTGGTGGCAGCATGAAACACTGGCCAGGTTTGGATGCTCACTCTGAAACACAGGACCTGAGGGTCTGGTTTTAAGAATGCAGCTAGACTGCCAGTCCCTCTAGCAGTGGACTCAGCTGGGGAGGGACAACAGAACTGGAGCCAAAACAGGCCCACTGAGAAACCAGATGGTGGCACCAGCACGTTCAAGGAAACTCCAAATTTAAAACAAAAACAAATAAAATTAATGGGACACACATACCCATCCCCAACAGCCAAGGAAAGACTGAGCATGCTTAGTGCCCACAGAATGTTGAGGAGCAGCTGGGAAAGAAAGATGGAAAACTGGGAGGGGGGAATGGCCTGCTTGAGCACTTTACACCTTATACAAGGTGTGGTAGGGACCTTTGGCTCCCCAGATGCTGCTGATCTACAGCTCCCATCAGCTCAAGCAATCATGGTCAATGGCCAGGTGTTATGGAAGTTGTAGTTCAGCAACATATGGAGAGCCAATGGTTCCTCACATCTGGCTTATAGTATTCTAGAAGAGAGCATGACTGACTGGCTGGTAGAAACTCCAAACAGGACCACTCCTACTAAGGGGTGGGGTTACACTATCACTACCACAGAACCCTTAGTAAACACTTACTGAGGGGTGTCTTCTACACTCCAAACCTATGCACGTTCTGCAAGAAGCCGAGCTAAATACATACTTAGGTTAATCATAGCACAGGAGGAAAGAGAAAAATCTGGACAACTACAAAGAAATTGGTGATAGGCTCTCCTAGCACACAATCCAATCTACAATACCACACTCTTCAGCTGATAGGTCCAATAAACCAGGCATTTCAGGAGTCATCTTGTAAGAAACCCTAGTCTCTTTTGACAAGCAGATACCAAACAATCTTGGTCTGGAATCAGATTGCATCATTTCCATGGAATTTTATGTTAGGTCACTTCCAGTCAATCAAAATGGGTCATCATCTACTGGTAATTGTATTGGAGGAGGTGTGGATTGGAGGAAAAGCTATGCTTTTCCTCTGAAGCTGCAGCATAAATCGTTGCCTCCAGTGGAGGCAAGGTGCCAAGCTAGGCATTCCTCCAGGCAAGCTAACAATTCCTGCATTCCGAAACACCTAGCAGTAAAAGTGGGCATGTACAAAAATAGCTACAGATTACTGACAGGAAGCACTTTGGAGCTGTGGCCAAGCATTCATTGAAACTTCATTTAGAGGACTAGCGAAAGACTCTGGGAATTTCTTCGAAACACATAATGCACATCCATTATTCCTGATAGCAGCCTTTCACTCCTAAAATGATGTGACAACATCAGCTGAGCACAACACCCTACCACACCTCTTCCTGCAGGCTCTGACAGCGGGTGATGGCCAGGTCCTTCTCCTGCAGGGCACTGCTGTAACGTAAAGACAGGCCATAAAGTTCATCTTTAAGCTTGAGGGCTTCATGGAAGTGGGCACTGAGCTCCCTCTTCATGCGGTTACATTCGGCCTCAATGCCGCTCAGGCTTTCAGCTTGTGCTTCCAGTCGGGCGGTCTTCTCCTTCAGCTTGCGGCAGTGATGGAGCAAAGACACCTTCTGCCGCTTCTCCTGGCTCAGTTCTTCCTGCAGGCTGCTCACTGCCTTGGCCAAGCATTCTGTCAGTTGGGAACTCTCAATCAAGTCTAGGGTAAGGGAAATAACAGTTAGGCCTTTGACTGGTCCAGGCCTACCATGAAGCAGACAGAGCAAGGCATCCACCTCAGGCAGACAGATTTTGGCAGCAGTCTGGTGTTTATTGTATTTCTGCTACCTGTGAGGAAGTTGGCAAGGGGAAAAGGTGTGTGTGTGTGTGTGTGTGTGTGTGTGTGTAAGAGACACCATTTTGATTATCTGCCTTAGGTGCCAAAACATCTTGGGTCAGCCTCACTTCAGGGGCTGAAGATTGTTTTCAACACAACTGTCTCCTCTCAAGAAAGTGAACCATGAATAGGTGGGGTACAGGGTTTGAGAAAACTCACCACTGAAATGATTGTGGTCTATGGAAGGTTCCAAGCCAGTGATGAGCACATAAATATCTGGGTTGTGGAGTTTCAGGCTTTCCAGAAAGGCAAGGGCTCCATTTTTCCCACGGAATTTCAAGAGATCCAGCATGTGACCTGCAAGGGAATAAGAAAGAGCAACAGAATAAAGCGATTGAGTTCCTCTCCCATGGGGCTCCCTAAGACCCAACCTGCCTGCTGGGTCAGTGGAACATGGCAGGTGATGTGATGTGCCATATCTCTGCAAGTAATTTTGTTAGCCAGCTAAATGGCCTTCTATAGCACTTGCGGTACAGAGAAGCCAACAGAGCAGTCTTTAAGTCTTGCAATATAGGCTGCAATCAGTTGTCTTGACGGGCCCAGCTTTGGCTTCCTTCCTTCAGCCTTGGTCTGTGCAGGAATTATTTTACCCTACCTATGGTCTTTGTAAAGGGACGCGGGTGGCGCTGTGGGTAAAACCTCAGTGCCTAGGACTTGCTGATCATAAGGTCAGCGGTTCGAATCCCCACGGCGGGGTGAGCTCCCGTCATTCGGTCCCAGCTCCTGCCCACCTAGCAGTTCGAAAGCACCCCTAAGTGCAAGTAGATAAATAGGGACCGCTTACTAGCGGGAAGGTAAACGGCGTTTCCGTGTGCTGCGCTGGCTCATCAGTGCAGCTTCATCACGCTGGCCACGTGACCCGGAAGTGTCTTCGGATGGCGCCGGCTCCCGGCCTCTTGAGTGAGATGAGCGCACAACCCTAGAGTCGGTCACGACTGGCCCGTATGGGCAGGGGTACCTTTACCTTTTATGGTCTTCATGGGACAATTTGCCTATCTGTCTTTGGCAGCCTTCTCCAGTCTGGTGCCCTCGTGCTGACTGGGGTTGATAAGCATTGTTGTCCAAAACATATTGAGGGCACCAGGTTGCCCCTTTGTGAAACACCCATCCTCCTTTGACTGACACAGAGGAACTCCTTCCCATTTACAGTGGTACCTCGGGTTAAGTACTTAATTCATTCCAGAGGTCCATTCTTAACCTGAAACTGTTCTTAACCTGAAGCTCCACTTTAGCTAATGGGGCCTCCTGCTGCCACCGCACCACTGGAGCACGATTTCTGTTCTCATCTTGAAGCAAAGTTCTTAACCCGAGGTACTATTTCTGGGTTAGCGGAGTCTGTAACCTGAAGCGTATGTAACCCGAGGTACCACTGTAGTATCACATTTATTCCCCCAGCCAAAAATGATGTCCTAGTAGTCCAAATATTTGCATCAACAGCTAGCCTTCCCTCCAGTGGTAACACTGCCATGTTGAGATTCTTTGGACACAGGCTATGTCTGCTCCTAAAGTTGATAGCCTTCCTCATCCGCTTATGGTGAGCATGATTAATGATAAACTTGGTGTAGACAAAGTTCAACAGGGCTGTCCCGCCTCCCCTTCTGCATTTCTTCTAGAGGGAGAGGAGCAAGACAGAAACATATCCCCTTTCCCCGTTATAGGTAGATGTGCCTTATGGCGTCCCATCAACATTGCCACACTAAGGCTGCTCACCCACTCTCATGGCGCTGTTTGTGAACTGCGGGCTGTGCAGCACCTCTTCCTCATCAAGTTGACCAAGCACCTTGGCCTGGCGCAGGTAGGGTGTAAGCCGGCTCGGGGTGACACCACGAACAATCCTGTAGCGATGACCCTCTACCATCTCCCACAAAAGGTCCTCGTCCATGTCACGGAGCTGTTGATCAACCAGGATGGGGTCATCTGCTCCTGCCTCCGCCATAATAGGAACCTGGAAGGACGAGAGGGGCTAGTAGTTTTTCGAAGGACACAAATGAAAAACTTGTTTCTCAAAGCTCTAAATACACAGTAGGTAAGCGCTCCATAAGGTACACAGCTCTTGTTCCAAACTGGGTGTGTGGCACAGCAGAGGCCGAATCCCAGCCTAGAAAACAGCATTGCACAATACTGCAGGACCAAAAGGATTCTTGGAGATCGAGTCCATAATCCTCTCTGCTTTTATCCAAACTAATACTACACGCATTATACACCTGTCTTCATTATACACCTTTAGGCACCAGGCAAAAACGTTCCTTTTTAACCAGGCCTTTGGTTGATTTGATTGACATCCTATGGCCTTTTAAAATGTGTGGTGTTTTATTTTTATTTTTTTGGAGGGAGGTGTTCTTGGGTTGCTGTTTTTATTTTGATTATATATTTTGTGGTTTTATATTCTGATTTTGTTCTATGAACCACCCTGAGACCTCTGGCTATAGGGCAGTATATAAATTCAAGTCATACATACATACATACATACTACAGATGCTACAGATTACAGTAAATTATCCATACTGTTGCCTGAAATGTGTCTATTATACTCTCTTACCTAAATGTAGCAACAATTTAGTCCTGGGTGCGTAATTTCTCCCTCCCCATGCCCTCTCTTTCTCCCTTTTTCTTAAAATGCTTCTAGACCTTATGGAAGCAAAAAAACCACAGGCTTGAAATAGTGTGAGCAATGCCTACTGAAATCTCAGGTGCCGGAAGAGCAGCTGGATTAAAATACAGTGGTACCTCGGGTTAAGATCTTAATTCGTTCTGGAGGTCTGTTCTTAACCTGAAACTGTTCTTAACCTGAAGCACCACTTTAGCTAATGGGGCCTCCTGCTGCCGCCACGCCGCTGCTGCACGGTTTCTGTTCTTATCCTGAGGTAAAGTTCTTAACCCGAGGTAATATTTCTGGGTTAGTGGAGTCTGTAACGTGAAGCATATGTAACCTGAAGCGTATGTAACCTGAGGTACCACTGCATGCAATGGTAAAGGAGAGGAAAGTTCTTCAGTGTCACGTACTGGCTTGCTCCTCCCCATGGCAAACACAATGTACTTTGCAAACATTATATGTGCATTATTATTATTATTATTATTATTATTTGTATTTTGCATCATTTACACAGGGCACAAAATTTGAGCTCTTTTGTGTGTGCAGCACAGAGAGTCCTGATTACAGTGTGTCACAAGCAAAGCATGAACCTGCATGCCAAAGATGCATATGAGGTTCAAATACAGTGGTACCTCAGGTTACATACGCTTCAGGTTACAGACTCCACTAACCCAGAAATAGTGCTTCAGGTTAAGAACTTTGCTTCAAGATGAGAACAGAAATCGTGCTCCGGCGGCACGGCAGCAGTGGGAGGCCCCATTAGCTAAAGTGGTGCTTCAGGTTAAGAACAGTTTCAGGTTAAGTACAGACCTCGGGAACGAATTAAGTACTTAACCTAAGGTACTACTGTAATAGTTTATTAAAATCAGCCACATTGGTTCATTGATTCCAGAAGGAAAATCTATTTATGGTGTAAAACCTTCTGCCAGACTTTTCTCTTCTTCCCAGCCTGCTCACAAAGGATTGCTGGTTAATAATTCAGAATAGAAGCTTGCTATTTCATGAAAAGGAACTAATGGTTAGGAGATCTTTTCCTAGTAGGCTAGGAATCTCTGCACGTGTTTGAATGAGACACCACCTTGAGTCTGGAGAAGGTGACACTCCTCCATCTGATGGCCAGAAGGCAGAAAAACAACAGTTGACATTTTCTCAAAGCATGTGTGTGCTCTGGTTGGAGTGAACTGAAACTGCAGGATTGACCAAGCTGCTACCCATATACAGGGTATATGTTTGAAATGCATGCTTTGCCTCCACTTATGCTCTGCTTGCACATTTGTCAACAAACATTATAAATGCATCCCAAATATCCTGAGCTGCCTTATCCAAAGGAAACTAAACCCAGAAGTATTGCCATTGGAACTTTTCCACACTTGAAGAAGTGGGTGAATGAACACACACACACACACACACACACACACACACACAGGCACCTTAATAAATTGTTATCTAACTTAATAAATTGTTATCTAACCTACACATTTATTTAACATTTACAGTGTGGATGTCAGCTGAATTCTGGAGTAAAGCCTGATGGCTTTACTCCAACTTACATCTAGAGCTGGAATTATTCCCATGTGCACCTCCCCTGTCTGTTCTGTGTCCTTCCAAGTGTCTAGCACATATCTAGTGCTAACTAAATAACCACAACAATGATACAGTCCTCTTATGGGCCACAATGGACTGTTAACACAACCAACCCATTTACCTAGAGGCAACAGTGATTAAACATGGCAATAAAATTCCAGTAAGGTAGGCAGGGATGAGAACATTATCCTAACCATCAAACTAGAAGCTTCTCCTCTTCCTCACTGCAACCAATTAGATTTGGCTTCCTATCTGAAAGTAAGTAGCACAGGGCCATATTCCAGCTAGTGCAGTTCAAGAAGCTGACGGGCTGCCCAAACAAGGGAAGTACAGTTAGATGAACAATCATGTCAATAGCCATTTCCCTTTTAGGCACAGAGTTTTTTAGGTGGTTGGGGAGAAACCGTAATACTGGGCAAAAAAGGTTTCGGATAATTTGAAGTGCCTGATAGGGGGCAAAACCTTTCCAGATCGGGGTAGAATTTTTATTTTTGCCTTCCTTTCCTAAATCAAATAATAAAGCAAGCCGCCATCGCCGCCACCAAGCAACAAACCCGATCGCTTGGGCTTGGCCCTACCATTTGGCAGGGAACAGCAGCAAGGTGCTGGAGGATAGAGCTCTCTGTGTTTGTGTGTTCTCCTCCTCTCCCCTCTCAGGTGTTTTGGAGGATGCTGTCCCATCACTGTCTGTTGATATAACATTCAGTTACCAGTCCAATTGGCTTCTGTACGGGGAATGGGGAGCACCAGCAACTTTTGCCACAGGGAAATCTTTGGCTGGCTCTGCCAACACTACCCTCCAGGACCCTAGGTCTCTTGCTACATTAATTTATTTTGAGATTTCTCCATAATCCTTTACCTAACAGTCCTGGGCAGATTAAAAACATCAGAAATACATAATATGCATCATTATTAATTCACTCATGTATGCAACGTTGCCGATTATTGCCTGACATCTTTAAAAAGCCAGAAGTGTACCCAGCCACTTAAGCGCAGAGAGAACTCGAAACCCAACGTTCCATTGCAGAGAAAGAATGAGGCAATGAAAATAACAATCTGGAATTCCAAATTCTTCAGTGGTTGGAAGCAGGGAATTTAGGAGCAGAAATTGTGCACACTGTCTAAGTTTCTTTGGAGGGAGGATAAAATGCAATGAACAAACAAATAAACGAACTTCTCCAATAAGTAAACAAGGAGTGGGGACTCTGTGGGGTAAGAACATCTAGGTCCTGTTCTCCACTGCTATTTTTCTAGAGAAAGAGGTGCTAGAACTCGCCATGAACATATCCCTCTTTCTCTTAGAATGGCAATGGCACCCACCTGAGAAGTTCTGGAACTTACCTGAGAGGTGCCAGAACTGAGTTCTGGCAAGTTCCCACTGAAGAAAAACCCTGCTGTTCTCAGGTGTTTAGTTTCTGGGTCTCCATATGGCTCTCTGTATAAAGCAATTTATCAGCCTTGAAGGTCCTAAAGGCCTGCATTTAGGGGTGTTGAAGTAAATGGAGGAGAAGGAGGACCCTCAAGTCCAAATTAAGACCTTCAGCTCACTGAGTAACCTGCTAAACTCCTATTCTCCTCAGCTCTTTTGCCCTGGATGTGATTGAGATAGCAGCCCTTCCTTTCCTTCAGGCCAAGCCATCCCGACAGAAACACTGAACGCTAAAGCTGAGACCCTACTAGTCCTACCTGTTCCTGCTGATCCACAGAGGAGAATGTTGTCCTCGACATATTGGTGTTGCATGTCTTGGAGAAAGACTGTGATGTCTGGAGAACAGTGAACAGGTTTTTCAGGAGGACCAGCTCTGCTTGCCAAGGAGATTTAATGTATTCATCAGCAGTTCTTCCTCCTGGGCAGAGTGCCAGGCTAAGAGAGATCTATTATTCCACCAGAGGTGTATGGCTTAGTTACATAGCAAGGCATCATACCTCAGCAAGCTAATCAGACTTCCTTCCAGTTATAGGAGCTGAGAGTTCGCAGAAGTAACAATGTGGGCTCAGGTTGTAAACACCAGGGTGCCAAAGTTGAAGTCCTCCCTCAAGTTGTTTCACCAGTGTGGGTTTTGGACAAGCACAGCCTTTTCTCACCTTGGTTTCTCACCCATGAACAAAACTGTAAGGCACATAACTATCTCCTACAATATTTCAAATATCATGAATGGTACACAGTGACAAAATCCCAAAGCATATTGCTTCCTTGGAAATAACTTTGGTTGGAATAAAACCAAATACATTCATTCACATGTGCAACCAAGATGACCAAGGGTCTGAAAACCAAGCCTTATGAGGAGGGGTTGAAGGAGCAGGGTAAGTGAGAAGAGATATGATAGCCATCTTCAAATATCTCTCAAAAGCTGTCACATGGAACAAGCTGTCACATGGAACAAGAGGGAACAAGCTTGTTTTCTCCTGCTCTGGTGGGTAGGACCTATCATTATTTATTTGTATTGTTGGAAACAAAAAGTACATGGGCTGTTCTGGAGCCTTTGCAGTTTACATTTCAACTGGCTCTAAAGGGAGAGGAGGAAAACGAGACTAGAGATGAAATTCATGCTTCAGGCAGAGGTTGATGCTCTGCTTATAGGAGGAGCCAGGCTCAACCTCCAGTTAAAAGATCTTGGATCGAAAGGTTGGGAAAATTTGGTTCTCTTCCTCCCCATTTAATCTTCACAACAACCCTGAGAGAATGACTGGCCCAAGAACACCCAGTGAGCTTTCATGGCTGAGCAGAGCTTTTGAACCTTGGTCTCCCAGGTCCTAGTCCAATACTCCAACCACAATAGTACACTGGTTCTTTTTAAGAAGCCACAAAATGCTGGTTTTGCTCCAGTACAGACACTGGAAAAGGTTGAGACCTTGGAGACCTGCTTTGGGCTTAATGGAACAAATAGCTTTTTGATTCAGTAAATGGCAATTACATGAGCTCATGAGCCTTGGCTTTGAAGAGGTAACACAAAAGAGGCAGAATACTCCCCCTGTGCTTTATTATAACCCTCTTGTGACAGGTACAGATCATGCATGGGGAAATTTTTGTTTTGGTTGGTGGCAATTGTCCCAGACAACACGGAAGGGAAGAATCCCTGCCAACATACCTGCAAACCGAGTCAGTCAGAAGCTCCACCTAGCTTGGAGAGGAAGGGAGGGTCAAGCCATTGAAAAATCCACGATTGCAGAAGAAAGGAAAAGGAACGAGTGGGCGTCTCCAAAGCCAGCACTTAGCTAGAGAGGCAGTGACAACCAGAAGAGCTACCTTTCCAATTCGCAAAAATCCAGACTCAAAGACAGTCCAGGGAAATTATAGACAATAGTTTGTTTGTTTGTTTTTAAAGAGGGAGGGTATCTGGTACATTGGGGGTGTGGGCAACCTACAGCTCTCTGCCTAATTCCATGGGGGTGGCAAGAACTAAAAAAACACAGAGAGGAGAAAGAGTTAGCAGAAAGGGAACGTGGTGCTCACCCCCACCAACAAAAAGGTTAACCACATTCGCAGTATTTCCGTCCTGGAAATCTTAACTTCGATTCAAGATGTATAGTGATTACGGAAAGGAACCTTCTCATATTCTAGGGTTGAATTCTGGTATTAAAAGCAGATCTGGCTTCATCAGGCAATGGTTAGAATATTCCACAGGGATCTGTGCTATAAACTCACAGTAAAAAGTTTACTTCAAGTCATTTGAGGAAGGTTTTAGTAGATCATCGCTCCCATTCCGTACAACAGTCCTCAGGCAATTGTTGTCTGCAGCCTTTCCTTAAATATGGTCTTGGGTATCAGAGACCCACAAGTATTTCAAGTACTCCAGGACAGTATTGCAGTAGTACAAAGCAGGGCCTGCAGTAAACTGTTGCAATGCATTCTCCCTCCAGTGCAGGATTCTAAACAGCCACTCCCTTCAAGCAGGTCAGTCCACTCCTTCCCTCTTTTCAGCTTTATATTTAGTGGCTCTTGAGCATGTTCAGCCTTAAAACTGGGCAGGTTTGGTGGATTTTGACCCTTTAGGGGTCCCCCAACTTTTTTGTAGTTTTTTTTTTTTTTTTGCTGATCTTTAGCACAGTGGTATCTCCCCTTCTGCATCTCTGTAGACCCTTTGGGCTACAACTCTGATAACACTTGCCAGCTGAGTTTACCATTTATAAGGAGCAATAGCAATGAACAGTCTTCTGTACTTACATATATAGAATGCATAGATTTGTGGGGTTTGCAAGGAATGACTTGACTCTGTGGATCACATGCATTACCCTTCCTTAACAGACCTATTTATATATATTTTGAGGAAGAGAGTTTCTTGGAAGTTCTTCTGAATTTAATTATGAAGTATTTGTTTAGAGATACTCAGAAAATCTCTCAAACTTCTATGTGTGCATACACACATACACACGGAACAGGGTCTCAATGTACTTTTAACCAACTAACGTAGTTCTATGTGCCTTAGTCCTTTTGTTCAATCTTCAATCTTCTCTTATTTTTTTAAAGAAATGAGTAATTGGTAGGGATTTATCCATAGGGCATGCATTGGGTACAGAGTGGCTGGAGCAACCCAGCAACATACTGGTGTTACAATTTTTATTCTATATTGAATCAACCTTTAATATAATCACTGCATCCTGCATTACATGCAATGTTGTTTACTATTTGCTCTTGTGTCTGTGCCTTATGCTGGGCGACAGCAGCACCATATCCTCAAACTGCAGCAGTTTTTGGCAACCACCACCATCATCATGATCGTTAACCATTTGGATGCTGGTAAAGCAAACTTGATGGCAACAAGAGAACAATCTGAATGCACCTGATAAAGAGTCAATTGGATGCCTGGCCTGTTCTGAGCTTTTGAGAGGAAAGGTAAACAAATAGGAAGGAGAGATGGGAAAGATCTATGAGTAGTAGGGAGTGTTGTTTTGTGATCACCCACCTTTTATCAAAGGCGAACCTTTTTAAAATTTTCTGCCACCAGTGAAATAGATCCAACACAAATGAGGGTAAAGCACAAGATTTAAGAAAAATATTTATTGAGAAGACAGACTTCCAAGAGGCAGGAAAAAAATTCATTTCAGACTTCAAATGCAAACAGACTCTCTGTATTCACTGAGTTCCTGTTGCAGCTGCCTTTCCCCAAAAAGGAGGGGGGGGTTTTGTTCATAAGAGCTGCTCTTTCAGCAAGCAAGCAAGCAGCTTTTACAGCTTTCCTGTGGATGCACCACTACAAAAATAGAGCTGCATTTTAGTGCAATAAAATGAGGTCTTGTGCATAGAGAAACCCTTGCTCTGCCCAAAACAGGAGGGCAGGGGGACATGATTTGGAATGACTAACTCAATTGCCATGCTGTTTTCCCCTGAAAGATTCTGCTCCCCAGGCCAGGAAAGTTTCCCTTCCACTGCCCTTAGTCCTGGCTTACTACAGCCAATGGGAAGCTACCAATTGATTCAAGGGGAGCTGAGCTTGGTAGCCAATGAAGTGGGTGTTTGCAATGGCTTCTGTCTGCTTCTGCACCTGCTTGAGCAAATTTGCTCCATCTGGTCGTACCATTAAGGTGAGCTTCGTCACAACAAAGCAGCATCTGTCTTCCCATGAACATTCTTTTTACTCCGGGGTGGGGTGCGGGGGGGAGATATGAAAATTGCAGCCATGTGTCTTGAATTTCATCAGCATCCAAAAAGCAAAAACAAAGCCATCAAATATCTGGCTTAAATTAAGAATACAGAAAGTCCCTGAAGACTCTGACTATTCCCCTTCCAACAGATACTGAGCAACCTGTGACCCTCTAGATCTCTTGGACTACAGCTTCCATCATCCTTGACACCAGAAGGGTCACAGGCTCCCCTTCCCTTCCCTGCAGTGCCAGAGGAAAACAGGAAACAGTTCTTGCTGCTGAAAAGACACTTTCTGACAAATCACCAAAACATTCCAGTACAGACAGAATAAGGTGCATTGTTATCGTTGGTTTTTCATTCTTCTGTTGTGGTGCAGAGAAACTGGTGAGAGCTTTTCTTCTTTGCTCAGGACCAGGTGATAAGAAATGGCTCTCCCATCAACAGGTGGAGTGGGATGGTAAGGATCTGAGGAAGCGACAAGGTAGAGTTAGTGACAGTTGCTCACAGACTTCATCCTGGAATCACAATGAAGGACAGAGCAGTCCAAGCTCAGGTGCTGGCTGGTCCATGCTAATCTCCACTGAGACCTTGTGGGGCCATGGGTAATCTCACAAAGCAGAGGGGAAGTTCTGCTGTCCCTTCCTTTGTGCTTGGGCTTCCGTGGTACACATGGTTCAAATGTGGCTGCTGCCCCATGTGGACACACCAGTTCATGCGACAGGCACCTCTAGACTGACAGCCTGTTGGCAGCCCTACAAGCTCCTGCAGGCAAGTACCCTGGGTGGAATTCAGTGCAGCAGTAAGTGGGGTATGCATGCATGGAATGAGGTCCACTTGCACAGCAATACTCCACCCACCCCATGCCCAGCTTGAGGGTTAGGAGAAAACCAGAGCAGATTTAGGGAGGGTGGAGAATGGAGAGGAAGAAAATCTCCCTGCATGAGTGGACCCCATCAGCTGAATCCCACCCAGAGAAGCTGCCATGCTTCTAAACCAAGTCAACAATTGTCTTCTGAGTTATGAAGTCTACACTGCAGCCATGCTAATTATTTCTGAGAATATTCTGTTTCCAAGGTGTAGCTGGATATATAAAGTAAAAACAGAACAAAAGCAAAAGAGCATTTACCCCCAAGTATATTGAGAATGATGTTGTGTTCCCTTGATTTGCATTTTAATAGCATTTACAACATTCAGAATGTTTAAGGAAGTTTCTAGATGGGTTTTGGGGAGCGGAAGAGAGGAACAGAAATACTGGGGCAAGTACTGGAAATCATGGGAGAAACACAGGGAACTCAGGATAGCCAGGTTGTCCAATGTCCAGTTTATACTGTTGTTGCTTTATGGTATTTGTTTTGATTTATACATTTTATATTTTGTTCTGTACCGGCCCAGCAACTTCAGATTCAAGGGCAGAAACAGAAATCTAATAGGTACCTAATTCCCTGAACACTGCAAGCCCTGCTCAAATCAATTTGGCACTTTCAAATCTTTACTAACATACTTTTAAAAAGCTGACTAGTATATTCCATTGCTTAAATAGCTCATGCTGTCTGCAATCAATGCAAGCAGAAAGAGGCATCAGCCTCCACCCACAGAGAAGTCCTTACCTTGGTGTCGGTGCGGTAGGAGAAGTCTGGGACGGGGACCCCATTTGCCAGGACACGCTGAGGAGGGCTGGGGACACCAAGAACTGCCACCTCTTTCAACAGCAGCCCATCCATTTGGCTATTGAGCTGCACAATCTCATTGACCAGCATGCCCTGTAGCCGTGGGGGAGAGAGGGAGGAGAATGACATGATACCCCCACAAAACAGATGCAGCCAAATGAGATCCCAGGCATTAGGAACAAATGGAGCAACCTGTTTCTCCCAGAAACTCACATTTCTTGCCAGAAAGACAATCTGTGTGTAATCGCCCTTCTCAAAGGTCTGCAGTCTATCACCATCATCCCAGAACAGGTCACCTCTTGCTACCCCTTCCAGGGTCAAAGCCACCACTAGGGACATCCCCTTTTTGCGGGACTCTGTGGTGGTGAAGGCAGGTTCCTGGGGAGAGAGGCAGTGGAGGAAAATGATAACCAAAACAGTAAAGCCCTGAAATATAGCTCACCCCCCCAGCAATATTATAAAAAATATCCCTGCACCCCACTAATCATGCACACAAGAACACCCTGCCAAGTGAATCCTATGGCAGTACTTGGCTTAGTAGTTCTGTGTTGTTGTTTTTGGTAAAGGCACTGGGTAGATTCAAAGACATAGAATGTCCAGGCAAGGTCAAAAGTGGTGGAATTAACTCACCTGCAAGGGTAAGATGTGACCTGCTCGTACATGGACATTGATAGTGTCAAGTGGAGCCGATAAGAGAACCCATTGTCCCTTGCTGTGTATGGCAGATCCCTGAAAAGCCAGATACAGGACCCATCATTAAGCAGGCATTTGAAATCCTGTGCATGGTGTGTAAAGGCACAAAATGCACAAAGGCTGAGACTTCGCGGATCACACACAGCTTGTCTGGTTTTAGTTACAGGTGGGTAGCCGTGTTGGTCTGCCGTAGGCAAAACAAAATAAATTAAATTAAATTAAAAAATTCCTTCCAGTAACACCTTAGAGACCAAGTAAGTTAGTTATTAGTATGAGCTTTTGTGTGCATGCACACTTCTTCAGATACACAAGCTTGGCTGGTGCTTGACTGGTATCATGGCTCCCTACCCTTTGAACGCACCTTCCAATTTGCTGGTGTGCAGAAAAGGTTACACACACACACACACACACACACACACACACACTGTCCTAAGAGCTGATGAGCTACCAAGCCTCTCTTTATCACAGAATCATAGAGTTGGAAGAGACCACAAGGGCCATCGAGTCCAACCCCCTGCCAAGCAGGAAACACCATCAGAGCACTCCTGACATATGGTTGTCAAGCCTCTGCTTAAAGACCTCCAAAGAAGGAGACTCTACCACACTCCTTGGCAGCAAATTCCACTGTCGAACAGCTCTTACTGTCAGGAAGTTCTTCCTAATGTTTAGGTGGAATCTTCTTTCTTGTAGTTTGGATCCATTGCTCCACGTCCGCTTCTCTGGAGCAGCAGAAAACAACCTTTCTCCCTCCTCTCTTTACTGCAGCTTAGCCAGCATTTGGATTGAGAATAAATACGGCAGCCTACTTCTGCATTGTCTAAAGGTTAATTTTCATCCACTCAGGATGATGATTCAGGCTACTGTCGCTTTAAGACAAGATTAGTCACTTGACAGTTTCAAGTCAAGCAAATTCTGAAATGTGACAAGTATTTGATCATTACAACCCACAGCGCCCAAAACAAGTATTTCTGGAGCCCATGAATGTGGCCAAGCCTGAAGAGCAAGTCATCTACCAGACACGTTGCAGAAAGATATCAGAAACCACGGCTTCTATAGAGAGTGGGCACAATAATGTTATGAAGGTGCGAGGTCAATGATGGCCACCTAGGTGAACTCAATTCTGTGAATGTCTAATCAAGACATATGCTTCAGATACAGCTTGGACATCATGGGGAAGGCTCCATTTACTGAAGCTGAAAGGACCTGGAGCAGGGAACTATCAACCTTCTCTGCCCACTGTGCTCCCGATTCCAGTGAAATGTCACAGGCACTTGTGATCTTTCACATTATAATAATAGTTTTATTATTTATACCCTGCCCATCTGGCTGGGTTGCCCCAGCCACTCTGGGCAGCTTCCAACACATATAAAAAAACATAATAAAACATCAGAATTAAAAAAACTCCCAAAAGAGGCCTGACTTCGGATGTCTTCTAAAAGTTGTATAGTTCTTTCATCTCCTTGGCATCTGATGGGAGGGCATTCCACAGGGATAACAACAACAACAATAGTAATAATGGCGGCACTAGCCAGAGGAAGCAGCAACACTCACCACCAAAAGGTTGTACCATGTGCCTGAAGGGAAGTAGCCGCTGACATGACTCTTCCCTGCCTCCAACACAGGAGTGATGAGAACCCCTGCTCCCCACATGAGCTGTCGGTCGATGTCCCATGTATTGGGGTCTTCTGGGAACCTGCAGAGAAGAGATTCACCCCCATACCACTCTGTATTATAGGGAATCAACAAACTTGATTTGATCAAGAAGCAAATTCCTCTGCCTCCAGCTCATAAACATTCTCTTTCATTTTCTCTCTCTCTCTCTGGCTCCTCCCCACCCCCCGTGGGTCAAATGGCTGCAAGGCCACAGATTCCCCACTGCACCTGACCCTTTCACTGCCAGCATAGCAGTCCGCTGACTCACTCCAGATAAAGGGGTCGGGCAACCGTCTCCCCTGCGGAGTGGGCCTTGTGAAAGAGGGTGTAGAGGTAAGGCAGCAAGGAGTAGCGAAGCAAGAAGGCTTTTCTCATGGCTTCTTGGGCCTCTTGGCTGAAGACATATGGTTCCTGGGGCTGCAAGATAGAGGGAGAAAACATATTAGAAGCATCATGCCCCAAAGACTCCTGCAGAAAGAGGCATTTCCCAGGTTGCCAAGATCAGATTCAGAAAACATCTTTTCCCCCACATGTACCCTCCCCGATACCCAAACATCCTTTTCACCAGGAAGTTCAACACCTGCTGTGGGACACGTTGACACTCTTAACACAGTGTTTCCCAGACTTGGTTCTCCAGCTGTTTTCGGACTACAACTCCCATCATCTCTAGCTAGCAAAACCAGTGGCCAGGGATGATGGGAACTGAAGTCCGAAAACAGCTGGAGACCCAAGTTTGGGAAACACTGCCTAACAGGAGTAGAGTTGATGAGAGCTGAAATAAAAAGAGTAACCCTGAAGCCAAGGGTAGCTAACGCGGTGCCCTCTAAATGTTGTTGGGCTCCAACGCCCATCAGCCCCTGCTAGCATGGCCAACAGACACAGAGAGGTGGGATTTGGAGTCCAGCAACATCTGGAGAGCACCACGTTGCCGGCTCTTGTTTTAAGGCATGATCCCATAGGGCCCTTTGTGCCAGTAACAGAGCACATAAGACTGGGCACTTGTACCAACCGCAATCTGTGACACTACATTGACAGTAACAGTCAGTTCTAACTGTTATGCTGCTGCTGCTTCTGCAAGCAGACCCGAAGATCCTTTACTACAAGGACCCCCATGGCCACTTTTGGTGCAACAGCGGCACGCAGAGCCAGAGCTCTGTAGCAAGCAGAGAGGGCAGAGGTCACTGCATGGGATGGAGTTACTTGCCACTGAGATGTGCAGCATCTTGAGGGCCACTGTGAAATCTACCGAACCAGAAAGTGAAAACAAATCCATGCAATTATTGCATGGATGGAGAAAACGGGCAGGGGGGATACTATTAAACCACGGTTAAGGCTGCAACCCTACATGCACTTACAAGGAAGAAAAAACAGCATGGAACACATTAGAACTTACTCCCGAGTAAGCATTGCCTTGAAAATTGACTCACTTCATGAGATCCAGTTAATGATTTACGAGACTATAAAAAGAACAACTAAAAGAGTTGTGCATGCTGCACAATTCATACCATGCAAGCTGTGAATCTAACCATATAGAGACCTCCAGTTCCTTGCAGTTGCATAGCAGCGCCAAGACTACTGCGGTGATTCACCAGCTCAGTATTACACGGCCTTGTTTTTCAAGTTAAGTTGCCCTAACCTTTTCCTGGGGCTCCACACCTAATAGCATTCTTTGCCACATTGCCACATTGTTTTTAAAACATTATCAGGCCAATTCCTTTATTACTTCTATGCCTGTGGCTATGACCACATCACTGCACACTCTTAAATGAACTTAGAGCACAGGACATTTCTAAATGAAGTGCATTTAGGTTTTGACTCTTACTTCCTGCTCAGTATTGGAGGGGGCGGGAAATGGAGCCTTTGTCTGCTTTCTTCCAACAGCATGAAGCTGAATGTTATTTCACTGTTGCTTCACAAAAATGATTATCAGAACTTTTGGGGGGCAAGCTTCACAGGATGGGTTGTAGTGAGCAGAAGCCGATTCCAAAGATTAAACTAACTGGAAGTATTTGGGGAAGAAGGGGTGAGTTGTTCAACAAGCTACCTTTATGCTTGGTTCATGACACCAGAGACCAATCCAGATACAATGGGCCACCAGTCCCTTATCCTGGACCACTGAGCGATGCTCCTATCTCCCAGAGACACACACCTTCCATTTGAACTCTCTAAAACGTTTAAATCCCAGCCATGCTCCCCACCACGACCCCCCACACAGCGTAAATACGTTACAAAGAGGGGGAGAGAGCAAGGCTGATCCACCATCGCTTACCTTGTTTCTACGGTCGTTGTGGTTTCGCATGAAGGGGTAGAAGGCGCCCAGTTGGGTCCAGCGCACACAAAGCTCTTCTGACGTGTCACCCACAAAGCCACAGATGTCCGCGCCAACCAATGGCACACCATAGAAGTTAAAGAGCAGCACCGCTGAAGGCAAGACAAGGAAAATACATGGAATGACCTCTTCAGTGGCAGGCTCTGGGTGCAGGCACGATTCTGCAGTGGTCTGTGGGGTTTTTTGTGTTTGTATGTGTGTGATATTACACAGAATTCATCCCTGCTAGGGAATTCGGGACGCGGGTGGTGCTGTGGGTTAAACCACAGAGCCTAGGACTTGCTGATCAGAAGGTCAGCGGTTCGAATCTCGGTGATGGGGTGAGCTCCCATTGCTCGGTCCCAGCTCCTGCCAACCTAGCAGTTCAAAAGCACGTCAAAGTGCAAGTAGATAAATAGGTACAGCTCCGGCGGGAAGGTAAACAGCGTTTCCGTGCGCCAGAAGCGGCTTAGTCATACTGGCCTCATGACCCGGAAGCTGTACACCAGCTCCCTTGGCCAATAAAGCAAGATGAGTGCCGCAACCCCAGAGTCGGCCATGACTGGACCTAATAGTCAGGGGTCCCTTTACCTTTAGGGAATTCGCATCTCTAAGTCCAGGAACTTTCCTCTCTCATGGAGATCTGAAAGAACTCCAAAGCAGCATCTTTAAAAGCAGAACATGGCAAGTTCCCGGGACTGACTCCCCAAACATATTTACCTGGTATGGTATAGTATAAATGATCCCAGGTGCTCATGACATCCCCAGTCCAGTGACCAGCATAGTGACCATGACCGGCAAAGGTGGAACGAGAGATGATGAATGGGCGCTTCCCTCGCACTTTCACCAAAGCGCTGAGAACAGAAGGGAGGGGAAGTTGTGGGCAATGTCAGAAACTGACCCCTGTCCATCCAGAGCTTTGATCTTTCAATAATAATAATAAATTAATTTTTGTACCCCGCCCATCTGACTGGGTTGCCCCAGGCACTCTGGGCGGCTTCCAATACATATAAAAACATAGTATCAAACATTGAAAACTTCCCTATACAGGGCTGCCTTCAGATTTCTTCAAAAAGTTGTGTAGTTCTTTATCTCCTTGACATCTGACGGGAGGGTGTTCCACAGGGAGGGTGCCACTACCGAGAAGGCCCTCTGCCTGGTTCCCTGTAACCTCACTTCTCACAGTGAGAGAACCACCAGAAGGCCCTCAGCGTTGGACCTCAGTGTCCGGGTTGAACAATGGGTGTGGAGACGCTCCTTCAGGTATATTGGGTCAAGGCTGTTTAGGGCTTTAAAGGTCAGCACCAACACTTTGAACTGTGCTCGGAAATGTACCGGGAGCCAATGCAGGTCTTTCGGGACCTGTGTTACTTGGTCCCGGTGGCCGCTCTCAGTCACCAGTCTGGCAGCTGCATTCTGAATTGTAGTTTCAGAGTCACCTTCAAAGGTAGCCCCACGCAGAGCACATTGCAGTAGTCCAAGCACTGGTAGAAGTGCTGATTTACTGCATCCCATGAGAAGATTCTCAGGCAGAAGTTCAAACTCAAGGCACTTGGCTCCAGCTTATCACCAGCAACAGGCCCTTGAATACCAAGATGAGACTCTGCATCCAAGAGGCATACCACCTTTTGGGCAGGGTCCCCGAGGACTCTGCATGTCCTACTCACTCGTGTGACGCGATGGCTTCAGTCAACCCATACAGATTGTGCAGGTTGTAATGGGAGGACAGGTATTGCCTGCTGGAGGCACAGAGCGTTCGAGTCTTCAAGGATCCTCCTAGCACACCTATGCGGGGAACAGGGGCAGGCAAGGCAGAATGTGTGAGCAAAAAGGCCATCACCCAGGAGCTAGAAGGCAAGTAAAGCATTCTTGAGCACTCTTGGTCTCAGGGATCTTAGGATCACTAGTGCCCAACTAGGAGCTCCTGCAGGCCGAAGGGAAAAGGCAACACTTCTCAATACTTACACAAGTCTCTTGACCTTCACAGGGAGCTGCTGCTATAGGAATAGTCTAACCACAGAGAGGTCAATTGGGAGCGACTGCTAGGACTCCTGCTTCAGGATCTGAACCAGGCCAAACAAGGATGAACTTGTTGCTCTTCGGTGCTCCTCATGCACACCAGCCCTGCACTAACTGGCATTCTGTAACTTGTGATTCCTTGACTGCTTTCATATAGTGCATTGTGTGTAAATCATGGGTAGAGAACCTTAGGTCCTCCAGATGTTGCTGGACCAACTCCTACTATCCTTAACCATTAGTCTTGTTTTGCCCGGGGCCATAAGAAGCTCCCCATCCCTGGTGTACGTCATGATTTTGTTAAATAGCTAATCCAGTGCTGCACAGTGCAGTGATCCAAGCAGAATTAACTGAAGGCCATGCTGTCATGAATATTCCCAAGTAATCATATTTGGAGATTCCTCTCCCCAACAGGTTTATTGATTTATCTTCTATTCCCAGATTCTCCAGTCCCACCCATCATTTACTAGCAAAGCCCCATCTTTGTAACCTTCTCTCTCTCTCTCACCTGGCACATAAGGAGGCTTCTCAAACTTGTTGCTGGGACAGTCTTCCAAGGAACCTTCCACAAAATTTGATGGCTCATTCATGTCCTAGAATGGGGGGTGGAAAGGAGAAGAATCTTGTTTCTCCATCAGTGTAGAAGCAAAGGGATTTTGAGGACTTTGCACCTCCTCCGTTCAATGAACACGACAACACCAAAGTACTGGCCTAAGAAACTCACAATCCACATGCCATCAAAGGGCACCTGGTCATGGAAATCCTTGACGATGTCATGCCACCACTGCTGAGTCTCTGGGTTGGTGAAGTCAGGGAAGGCAGTGGGGCCAGGCCAGACCTGGAAGGTAAAAGGTCACAGGCGTCAAAAGCCATCGGGAAACCCTTGTGTGTCACAATGCTATGCTTACTTGCATCCTTAGAGCACTACTTGTGGCCCAGTTCTCCTGGAACCCCTTAAAATATGGAACTAGAGGAAGGCCAATGAAGTAAGAAGGCACAGCAAAACCTGTGTAAGAGCAGTATCCTCTGTGGTTTCTAGGGGAATGGTGACTGCAAGTGTACAATCGCAGCCATATAGCGCGCTGAGAATGCAATATTACAGGGCTTCGCTTTGCAATGCTACCAAAATGGAAGTCGGAGCCCTATGAACAAAGGAAGACATGGTCCATCCTATTGCCTCTCCTTGACCCATCCAGCTCAAGTATAGAATATGAATCATGAGCTTTGATTTCACTCAAAAACATGTGCCATTCAGAGCAGGCATTCTTTCATGGTCTGCCAAAGCTCAGGGCTCGGGCCCAGGACTCACCTCTCCAATCAGAGGCTGCCCTGTTGTATTTAAGATGAAGACCCCCCGCTTCAGGCCTTCGTCATAAGGCTTGTAACTCCCAGCGGGGCTGGAACTGCTGATACCTGCATCCTAAAAAGAGAACACAGTGAGACGCCGGCTAGGACATGAAAATGCAAGAAAGCATGGAATTCCACGACTTTTGAAAAGTTAGCAGGCCGATACACAGTATCTCTTGAAATGAAGTCTATCATTTCATAACTACTTCCATTTTCTAGGTCAGACCAGCAAGTCTGGAATCTCACACCTCATGTCTCAAGAGAGTTAGGTCATATGTACCAGGGGATTTCTCAACATATAAATCTACAGATTTAAGAAAGAGAAGTCCTAGCAACTTGCTGCTTGCTTGTTGCATCTCAGAAAGCAGCCCAGACCAACAGCAGTAGCCTTAAACCAGGAGTGGAAAATAAATAACAATAACAATAATAATATTTATACCCTGCACATCTGGCTGGGTTTCCCCAGCCACTCTGAGCGGTTCCCAACAGAATATTAAAAGCACAATACAATATCAAACATTTAAAACTTCCCTCATCCCTGACCACTAAATGGTGTTGGGAGTTCAAAAATATATGGAGGTTTCCAACCTCCAGCTTAAACATTGTACCTAGGCTTAGAATCATTCAAGTTGTTTCTTACTGTAGGCCAGGAAAGTAGCCTCTAGATTGTTTGGACTGGTGGCCAATTGTCAGGGACGATTTGTGAGTCCCACATCACTTGGGTTGTGACAGGTTAGCTACTTCTACTCTAGAGCAGTTATCTTCAAACTTTTTGGATCCAGGACCCACTTTTAACCAGAACATGCACTGGGGGCACTTAATGTTTTACCATATATTTGTATGGTGCTTGTGCTGGTGTCACGAACCACCTCAGATCAGTCTGCAACCTGGCCATAGTAATAATAATAATAATAAATTGTTTGTATCCCACTCTCTCCGGCCGAGGCCAGGCTCAGACCGGCTAACATCATAAAAACAACACAATAAGCATAAAAACAGACATCAATTAATTAAAATACATCTTAAAATTAATTCAGACAAGCTTCTGAATAGGTCCCGACAGACCAGCGGACGATCTACGATGTGGAGAACCGGCCTTTGTGAAGTTCCCCATCGGTGGAAGAGCTCAGGCTTCATTAACTTACCACAATCATGACGTACCTCCGGCCATCGCGGTGGAAGTCGTTCACCATATCTGGCATATCCCTGAAGCCATCCTTGTTGAAAGTGAAATCTCTCCTAGCATCTGCATAATCCAGGTCGTTCCACTGCACATCCTGTGAAGTCCACAAATGGCGGCATTACTGAGTATACAGGCGGTTTCTCTGACGCTCCGGCCCTGTTGTTCCCCACTGCTCAGTTACCATGGCTCTACAGACACATGAGGGAGAAGCTGTGTCCTGGAGAGGACTCCGGGAAGCCACGTACCAGGGGGAATCGTGCCGCTGTCATGTTCTTCACCACTTCCCGGGTGACATCCGTAGATGAGTATCCCCAGCGACACAGGTGGAATCCCAGGGCCCAGTAGGGGGGCATGAATGGATACCCTGAAGGAAAAAGGAATAGGTGGGGGCGGAGAGAAAGGGAAAGATACTCAGAGGCCTCCAACAACCAATAGCATCTCACAAATGCACCATGCAAGTAAACTTTCAATGAAACATCCTCCAAGATTTGAAGAAATAAACTTCCTCATTCAAATGTTCTTTGGGAGATGGGTAAAAAAATCTAGCGTAAATATGTCTCCTTTAAAAATCTAAGACCGCCTCTTTTCTGTTGCAGCTAAGGCCAGGATTAGGAGCAAGGGGTCAGTCCCCATTCCAAATACTCATGGAAAGATTTTGATGGTTATGTTTATTGCATTGTAATAAATACAAATACAGTGGAAACTCGGGTTACAAACACCTCGGGTTACAGACTCCGCTAACCCGGAAGTAGTACCTCAGGTTAAGAAGTTTACCTCAGGATGAGAACAGAAATCATGTGCCGTAGTGGCAGTGGGAGGCCCCATTAGCTAAAGTGGGACCTCAGGTTAAGAACGGTTTCAGGTTAAGAACGGACCTCCGGAACGAATTAAGTTCATAACCAGAGGTACCACTGTAGAGCGGCCAGAAGAATTCCTTCAGGGGGCATAGAGGATTAAGGCAGCAGAGCTGGGCATCTCAAGCATAATAGTCCAGGGCTGCCTTATGTATTTTTCAGTGCATGAAGTACATCCATGTGGGAAAAGGGAAGCCCGTGTACAGATGATTATTATTTTTATTTAATAAATTTATATACTGCCCTATACCCACAAGTCTCAGGGCAGTTCACATGGGACGGTGGCAATGCTGGTATCATCACCATCACTGCTCCTTCATTTGTATGGTGCCTTGCCACACACAAAAACTGTGCTCAAAGAGGCTTGGAAGAAGGGCAACAGCAAAACAGTACAAAATCAACCATCAGAATTACAATTTCACAATAACAGCAATAATGAAACACCAATGTAATAACAACCATAATGGCATACAACAAACTAACATCTCGGTACTATAACTATAGCAACATTGCACCTCCTAGCAGTAACAAAAAACAACAGGGGGGTTTAAACAAGCTCTACCTCTCTTTTAGAGGGACGCGGGTGGCACTGTGGGTTAAACCACAGAGCCTAGGACTTGCCGATCAGAAGGTCGGCGGTTTGAATCCCCACGACAGGGTGAGCTCCCGGTCCCTGCTCCTGTTAACCTAGCAGTTCGAAAGCACGAAGTGCAAGTAGATAAAGAAGTACCACTCCGGTGGGAAGGTAAATGGCATTTCCGTGCGCTGCTCTGGTTCACCAGAAGCGGCTTAGTCATGCTGGCCACATGACCCGGAAGCTGTACGCCGGCTCCATTGGCCAATAAAGCGAGATGAGCACCACAACCCCAGAGTCAGCCATGACTGAACCTAATGGTCGGGGTCCCTTTACCTTTTTTTACCTCTCTTTTAAATCAGAACCAGTGAAAGCAGTGAAGGTCCTGTGTGAGTGCCTGGAGGTGGTTGGAGGATGGATGGCGGCTAACAGATTAAGGTTGAATCCTGACAAGACAGAAGTACTGTTTTGGAGGGTAACTGTTCCCCTGAAGGACCAGGTGTGCAGCCTGGGAGTAATTTTGGACTCACAGCTGTCCATGGAGGCGCAGGTCAATTCTGTGTCCAGGGCAGCTGTTTACCAGTGCCGCCTGGTACACAGGGTGAGACCCTACCTGCCTGCAGACTGTCTTGCCAGAGTGGTGCATGCTCTAGTTATCTCTTGCTTGGACTACTGCAACGCACTCTACATGGGGCTACCTTTGAAGGTGACCCGGAAACTGCAACTAATCCAGAATGCGGCAGCTAGACTGGTGACTGGGGTTGCCCCTTTTAATAACTTTCTAGCACCAACAGTGCACTACCTGAAGTTCAAAATAAAGAGGAGTGCCTATACAGAGAAAGGACAGGCTTGAATTATTGCAGCCCTGGCACTGGATGCTGGTCAGTGCCATTAAGGACAAAGCTGGAAGTTGCTCATAGCACTTCACAGGACCCACAACAGACCAGAGTGGTATTTTTGATGGCAGCAGTTTTGGGAGAGAAGGCACTTTGTCAAGTTATTAGCTAGCTTCTCATAAGGAAGAAAGCAAGTGCCTACCAATGACATCCATGTACTGCCGCACAACACTCTTTGGGTCTGGACCCAGGAAGACGTAGAAATCTAGGATACCACCAGTTGTTCTCCAGGTTAGGGCTGGACTGGGCTGGAGGATCACATCTGAAAGGCAGAAAGAGGCATGGAAATGGTGGCCGAAGACCAAAGGCACATCCTGAAAACAGATTCCAAAATCTCGTTCCAGTAAGGTTGATCCAGTGAACTAGTGGCAATAAGCAGGGAGGGACCAGAGTCAGACCGAAAATAAAAATAAATTGGCTTTATCTAAACTGAAGCACATAAATGATGAAAATTTACAAATTCAGCAACCACTGAAAAATCAGAATGAAAATAAATAAATTTATAAATGGTAAATGATATTAGACTGGGGAATAAAATTAATTAAATAAAGCATGTATGTAAACCCTAAATTGCACCCTCCTAAAACTTTTACCAGTCTAATTTAGTTAATTTAGGTTACTAAGGTGATGACCTTCACCATGCATGCAGATTTGCCCCCCAAATGGGGCTCAGGAACACTTCCCAATTTGGAGCCCAGATACGCTGTCACAATTTTACCTTCACGGTTTACAGGCAACCATCACCTTGCATCAGCAGCTAAATCCCTCACCTCTCCAGCCTGATGTGCATTTTTGCCTGTAAATATGCTGACAGCATCAGCTTGCTGTTACCCACTCACTACACCGCCTGATCTGATCAGGACAGATGCACAATATTACATATAGATTCATCTTACATATAGATTTGTCTTAAAGGGAAAGGCTTACAACGTATTAGTCAGGCTGCGATCCTAAACACATCCTGAACAGTGGAGCTTCCCTAAGAGTAAGTTCCATGGAATACAATAGAATTTGCCTCTGAAAGAATGTGGGTGGTGCTGTGGGTTAAACCACAGAGCCTAGGGCTTGCCAATCAGAAGGTCGGCGGTTCAAATCCCCGCGATGGGGTGAGCTCCTGTTGCTCGGTCCCTGCTCCTGCCAACCTAGCAGTTCGAAAGCACAAAGTGCAAGTAGATAAAGAGGTACCACTCCGGCGGGAAGGTAAACGGCATTTCTGTGCACTGCTCTAGTTCTCCAGAAGCAGCTTAGTCATGCTGGCCACATGACCCGGAAGCTGTACGACGGCTCCCTTGGCCAATAAAGTGAGATGAGTGGCGCAACCCCAGAGTCGTCCGCGACTGGACCTAATGGTCAGGGGTCCCTTTACCTTTACCTTTTACACATGCTGAGGATTGCACTGATGGGTAAGAAACTAAACTCCCACAGCTCCAAAAAAAAAAAGAAGAAAAAAAAGAAAGAAAAAAAAAGAAAGTCCCAAAGCATTATAGAATGCTTGAAAAAATGACTATTAAATATATAGTATCCTGCATTTTAAATAAACAAGATGTAGGGCCCTTTGTAGAGGTAGATAGATATAAAGGAACAGAGAACACACTCTAAAGAGATACCTTACCCATCGCATTGCTGTTTAGCAAAAAGACTCCATGGGCCAAGCCGCCGTCTTCCATTGCCAGGTAGAAGGGGTGTGAGCCATACAGATTGACAGAGGGCTGAAAATGCAGAAACAGTGCATAGTCCACATTACACTACACAGCTAAGCCAGGTGTCAGGGACTGGACTGAAGGGGACAAGATGGAGGAAGAATGGTGATCACTCCCCCCCGCCCCCCGTTCTCCTGAAGCTTCCAGAGAAGAGGAAGGCAGTACAGTAGTACCTCGGGTTAAGAACTTAATTCGTTCTGGAGGTCCATTCTTAACCTGAAAGTGGTCTTAACCTGAAGCACCACTTTAGCTAATGGGACCTCCTGCTGCCGACGCGCCACTGGTGCACGATTTCTGTTCTCATCCTGAAGCAAAGTTCTTAACCCGAGGTACAATTTCTGGGTTAGCGGAGTCTGTAACCTGAAGCATCTGTAACCTGAGGTACCACTGTATTGAATTACAGCAGTGGTTTGAGGATGGTGACAGCTCAGAGACATGTGAACAGACGAGTTGGGAGGTGTTGGGAGAAGAGAAGAGAAGAGAAGAGAAGAGAAGAGAAGAGGGAGACTGAGACAGAGCAGACAGCTGACACGTTATCATTGGAGAGTATTTCTGACCCCCCTTCTTCCAGAACCTGGCGATCGTTGATATACAAGAGCAAAAGACTCAGAGACAATTAGCCTCTGTCGGCCACCATAAGAGGAAGTGCTGTTACTAGCAAGGGAAGGGGAAGGAGCTCAGCTGGAGCAACGCCATTAACGGGAGACAGACTGCATTCCTTGTCTCTCGCTGTGATGATTGAATACACTCACTAGTAAGAACTATTCTTTGTTTTCTCTGTTTCTCGCTGCCACTGGGGGAGGGAAAGAATTCCCCAAAGCTTGACACCAGGTTTAGTTAGTAGAACAGTGCAATGATGGATCTACGCTGTGGACAATAGCAGAATACTTCAGAACCTCACTGCCAGACTAGGTCAAATGATCCTTCCTGCACAAAGCACATCAAAAGTCAATGAGAGGATAAGGCATTCCTCAGGCAAATGGTCCTAGCAATGCATATGATGGTGTGCATGCCCACAACTCCATACACACTACTAACTTATAACCTGCTGAAGAATTCTGGGTACTGAAGTCAGGTGAGGCATTGATAATTCTCTGCTGGAAATCCCAAGCTCCTTTCCTAGAACTACTTCTCTGGGAAGAAGGAAAGGACAGGTTTAACTGGATTCAAAAGCAGAAGGGACAAAGGTGAACTGCAACAAAAAGTTGTAGCGTAGAGTGCTCCTGTTGGGGGTTCCAGCCAAGCCATTTCCCATGCTTCTCCCCTCTGTCCTCTGGATACACAGCGCAGTGTGGCCTCTGAGCATGCCCAATCTGTATTGGGCTGTTGCTGCTTTTTGAGAGGCAGATTTCTAAAGTTTTTTCACCCCAGCCCTTCCTGAAACTCCCCATGACTTACTGTGGGCGTTATGTCCCGATTCCATAAGGTAACCCTGGTCCAATTGACATTCAGGATGAGTGAGGTCTGGTGCTCACCCAGCCCAGAGATGAAGCGCGATGGCAGGGAAGTGGAGATCTGCAGGAACTGGTCTGCGTAGAAGAGGGGAGCCACGGTGGTATTGATTCTATTTGGGGGAGAAAGTGGACAATCCCACTAAGCAGACTGCAATGAATTTGCCTTTTCTAGATCTCTGTTCCACTAACCACTCCCAAAGCCTACACCCACACACACAACTTCCAGTGGATTTGTTGACCACATGGCCAGGGCACATGAGCACTGTGTAGCTCAGTTGGCTATAGGAGGCTATTGGTTGTCTGAATTCACTGTGAGAACAAGGAGAAAGAAGCCCCTGAACCAGACATTAGGAACACAAGGATCTGCCTTATACAAGTCCACCTAACTCAGTGTTTTCTGCCTGACTGGCAGAGGCTCTCCTCCATTTCAGGCAGAGATGTCTCCAAGCCCTACCTGGAGATGCTGGGGATTTCACCAGGGACCTCCTGTCTGGAACACAGATGCTTTACCACCGAGTCCAGCCAAAAAGTGTTAGAATTCCTGCTCCGTGATTGCAGTCATGGGATTGCTGTCTTTCACATGACGGTGTATGTTTTGACTCCACAGAGACAGGATGTTTGTGTTACTGTGTTCCGTGAAGTGGGACTATTGTCCTTTGTTCTTTTTCTCTTTGCTGTCTGATGCTAGAGAGAGAGGGAGCCAAGTTGCAGTGCTCCGTGTGGGTTTATATGTAAATAAAGTAGATTAGCCAAAATGCTGAGTTGCTGAGGTCTATTACGCAAGCTGCGAAGACTCTGCGATCCCTAAGTGTGCCTAAGTGTCGCTGTGATGTTCGGGCTGAAGAAAGCTTTTGAAGCTCCCGAACGATCGACTAGGAGGGAGAGTACATACCAGTTGGGCATGTGTCTCTGCCAGGGTCCTACTCGAGTGTAGGTCAAGCTCCTGGCAATTCCACTTTAGCATTTCTCTGGTTCCCGCTGCCCTAGCACACCTGTGAATAATGTCACTACATACCCTGAATGCAGAAAAGGACCTTTCAAGCTCTGTCTCACCAGAAAAGCAGAAGGTCAAAAAGAGGAAGTGCTTTAGCCCAGAGTTACAAATACTACAAAGAGCTCTAACCACTGGAGGCTGCTTCTCATAACAGTATTTGCTTAAGGTGCACACTTAAAAGAGGCTACATTTTCAGATATCAAGTTATGTGCAAATGACTCCAATTCATGTCTGGAAAAACACACATAAGTCAGGCACACACATCAGAGAGTTGGTAATGTCTGAAGTGCTACCTTAGGTAGATTCTTGGGTATAAACCCTGGACTGCTCATATGTAGTATGGCAAATGGCCCTGGGGGCAGCCTGTCAGTGGAAGCCTTCTGCTTGTGCATCAGGGTGAGCCCCCTCCGCCCGTGTGACCCCTGAAATTGGGGGTCGAGTATGATCTTAATACTATTACGTATATAGTGCATTAACTGATTTACCCCATGAAAGAATATGTACATTATCCTACATATTAAACATAATACATATATGTTTAATTAGGCATTCATAATTTACCCCATGAATATCCTTGAATATACTAGTACCTATAATTTTACACAATACATAACTGTTTATTGTGCATAATATTCTATACCATATGACTATTAAATATGTATTATTAACCTATATATATATGATTTAAGAATGTTATATCACCTCGTGCATTATTATTTTTTAAATATTTTTATCAATAATTTATGTACAACATAGTCCACAACAACTCATGCATGCAAACAACAACACCATTGACAATTTAATTATCAAAATTAAACTCCTATCCCCTTACATAAAGAAAACAAACATAAAAATAAAAGACTTCCTTTATCCTGTAAATGGCCTCCTTATTTACTTCTTGTATACTGTTTCTTTTATATGTGACTATTACAATTTTTCCTAGTTATGACTTTAAAAACCGCAAAGTCTCCTGTAGAAATTAATCAAAACAAGTCCAGGTATATATTTTGGGGCACTGTTTGGTTAAAGTATGCTCTGCATTTTCCCCATTCTTTTTGAAATTCTTGTCTGGGTTGTAAACACTCATGGCTATCCACTAATCACTACCCTCCATAATCTTACATTCAGCCATTACCTGAAATATTTCTCGTCAGCATGGAAGTGCATTTTATACCTGGTTATTTATTAATCTGGCATATCATGTGAGAATCATCAACCCCTGTAGATAAGGCCCCCCTCCCTAGTAATCACGCCCATAACTTGAGGTTGCATCACTTTTCCCAAGGCCTCTGGTTGTTAGGTCAGGACCATCCTACTCTCCATCACCACTTTCTCACCTTTTCCAAGGCCTCTGGTTAACGGGTTAGTTCCGCTCGTGCCCTTGCTCATAGCATAACTGGTTTTCCTGTCGGCTGGTATTTTTTATTTCTCTTTCCCTTCAGATCACACTATGTGGTGGGGAGAGGAGGGATCGTTCTGTCTGGCAAGCTGGAATGCTTGTACAGATGGAATGACTGAAATAGCATGATGATTAATTTTATCCCTGGAATATATTACCTATAACATGGGTTTCAGACTGGGCAACTGCCTTCACCCCCCACATGCTTTCATTCCTCTGTTATTTTCATACAGCTTTTCAGGCTCTGTTTGACAGATGCTCTTGGCAGCAAGCAGACAGAAGGAGAACATTCGGGTAAAGAAAATCAGGAGTAACTTACAGAACCTGCCCACTGGATTTTCGGACAACAACAAGGCCAAAGGGATCATCAGAGAACTGTACAGAGTACAGTGTTGAGGATGCCCGGTTGCTCGTTTTTGGGGTCTTTAAAGGGACTTCATAGCGCTTGTTAACTGGATCCTTAAACTGTGTTGGAGAAGACAATAGAAACAGGATTACAGGGTTGACTTAAGCCATAGTGAGCCTATGAAGAGGTTCCTGCATCACAAATAGAGATGCTGCAAATCAGAGAAATCTAGCCAGGCTGTCAGGAACTTAGCATCTATAGTGAAATTACTTGAGAGAAGTAGGGGGTGGGAAAAGATCATTCATGAATTTGGGGGTGGGCATGTCCTGGTCAGAGTATGAATCAAGGGAACCAAGCGTTTTTCATGAAACAACTCATCCCTCCACCCCCAATTCAATTAGCAAAATATTTGACTTTATATACAGTACAGTGGTACCTCGGGTTACATACGCTTCAGGTTACAGACTCCGCTAACCCAGAAATAGTGTTTCAGGTTAAGAACTTTGCTTCAGGATGAGAACAGAAATTGTGCTCTGGCGGTGCGGCGGCAGCAGCAGGAGGCCCCATTAGCTAAAGTGGTGCTTCAGGTTAAGAACAGTTTCAGGTTAAGAACGGACATCTGGAACGAATTAAGTACTTAACCTGAGGTACCACTGCATGTACTAAACTACAAAGTAACCTTTTAGCTAGCTAACCCAGGCATCTCACTACTAATACAATGCTTAAAGATCAACACTAAAGGCAGCTATAAACTGTGCATCGAACTAGAGTACAGGTACCACTGTACCGATTTATTACATCCCTTAGCCACTGATTTGATCCAAGTAGCAAAACACCCCAATTTTCACCTGATTTTGATCATTGTATATTCTCCTGGAGCACTATAGGCCCACTTGGTTTTTGATGTTGTTTTGAAGTATTACACTGAGATTTTTGTGCTGTTTGGGTGTGTGTGTGTTTTTAATTACATCTTATTGCATGTATAATATGCAATTTGCAAGTTGCTCTGCGAAGATCTTATTTTCTTGATGAGCAGTATACAAATGAAATGAAATAGGCACAGTCCCTACTCACCGTGAAGTGAAGCCTACCCTCCGTCTCAAAGATCACATCCAGCTGCAAGGTCATTACGTCGTCTGGCATGAAAGTGGGCACACCGCGGGTCAAGCGGGCAGTGTAGCCACTTTCAGTGGTGGTCAGGTTTGCTAACTTGTAACTAGGGTAGCTAGGAGGGAAGAAGCACCACGGCTGCAAAATAGCAGGGCCCTTGGGCAAAACAGGGACATAACAACAGCCCCGGGCCTGGCATTCTTCTTGAGAGAGCAGCTTCTCTGGAGCACAGTCAAAGCGGCTGTCTGGAGGAACGTTGCACTGTGGCTGCGCGATGAACCCTCTGGGGAATTCCGGTCGTTCTATGGGTTTCCGTTTCACGTCCCTGCATTTATTATGATCTCTGCAGGCACTCGCTGCTTCTGGAGCAGCTCCAGGGCTCAAGTTATCATGGACCCCAGAAACACCAAGTATAACAGTTGCAGCTGTGATGCCAGAAGCCCACAGAATCATGCAGAGACCCTTCCACTTAGGCTTCTCCGTCAGTGGCATAGCGGACTTTCAGGAGACAGGCAGGTGTGCCCTCCTCAGCCGGCATAGGATTGGTTAAGGCATCCACCTGCGGGAGAACATGCAAGACAAGGAACTTAAGACTTTCTGCAGGCTGCATTGCCCAAGAGTCCTATTGTGTAGTCAAAAGTTCCCAGTCTGCTTCTTGGCATTCATTAGTTTTATCTGACTTAAGTACCCAGCAAGTCAGTTCTATACAATAGCCAGAGTGCATTCCTGCCTACCCCACCCCCACCCCGGGTCTGCCTAATGCTGCTTCCAAACTTAATGGGCCCCCTGACACCCCTTTGAGGGTTCACTAGACTACTCACATTGATGGATTTGGGTTAAAATGGAGCATTCATTCATGGGTGTAACATAGCTGTCAACTTTTCCCTTTTCTTGCTAGGAATCCTATTCGGAATAAAGGAATTTCCCTTTAAAAAAGTTGACAGCTATGGGGTGTAGCGGGGGGGGGGGGCAGGGGCCAGCAGCCTCCCCTCAATCAATAAAAATCCATAGAAACCTGAGGTCCTGCCCCACCCCAAAAATCCTGGCTACGCCCATGCATTCATTCTAGTTTGGTGGACTCCATTCTGCCTGTGATTAAGTCCTATGCTCCCTTCTTTTTTTCTCTGGAGAAAATGGGGTACAATTCTATATGGGAACTATCACAGTCCCAAATACTACCTGTTTTCTGGCAAGATTCCGTGCCTAAGAGCTCTGCAGCAGGCAGAAAAACAGAAGGTGTGGCTTTTAATAGCATATACAGTACTGCTATTATACAGTGAAAGGAGGCGCGTTTTCCCAGTTTTTTTGGGGGGGGGCAGTTAAAGGCACGGGAATCCTGCAAATAACATGAAATATGGTGACATTGTGTAATTAATAAAATACCGACTTCGGAATTTTCCTCATTAGTCAACACTGCTAACTTTGCTTTTTGTGTAATAAAAATTACAGGAACCCTTGAAAACCTCACAGTGCTTGATCTCCGAATAAGATTCTTCAGCTTACTCTACCAGGCTTGCAGAACGGGGTGGGGGGACACTCAAATATATCCTGACCATTTCCCCCTGCAAAACTTCACTCACCGCCGGCTCAGAAACGCCGTCAGCCAGCCACATACAGTACTCGAGTCCAAGAATATTCCGGGTGGGTGGGGGAAAATCACAACAGTCACGTGAGCAGTTGATCATGTGACTTCCCCCTAGTTTGTCTTTCGGGTTTTCTTGAAGCAAGCAAGCTCCGTAGACTAAAGTGGGGGAAGAGTCTGTTGTTGTTACTTGAGGCATCATATAGCGTCATGGGGAAAGATTCCCCTGGATTCAAAATACTTTTCTCAGGGAAAATATGGATTCGGATTTGTACCCGAATTCATCAAACTGTGCAGAACTTCAGCCTCGAACACGCACACACAGCCACCACGCTGGGGAACAAAAATAAGCAAGAAAAATTTGATAGGAAATGATCGAGGCCGCTCCTGAACTTTGGTATCTTCTAGACCTAGAGAGATTCATTTAGTCGGAAGGTGCGTGTCCTGAAGAGGGAACATGTTATGCCCTTTTGGAGTAGTTATAATAATGCGGACGCTTGGATACTCATTCCTATTAGCAAGTGATGAGCTTCTTCCTCATTGACGAGCTGTGACAAATTACCTTTTTTGCGGGGGGGGGGAGGGAGCACCAATCCTGTAATTAAACCCTGTACAAGCATTGAGAATGTTCGCAAGTTTTTAGTCTGCCTCCTCGCGTGCGTGCACTTGCTACTTGTTGCTGCCGGTTTGGGAAGTGGTGTTCAAAAGGGACGATTGGTCTTACCCAGGCTTCCTCAACTTTGGCCCTCCAGATGTTTTTGGCCTACAGCTCCCATGATCCCTAGCTAGCAGGACCAGTGGTCAAGGATGCTGGGAATTGTAGTCTCAAAACATCTGGAGGGTCGAGGTTGAGGAAGCCTGGACTTACCTGAAGCGTAGATTTGGTGGATAAGGAAGGGTACATCACTTTGCCACCTTTCTGCAGCTCTCCTGAAGCCCTGGGAGATGCGCTGGGAGAGAGGCTTTGCAGGTGCTGCCAATCAACAGTGCCTGCAAAGCGCCTTTGGGCCAAGCCCTGCCCTTGCCTGTCCCACATCTGGCATTCTACTGTATATGTCATATAACAACTGGTGCAGAGCTGGTAGGCACGCTTGGTGGAATGGGCCTGATGATAGTCAAATTTGGGCAGCAGGCTGGAGGTTCACACTGGACAGTATACAGGTGTGCTTGCAGAACTAGCATATTTTTTTCTACAACGAAAAGCTGTTTCAGCCACACATTTTGTACCCCAAATGGATGACAAGGTAGAAAATACACAGTGTGTGTGTTTGTGAAGGGTGTTCACATACTGTATAAAACTCTGAACCAACACTTTAGCAAAAAAGAAAAGAAAATACCCCTAGCTGATTGCCTATAGCAGGGGTCAGCAAACTTTTCAGCAGGGGTCCGGTCCACTGTCCCTCAGACCTTGTGGGGGGCTGGACTATATTTTGAAGGGGGGGGGAATGAACGAATTCCTATGCCCCACAAATAACCCAACACATTCTTTTGTTGTTTAGTCGTTTAGTGATGTCCGACTCTTCGTGACCCCATGGACCGGAGCCCGCCAGGCACTCCTGTCTTCCACTGCCTCCCCGAGTTTGGTCAAACTCATGCTGGTAGCTTCGAGAACACTGTCCAACCATCTCGTCCTCTGTCGTTCCCTTCTCCTTGTGCCCTCCATCTTTCCCAACATCAGGGTCTTTTCCAGGGAGTCTTCTCTTCTCATGAGGTGGCCAAAGTACTGGAGCCTCAGCTTCAGGATCTGTCCTTCCAGTGAGCACTCAGGGCTGATTTCCTTAAGAATGGATAGGTTTGATCTTCTTGCAGTCCATGGGACTCTCAAGAGTCTCCTCCAGCACCATAATTCAAAAGCATCAATTCTTCGGCGATCAGCCTTCTTTATGATCACACATTCTACTCATGTAAAAACATGCTGATTCCCTGATGGTCCGCGGGCTGGATTTAGAAGGCGATTGGGCTGGATCTGGCCCCTGGGCCTTAGTTGGCCTATAGTATTAAAGTTGGTAGAAGACACCCTGCAGCACTTGGGCCTCAGTCCACTAGTATCCCCTAAACTATGCACCTGTTCCTTCAGAGGAAGGGTAACCTCTCTCAGAGGAGGCTACCTCCTAATCTATCTGGTCTAGGGAACTACCGGTACCGACTAACAGTGCCTCAGTATCGTTTGGATTAAGCTTGTTTATTGGCTCTCTTGCTGAGGCAAGACATTGTTCTAGCACATTCCCTACCACACCTGCAATCAGATAATTTTTGGAAGTGGCTTTTGATAAGCCCCTCTACAATTGGGTATAAGTGGGAAAATGTTTTCAGTTCTGGTGTTCTGTTTTAAGTTGGAACACTGTAGAGTAGATAATCGGAGATGAGTAAATAGGGCCCTGGATAGCATGATCCGTTCCTTTAAATTGTTTTTATAAAAGAAGCAGCACAGTCTGTTTAGCTTCTCCAAACCTAAATACCCTCTTAGGATACAATATAGGGGAAAAATAAACTCAACCAAGGGAAGCAAAACAAATATAAATACCTGTGTATTAAAAATGAGGAAGAAAACTTTTTATAGTGTGACTTGCTATCTTTGCAGCCTGATGGTAGTCCATTTAAAGTATCCTGATCAGCAGAAAAATTATGGGACCCAAATTCTGCAACTCTCCTTTAGTATATTAAGGGTTTAGAACATAGATCAGGAACCTGTGGGCCTTCAGCTGCTGCTGGATTCCAACTCACCTCATCCCTATTGCCCATGCTGGCTGGGGCTCGTAGGAGTTGGAATCCATCAGCACTAAGAGGGCACCACACTAGCTGCCTATGCCATAGATTAATGACAGATTTTCTGTCCTCAGTAACCTAAGTCTACGGACAGTAAACTGATCCTTAACAGCCTGCTGTTCCAGAACGGAAAGAAAAGTAAGAGCAAAAATTAAAGAATTCAAGACTGACATGCTTCTATTTATTTATTGCCACATTGACCATCTTTGCTCTTTCATGTTTAACTATCCACTAAATGATGAGCAACAATTGTTCCAAATCATTCTCAAAAACATTTTTATTTGTGAAATATCCAATATGTAAAAGTTTCAGTCTTCGTTTCCCCACCCCCTGCTACTATACTGTTGGGGTACCCAGCCTATGGTTTAGGCTTTGGATGAGCAACTTCAATGCCGGCTTGTGCTGAGGATGCTCCTGCCCGATTTGATGGAGGATGACGTGAACGCTGTGAAGTCGCTCCTCCAGCTTCTGCCTTTCGATGCGGACCATTAACTCAGCGCGGCAAACTGGGTGGTAGCGTCCTTCCTTCACTGACCGCAGGTGCTTCAGGCGCCCCTGGTTGGCCACAATATCTGCAAGGTTCTTAGAAAAGCAACATCAAATACGTTATAAGAAACAAAAGTCTACAGGCAAGGCAACAGTGAACGGGTGCTTGAGGTTGGGAAGAACTGCTTCCCAAAGATCTGTTCCTTCTGACGATCAGAGACCTAGTCTTTAATAGACAAGGTCCCCAAGTGCGGGGGACAGTGAAACAACATGGTGGGCACTGCAAGGGAGTTCCAAAAGTGAATGCTTGCATTATCATTCCTGCACAGGGCTAATGTATTTTGGTGGACAGAATGTTGGGTTTAAATGCAATAAGCCCTGCTTCAAATCCCTGGCCAGTCATGTAGCTCAAAGATGGACTTGGAGTGTGTGTTAGCCTAAGCTAACCCATAGGTTGTTGTAAGAGTAAAGGAAAATGCACTTTGTACACTATAAGTCAGGGGTCAGCAAACTTTCCAGAAGAAGCTGGAAAATGTGCTACAGAGAAGCCCTGTTCTGCTCACCTGCCGTTTCTTCTCCTGCAGATGATCCACCTCTGTCTCAAGCTTATTAAATTCTGTGTTCAAGAGGGAGATGTTGTTCTGCTTCTCCTGAAGTGAAGTAGCGAGGCTCACCTGGGAATTCTCAAGTTCAAAGATGGTTTTGTTGCACTCCTCAGCATTCTAAAGGGAGAGAAGCAGAGGGGGAAACACTCTATGCCTTTCAGTGCCAACCCACATGCCAGATAGTCTTGTAAGAGACTATCTTGGGGTAGCATCATGCATCACATTTTTATTAAACGGTGGCTATTCTAAAGTAGGAAAATGCATGTACACTGTCACAAGAAGCTTTGATACATGGAGGAAATGTCTCATATTTCAAGCTCTTCCTTCCCTTAGCATACAAAAGCAATGAAGACGCAGGTGTTCCTAACTGCCATCTGGCCAGCAGGAATCTGGGGGACCTTCTATTGACAGTCTCCTCATGGGATCTGTCCAATTGTGTTGCTGTTCTAGTTCATTGCATTTTAAACCGTATTTTGAAAAGGTTCTTTGAACTGCAGAATAAAAGGCTCTAATATTTTCTTTCTAGATAGGTCCTTTTTGGGCTTGGAGCTGGCAACTTCAGGAAGGCATTTAGCAGTCTCTGGTCGCTTTCATACTAGTTGTTTTGCCATCCTCTGTTCACTCAGTTTTTATTGAGAATAAAGATGATGCATCCTGGAACTGATTAAGAGCTGATTAAGGGTTTAGAAGCTACTCATCGGTAATGCTGCTGCCATACTGAACAGGAAGCAGTAAGAAGGCAGAAGCACAAGGGGGAGTTTCTAATTAAAGCTGCAGGAGGGGTTTGTTTGTTTGTTTTTGCTGAACAGGACTTACATCTGAGTATACACTAAAGAAAGATATTTGTCATGGGCATTGGTGGATAATACAGTATTATACTGTGTGGTGTTTCAGTTCAACTTCCAGCTGATTACAGGAAAGCAACCCTTGCTAGGAGATCCTAGTGTGGAATAAATGTATATTTCAAACTGCCTTCTGTGGACCAGGAAGGTTGTTAAATTAGATTTTGTTCCGAGATTCTGCACTTGTAGGGCAGGCAAACTTGAGGGTCTTGCTATTTTCTATTCTGCTCTCTTTATATCAACTTAGTAAGAATTGACGTTTCCTGTTCTGTCTAGCATTTCATTTCAGAAGGTTAATTATTTGTGAAAGGCAGGAACAAGGCAAAGTTTATACAACATTTGAAGTGCTGATATAAGACAGTATTTAGTTTGCTGCCAGGGCAACTAATAATACAGAATAACTTAGGGATTTGGTTGTTTCAATAAAGCAATCTGTGAGATTCAGTATATGTACAGTATATGTTAGAGTCTACAGCTGAGACTATTATTAAGCTATATAATACCATCTTCCTACTGTTTTTAATGAAGAGCTGCAGCTTTTAACGTGGGCAGAGATGGGAGAATGTGATCAGGTAAACTAGCTAGTGCTGCTATCCTTTGAAAGTGGGCAGAAGATGCTACATCTCAAGTCTTTTGGATTTGGGAAGATCCTGGCTGCTTCTTTGTAGAGTTGCTGTTCCTACCTAAGCCTAATTCCTCACGAACAGGAGCCCAACATTATCTCATATTATGTTCAGAGGCCCACTAGAGCAATGGCAGGCCATGGTAGCAGCCATGCAGAGGGATGTTTTGAGATGTTTGTCTAAAGTCCAAGGGACATTAGAAGGCTGGGACCTCTTTAATAAGACACTAACTTCTATGCTAGGAAGTCTGGAAGTAGAACACTAAATAACTAGGAAAAGGACCCAGGATAAGGTGGAAACTGCACCAGCTCTTTTTGCTATTTTGGAGACACACTGTACAAAAATGAGCTGGTCAGATAAGAGTCCGATTTTTTTAATATACTTTTGAGCAGTTTCCTAGTAGCCTATAAAGCCAAAAAAAAAAAAAAAAAAAGTGATTAGAATATCCCTTCTACATGGCCTTACTGAGCTATTGCCATCTGTCTTTATTTCCTGACCTTCTGGGTCTCTTTGATCTTTTTCTTTAGCTCCAGCTTCTTGTAATGGAAATCGCCCTTGGTGAACACTTTGCTACTCATTTTCTTCTGCGCCTCTCCACGAATCACAATGGACTCTCGGCGGGCAACCGCTGCCTCCATATCTCGCATGAGCTTCTCCTGTTGCTTCATCAGCTGCTGGTACCTTACCTACAATGCAGGAGAGAGAGAGGCAAACCTACTGGATACACCTCAAAGTCACACATGAGGCAGATGCCACTCTTCTATGCCTTGCATTTTAGCTATCAGACAGGGCACAGCAAACACATGAGCATCAACAGTCCTAAGGTTTGTACAAGGTAGGTTGCATACACACCATACACTTAAAGCACAGAATTTCCCCCAAAGTCCGAGGAACTGGAGCACAGTGTTGATTTGTGCATTCAGCAAAAGGCTTTAGAATGGTTACAGTTTTCAAAGAATCTCAGCAGAATGCCATGAGATAGGAGCCAGGGAACAACACTCCAATATGAAATGCAGTGGACCGCAGTGCCTCTGTTATCCAAGGGCTATCTGTTTCCTGCCAGTCCTTAGAAGAAGGCAAGGTTGGCAGCTAGAATGAAATTCATTAAACACACCTGAAAGAAAACCCCATTGATCTGCTTATCAATTATCCCAACTGCAGGATCTGTGTTTCTCCTGCCAGAAACTGGTTATCCTCGTTACAAGTTTTGGATCTGTCTGGCACAAAAAGTCACCAGGCCCCCACATATATATTATATGTGCAACTTTCCTTCCTACATTGTCTTCCATCATAATAGATACATCAGCAGAACAGGAAAGGATCACCAGAAGTCTACTGTGTAGGCAGGAGGTAATGTTTAGGCTGAAATACTCTCTGCCTTAGTGCCTTAGACTAGGCTTCCACCAGTTTGCTGAGGTTTCTGATGCTTTTGCCAGGCTAGGTGATGAGCAGATTTGTCTACCCAACCCTTTCTATGTCACCTGCATCCTGTGGATCTCTGACTTCATGGCTTGGATCTCACCCTGCCCGGTCTCTGAATCCACTGCTGCACGCATCTCTTTGGCCAGCTGTATTTTCTTCTCCCATTGCATCATCTGACATCTAAAAGGAGAAAAGGTGAGGGGGATGGAAAGGTTTTATACAGAGCACTAAAGCAGTTATTTTGGCTCTGAACTGTATCTGTTTCCAAGGTAATATATATTAGTTACAAAAAGGTCACAGAGTTATACTACTGATCTCACTAGCCAAGAGGAGCCTGGAGCCTCAAGCAAACTGCACACCGTACAAAACTCACTATCACAACAGGCATGCTTTTGGGGTAAGTTGGGTGCAGAGAGATGTTGGTAGGAGAGATTGCATTTTCCAGGCAACTAAATTACTATTGTCTGTGTAACGTGAACTCACAACATAAGTGTTACAGGTGGATATGTGGATCTCACAAAAATACTGAGAAGAGTAGAATTGTTGCTTTAAAAAAGAAATCATCTAGAAGACCCTGGACAGCACAGTAGCAATTGTGGTGAACAAACCAATTATTCCAGGCATGAAAGCTGCTGTCTGTTCAGCTCTGAGGCTGTGAGAAAAGGATATCTGATTTACGGTACTTGTGGCTATACTTGGTCCTTCCAAAAGAGAGGAAATGCAACCATAAGGAAGCATGTATATTTTACCAGCTGTACTGCATAAGCGTTCAAGTTCCATATTACACAAAAGGACTCACTCTGCCTCGAGTAGGCTGTTGAGGAGCCTCTCTTTCTCTTCTTGAAGTCGGTCCAGCTTCTCTTGCATCTCAATTGATTCTCTCTCTGCTACCTAGAGCCAGAGAGACATTGTTTATGCCTTTTATCCACTTGGGAATAAACTGGGCCAATAAAAAGGATAGCTTTATTTTTTTGTGTGCCAGGCAAATAAGTCCCTGACTAAATGTGCATTTGAGCCCCCTTTCCCCCAATTTAATTCTTAGGTACACTGTACAATTTCTATTGCTCCACCACTCCCGCAAAAGGCATTCAGGCTACTTCTCAAGAGTTGCCCCTTTCTATAGGTTCAGCAAAACAGAGCAAGAGCATCTCAGACAATGTATGAGGAAACGCATCAAGAAGACAGGCAATACCTTGAGAGCGCGCACAAACTCATTCTCCATGATAGTATTGCCTTGTTGCAACCCTTCAGAATTCTCACTGTTCTTATTGATCAATAGATGCAGTTTCACCAAGTCGTTAGTCATGTTCTTCATGTGACGCTCAGTATCCTTCATCTCATTTTTCTCCTGCTGGATTTCATCTGCAGGGGAACAGTGGAGAGATAACAATGTTCTGAAATATGGGGTGTGTAATTATAGTCCACTGGTGAAAATGCCATGGAGAACATGTGTGTGCATAAACTTTATGAAATATGCCATAAATATTGCTGCCCAAATATAGAAACCTGTTGATGTTGCTAAATCTGTGATGCACTGTGATACCAGTGATTTTATCGGCACCTTTATATCCCTTTATATGTCTTGTTCACTATGGCCAGTGAACTGCTTGTTTACCATGGCCAGCAGGAACATGAGAGTCTATAACTTTAAAAGTCCCTTTCTTCGTAGCTGGAAGGTTGGTAATGGAGTTTTAAGGGCAAAATGTCCTTTAAAAGTCCCCTGTGAATTTCTGCCACCTGAGAATCCCAAATTCTCTCAGAAAGGAAATTCAAACCTGATGGGCTCAAAAACACAATTCTGCATTCAGAAGAATCTTCTGACTTCATGGGATTGATTACAGATTGCTGTGAAGTACATTTTTTTTTTTTTTTTTGAGATTTGGCAGCAGCAGTTATGTGAGAGTTTGACAACAAATCACTCAAAGCGATCTAAGTAAAAAAAGTACCTTTCTTTTGCTCTATAAGACACACCTAGTTTTAGAGGGGGAGAACAAGAAAAAAATGTCTCTCTCTCTCTGCGCAGAGCATTTTCAGCAAAACGGGAGGAGAAATGGAAGGAGCTCCGCTTCTCCTCCCACTTCACTGAAGGGGTGCTGCGCAGCTCTCCCTCTCTGTGCAGTGCCTCTCCAGTGAAACGAAGTCAGAACAGCAAGAGGGATTGCTGTGCAGCGAAAGCAGCGATCCCTCTTGCTGTTCTGGCTTCTGGGATAGCTGCACAGCCTGCATTTGCTCCATAAGACGCACACACATTTCCCCTTACTTTTTAGGAGGGGAAAAGTCCGCCTTATAGAGCGAAAAATATGGTAATTCGAGCAACACGTGACCTTCCTGGAAAAGTATGCAATTACAAATGCTATGAGACCCTAGGGTAGCTAGCCAGTCACCTAAATGACTATCTCACATTTGCAGGTGCTTGAAGAGGTCTTCACTGACGCCACTGAAAGAGAGTGACGTGTCTCTCTACCTTTCCCCCCATTAGTTCTGCCTTTGGCAATCACTGACTAGCAATCACAAACAGGATTATCCCACTTTAAACAGACTTCAAAACCATCCAGTCAAAGCTGTGGGGAAAGATCTTATTAACAACTCCTTAAGAGGAGGACCTGTACTTACTCTCTATGCGAACTTTCTTTTGCTCCTTAATTGTGATTTCTTTCTTTAACATATCCAAGGATGCCAGCTGCTGTTCCCGCACCTCGGTAAGCTTCACTAATTCCCTCTGGCTGTTCAGCCAGTGCTTCTGTAGCTTCACCACCTCCATATCATTGTCCTCAATCTGTTTGGAGAGCTTCTTGATTTCAATTTCCAGCGGCCCCAACTCTTGTCCCTGGAATCAGGATCACATGAATGTTTGGGGGGGGGGGTTGCGGCACATTGCTTTTGCAGGGCTAACATGCCACTTCAGCTGCTTATACATATCACAGCAATGTTGGAAACATATGACTTGGCGGCTAATGCTTCTAAGTGCACAGAATCTTTTTCTGAGACCGTATCAGCTCAAATAATGAGTTGCGAACGGCATCTGGGAGTGCTGAATCTGTGCTGAAAATGTCAAATTCTGGTAGCCAAATGAATTATTCTCATTCGCCCCAAGTCAAATTTATTTTATTTACTCCAGTTGCAACGTTCAATTGTTTTAGTATGCCAAACATCAATTACTTGGGAGCATAATAGATATGAGGAGCACAGTACTGAAATAAAAATAGGAATATTGGTAAGATAAAAGGTAAAGGACCCCTGGACGGTTAAGTCCAGTCAAAGGCGAATATGGGGTGTGGTGCTCATCTCGCTTTTCAGGCCGAGCAAGCCGGCGTTTGTCCGCAGAAAGCTTTTTGGGTCCTGTGGCCAGCATGACTAAACTGCTTCTGGCGCAACAGGGCACGGAGATGGAAGCCAGAGCACATGGAAATGCCATTTACCTTTCCTCTGCAGTGGTACCTATTTATCTACTTGCACTGGTATGCTTTTGAACTGCTAGGTTGGCTGAAGTTGGGACGGAGCAATGGGGAGCTCACCCCGTTGCAGGGATTTGAACCGCCGCCGACTTTCTGATCAGCAAGCCCAAGAGGCTCAGTGGTTTAGACCAGAGCGCCACCCGCATCCCTGGATACATACACTGTTTGATGCTGTCTCTGCTTTCAAACTTTTCAGCAGAGAGTGAGCAACATGCAGAGTCCCACATGTGCAGAAGTTTCTCATGTTTTACTCTGAACTGAAATGCTTAATGCAGACATAGGTGCTATATGGACACAAGGAACAGCAAAACAGAACAAACAAATACTAAGGAAGATCTTGGTTGGGGTAAGGGAGAAACTAAACTGAGGAGTGACCAGCAGGTGGGAGATAGATAACTGTAAGAGCTGGCTAAGAGGTTCCTTGCCTCTCTCAGGCGGACAGAGAGGTAGCTTCACACAACAATTGGTGGATGCCTCCTTAATCCCATCCAGAGGAATAAATTAATGCTGTCTGATCAATGAAAACAAACATTCTCAGCAATTTGAGAAGAACTAGGAAAAACAGTGGGGAAAGGAAAACATTTTTATGCAGTGCTCCATAATTCCACTTACATAGTTTTCTGATCAGCCTGTCTTGTGGTTAATGTCACATGAAAAAGGGGCCTCAACAGTGCAAGGAACTTGTGCAGGATTATCCACATGTCATCACTACCTTATTATTAATGTTAGTGTTTAATAGAGGGGCAATTCACTAACCCACATTGCTCAATTCTAGGCCATGAAAAATAACAATGCATGCATAACAACAAGGATGGTGGGACCTTAGATGACCAGGTGGTTTACCCACTTAAGTAATTTCTCATTCTAAATTTTTCATTACCCACGTTCTGTGCCTTGAGACCCTATATACAAAACACAAAGTAATAGCACAATGACACATATGATTAAAGTGGTAGACTAGGACCGGAAAAACCTGGATTCAAATTCCCACTCAGCCACGAAACACACTGGGTGACCATAGACCATTCATTACATCTCAGCCTAGCCTACTTCACAGGGCTGTTGTGAGGATAAAATTATTGGGGTCGGGGCAAACTCCATGTGTACTGTCTTGAGGTCCTTGGAAGAAAGTTTGAATATTATAAATTATTATTGTAATATTAATAATAACATTATGGGAGTATATTGTATTTAAAAATGGGGTATCAGAGTTTTTAGGGGGCTAGCCAGGTTGGGATAGCTGGGATAGCAGGCTTGTTGGGTTTGGAATGTTTTATGTAGATTTTTCAATTTCGTTGTTCTGTATGGGACAATGACAATAAAGATTATCGTATCGTATCGTATTTTGAAATGGCAAAGATCAGAATCCAGAGATTTTGCATAACTAGCTCTGATCTTTGAGCAGACCTTTGGATTTGCATATCTAGAGCAGCAGTCCACCATGCCACAGATTGGGGAAAAGATTGTGAAACTTCTCAACTGCAGTCCATGTTGCGGTACAGAGACGTACAGAAAATGCATAAAAGGCACCATATCCCCTCAAGCATCACAAGTCCTTGGGTGCTTATAAAGAGGCTCTTTGTACTGAGCTAAAGAATCCCATGGCACCGTGGAGAAAAACTGGTTTTCCTGTGGCATGAGTACAGCAAGCTAGTTCACCAGCTGCATGCAGTGGATCTAGAATTACTGGATGTGCAGAGCTAATACCTTTCTCACTTCAGAGCAATGTATGGTTTAGATTCAGCCTCTCATTATCACTGTGAGAGGGGGCACTGGAAACTTTTGCACGTTCTGATCAGCAGACAAGACTGATAAAAGATCACATACCATATGTTTTATGCTATTACGCTATTAACGATGAAGTAGCTCCTCTAGGTTTTTCTTATTAGAAATGTTGGCTTAGTTTAAGGATATAACAGGTCCCCTTATGCGCCGGAGTTTTATTCTCATACCATTTCCCCTTTGGAAGTCCTCACTAATCCCCAAACCGCTTTTACAATCCCTGCTACTTTAAAGAGTGGCCTGTGGTGCAGCACAAAGAGTGGCTGAAGACATAATAGCCTAATAAATCTTGGAGTGAATGGCAGCCAATATTTTTGAAACCTAATGCCAGAAATGAGATGTCATATTCCAGTGAGGAGGCTCAGATTTCAAACCGTGAAAGTCACAAGGCACATACCCCCAGCTGAGATAAGATCATTTCCAATTTCTTGTTGTACAGGTTGATGAGCCCCTGCTTGCGCCCAATCAGGAGGATTCGCTTCGCAATTTCAATCTCACTATGGTTGATTTGTTCATTCAAATAGTCCATTTCCTTGTCCACTTCAGAGAGTTTCTTTTCAAGCATATTCAGCTTGCATTGGGTGTTTGTTAGATCCAGTGCAGTTTGGGCCATGTCGTTTTCTGCATTAGCAATCACCATATCCTATAGGTAAGCAAGGGCAGAAAAGGAAGGGGAAATTGATTCAATATTATCAGCAAGCCTCTGATACTGACATAGAAAGTCTAGTTCTAGAGTAAGTTGGCTAAAGGATGATAGATTTCAGTGCTGGTCTGCTGCTTAGCATGAATCTGCCTGTGAGTCTCATTACCATCAGTTGTCAAACGAGGTCAGGTGCTTGCACAAACAGCACCCTTCACTGAGCAGACTCCCAACAGGGCACAGGTGGATTTCCACTAGCACAATGGGATTTTACCTTCCTCTCCTTCCTGCTGCAAATCTCCACATCCCTCCAAAATCCATTCCAGAAGGTCCTCCAGTATTCTGGAGCAAATGTTGAGGATGCAAGGGACTTCAGCAGGGAGGAGAGGGAGATAAAGTCCCACTGTACAAGTAGGATCCCATTCTGCTCATGCATAGTGCTGGGTATAGCCCTGTCTACTACTCTCACTGATGTCTTCTCAATTGTTTGGGGAGTGTGTGCTAGACCTTTTTTCTTGATGCACTGCAATAGCCAATATTTTACTTCCTTATAAAACATACGCTGTTGTTTTTTTTCTACAGAAGCACACCAGTGACTTTCAAATATTAAGGAGGCTACACTAATAAAAAATCTCCAGCAACAGCTAACAAGCAAAATTATTAATCAAGTGTACATAAAATAGAAGGAAAGACAGTTGGCCAAAACAGTTACAATTCCTAGCCATACCTAATCAGTATTAAAAGTTCAGGCAAATGTGAATTAAGTACAACTGAGATGCTTTGATGGTAGAAGTTAGAGGATAACATTTTATATCTTAGGATATAACTTCTATTGCCATTTAATAGAAACTCAAGGAAAGCTTGTGAATTTTCCAAAGCCTAATAATTTATTTCACAAACGAACCACTATTGCCAAGAGTAAATGACAAAAGATGGATCAATCCATGCAGGTATTTTTTCATTGAAATGTGTATTACTTACTACTATTTACTACCGCACCAGGTTTTCAGTATTCCTCCAGGCCCTAACTGCAGCTGGACCCAACCTGTGGTCTTCTCTACCCAGGGCCGTCAAAGACGGACATTGTAGAGCTAGCAGCCACTAGCAGTTGGAAGGTAGGTTGTGGGAACTATGGACTAGCATCTCAAATGCTCTCCTCATAAACAACTCCAGCAACTAACATGCACACAGTTTCTTAAAGCTTCATCAGGTCCTAACAGAAACTGCAGCATTTGCAAAGTTTCTTTCATTGCATAGAAACTACAGAGGTGTGTATCTCTCTGACATGATCAGAATACTGGGTGTGGCTTTTTTAAAATGGAAGATTTAGCAATTAGCTTTAGTTAAAAATGCACAGATGGAATAAGCTAGAAAAACAGGCTATGGCAACACAACTCATAATGCAAGAACCAAAAAGATTAGATTCAAACATCATGCCTTCTCCTCTCTCCACCACACACCCATTTACTTGTATTATAGCTTCTGGTGGGTTTTAACTGTAAGAAATGTGAGAGCTAAACTAGGGAATGTTTATGCTAAAGAAACAGTATCATACTGAGCTAAAGTTCCTGACGCATTCCCAATACAGGCTGTTCATGAATCTCCAAGTCCAGCTTTGCATCATTTGCCAATGATTCTTGGTTACTGGGCCCAGACCAGTTCCTAAGAGGAATAAATTCTTACACAGTTTATATCTGCCTCCATAACTAGGTTGTGCAAGAACTGTCACACAAGAAGGCAGCAATGTTATTCCAGTTGTGTTTTCTTTGCATGAATCATCCTTTATCTACAGCCTCATTAGTTAGATTGCCTTGAACGTCAGATAAACATGCCATCAGTTGGAGGTGAATTGCAGATGGGATAGTTTTCACTGCATAATAAACACTTATTACGCCTATAAGTGCGCTTTATGCGTAATATTTTAAAAAGCGTAATCACGGAAAATCTGCACATCTCCATCCTTCATTGAGAAAGGAAAGAGGTGTGCTTGAAGTTTGGCACCATTTCCTTGTAACGCTGGGTCCTTGTGGTCTGATGGTTCAAACGCACAGCAGGCACCGTTTGAAAACATTGCGAATATAAAAAAGGGGGAGGAAATCCTGTGCTCTCCATGCAACCTTCAGTGCTGTACATACCAAAGCCATCAATCTGTTCTGCAGCTTGATGCCCAGCTGCAAAAAGTATTTCGCTGCTTTGTTGGACATCAGCTGATCTTGCAGCTTGCCCACAATCTCGTTCTCCAGTTCTTGCTTGTTTTGTGAACCTTTCTCTAGCTCTCGGCGAATGAGAACCAATTCATTTGTGCGAGCAGCTCGATCCTGGAAAAGAAAGATATGGGAATGTTAAACACACACACACAATTGTGAACAGAGCATAGGTTTTTGTGACTTACTAGAGTAAATCAGGTAGCAATGCCTGGCCCCATGATCTCACCACACTGGCCCGATTGAGGGCTTGCTCTGTTTCTTGAAGGGTACGGGTGTAGGTCCCAAATTCCACTTTCATGGCATCCTGTTTGGCCACGCTCTGGGCTATCAGCTTCCTGCTTGTGTTGGCATCGTTCTCTGACCGGTTCAAGATAGCAGCCAACAGCTCATTCCTTTCCTCCTCCTTGATGATGGACTTCTTGTAAACTTCAATCTCAATCTCTAGAGACTTCAGCTTGTGCCTGGAATCTCTGCAGGAGCAGAAAAAGAAATATCCAAGGGTAAATAGTGACATCAGTGCCTGCTGCCAAATGAACTGTGAGAGAAATAAGAGAGGATTGCAATGGCTCATTCAATCTCAGTGGTCACCTGTCTTCCTTACTTTCAAGGATGGACCTTTCCAGATGATTTCAAGATAAAAAAGGCAGGTGTTACTTTCTTTGTTGTTGGAAATACAGACAAAAGTAATCCAACAAGAGCATGGTGGTGTGGGTTTGAGCCCTACGTTGGGCAAAAAGATTCCTCCAATGATCCTCCTGGTCCCTTCCAACCATCCTATGATTCTAACATCTGGAGGGTACCCTGTTGGCTGCCCCTCATTCAGATGGTTTTCCTAACCCATCAGTAGCAAACTGCAGTGCATTATTGCTAGGAAATGTGATTCCTCCTCCCGCCCACCCCAAAAAGTCAGTGCTATTATCACTAACAATAATCACCATGTGGAAATCAGCTGCAAAAATGTCACAAATCCTCAAAAACTACAAACTCCGAAGCCATTTAGATACAAAAGTTGCAAATTGCAGTAAACGTATGAAGCATGCCATTGGCTCCCACTTAATGTATCTGTGAGAAACCAATGTCTCACACTGTGCTTCTCTTAGCATGTTAGAGAAGCTGGATAATTTTTCAGCTTTGGCAAGGTCCAGATCCTAGATAAAGAAAGGAACCAAGTAACTAACTGCCCAGCCTAGATGCATGAAGTTTCAAGATAGAGCTGGATCCAAACATAAAATGTTAAGGTAGGAACAGGAGGATAAACAAGTTCTCTTTCCCCCCTTAGGCAGAGATTAAGAGGAAAGCAGACAGCTGCCAACAACTCTCTTGTCAGCAGATCTCCAGGAAGATCAGATGGAGAGGCAAAATGTGGGTATCTGTTTACAGACCAGGCACACATTTGAGCAAAGAGATAAAGCAAGAATGAACATTTCCTTTTGGAATAGTTGCCATTCTAGGTAAGTTCTGAGTGCCATTGGGAATTATGGTGATCTCCATCTAACCCAAAGGCAACAATAGCCAAGTGTTGTTGTTTTAGAAATACTATCCACCCAAAGAATCTCTGCTTCTTCACTGCGGTTACCTTAGAGCTTCCTGCATAGCAGCGTAGGCCTCATCACGGCGCTTCATTGCAGTCAAACTGACAGTCCATTGATGCAGAAGTTGCTTTTTCTCCAGGTGAATAGCTTGTATTTCTATACTTGCCTGCAAAGACACTGTGGTGAAATACTACAACACTGTGCAGACAAATGGGAATCAAATCCTATTTCTGCTAATCACCACCTCCTCCTTTTGTACACAGCCCAATACCAATGTTATAAATTCTGACCCTTAACTCTCATCTCCTTGGTTCTTTTTTTCTTCATGTCAGAAGAAGCTGAACTGAAAACTGAGCGTACAAAAAATGAGTTGGAAATTGGAAACTTGTATGAAAAGTTTGGAGGACTTAAAAAGGTCTATGGAACCCTAAATTGCAGTGCTGACTAGTGCTATCTGGAGGAGACTGAGAGGCAAATGACACATTACACACAACCTGTAGGGGAAAGGCTAAGTGCCTCCAATCTCCTGCCCTGAAATTCTTCCACTCAAAATTATATCCTCCCAAAACTGTTCTTTTAATCATGCAGTTTATATACCCTGAGTTATCTTCGTAATATAGACAGAAGAAGATAACACACACAATTTTAATAAGCCATAATAAAGTGGTCAATGCCATCTCAAAACACTAAACATAAAAGAGGTCCATTTTGTACAATAAAGAAAACCCACGGGGAACACAAAATGATTTATTCATAACTCAAGGAATTTGATCTTTCCTGAATGATTGTTGCTGAGGAGATGAGTTCTTAACTTGCCCAAAACTGTGGATCGATTCTTTTAAAAATGGCTAAAAGGTCTTCCTTTACATGGATTGTAACCTGTAGTTTGCTCCAGAGTATTATGAGTTAATGTATCTGTCTATGTATCAAATACTTCCACATAGATACATAAATGTTTAAACATGATAATGGAAAGGTAGGGTATAAATGCATTAAATCAGTCAAAATATTGGTATATAATTGGTATATAATTTACGTAATTTACATCAGGGTGTGTGTGCAAAGAAGCAAAGGCACCCTCTTGGGTGAGGGAGGTGCTCCAGGTTGGTGGTGGCAATCCTGCAGGTGTGCATTTATCTGCAGGATGCCACTGCTGCCAACCTGAAGCTGCCTTGACATTGCTGCTGCCTTGCCCCACTTCTGTCCCCGTCAGTCAGTAGCACTTGATCAATGTGGGAATCACTAGCTCTGCCTGAGGAGTTTAAACAGTGCAGTCCTATGTGTGTCTCCTCAAGAGTAATCTCCCATGAGTTCAATGGGACTTGCAACAGGACTGTAGTCTTGAGCAAAGAGTTACATAAAACAAAAAAGGTAAATAAAACAATAGGTTTAATCTAATAAAACATTTTGTTTGAAAGGTGGGCTGGTTAAGTTCACCAATGCAATGTGTGCATGTCCTTTTTGGAGACTGGCTGGAAACTTCCCCTTTCATGAAAATATCTTAGCCACAGAAAGACATTACCTCTCCCACTTCTTGTCGCGTGATTCTGGTGTCTTCAGCCTGAGCCATATGTTGGGCTTCATACAGAGCAATCTGCTCCTGCAGCTCATCAACCCTCGTCACGAGGCGGTCCACGTGAAGGTCCTGTGAAATCAGACAATTCCAGATTAGCGGCAGCAGCTTTGTCTCTGCTCTCTCTGTGCACTCTCGGAAAAAGAAATGGGCCCAATTTGCTAATTTCCTATTTGCTGGGAACTTTCTGGGACTGTTCAAAAATGATACCGCCCAGTTGGAGTCTGCAACCCACTCTACCACCCTAGGCTTCTTTATCACCCTGTTTATGTGGAGATGCAAGTGGAAGGAAAGCTGTTCCAGGAAAGGGGTCATTGTGGCAGATGGGAGGAGACAAAGGGGCCAACAGGAGATCAGCTTTGGCAGGATACATAAAGCAAATTACATTCATGGATAGGAGTTAGAGAGGATCAACCGCTAGGTACCTGTTTTTTCTTTTCCACCTCTGCTCGCATCCTCTCCATTTCAGCCTTCTTCACTGTTCTCTTCATCACAGCAATATCATCGCGAACGTCTTGGTCCATGTTCTGCATGTAGAACAGGCGCAGGGAGAGACTTTCCATTTCTGTCTGCATGGCTGAAACTAAGAAAACCGGAAGGAATACACATATATATTTCCATAGCCTGTGCCAAAACTGTGGTTAAGAGTATAGTAAGGGGAAAGCAACAAACCATGTAAACTAGATGGCTTTCTCTAAAGTGAAAGGATGTCAGGCCTGCAACTCACAGGCTGCCCAACTGGGATCTACTTGATCATATCTCTAGAGCAGGAGTTGCCAATACAGCACCCATGGGCAAACCTTCTCCGACACCTACCGGGGTCCCTTTCACTTCTGAAATTAGGCCTGAAATAAGAACAGGTTGTAGTGTGTGTGGTTGGTTGCAGAGTGTGGGTGGATGCACATGACAGTTTCTCTGATTTCCAGATGTGCCTATGGCCCCCTGAAGGTTAGTGATTCCTGATCTAGAGGCATGTGTATATGATACTAAAAATATCCAGATTTCCTACCAAGGGAATGTTTTCTTCCACCCCAAAACTGGAATACTGTGGCCTCAGTAAATCATGCAAATTAATCACATGCATTAATCTTGTTTTGCATCTTTTAGTCTCCTTCTCTAGCCAGAAGAAAAGAACCAGGAGCATTACATAAAGCCAACCCTTAGCCCCAGCTTTGTATTCAGCAACTCATCTGATAGTTGTAGGTGACAGCAAATTCCACATAAGTCAGTGGAAGAAGACGCAATCTGGAGCAATCCATTCCTCCTATTTAAAAAGGCCCATTTAAAAGGTTGCTTTATCCACCAAAAGTGCTGCTTATGGCTCTTTGGCTTCTGTTGTACGTATGTGTTTTAAAAAAATAAATAATAGTCATAAAGTTAGAATGAAAACTGAAAATGGAAGTTGGGATTCTCAGAATGCTGAATTTTATGTCCAGAACAGTGGTACCTCGGGTTACAGACGCTTCAGGTTACAGACTCTGCTAACCCAGAAATAGTACCTCGGGTTAAGAACTTTGCTTCAGGATAAGAACAGAAATTGTGCGGCAGCAGCAGGAGGCCCCATTAGCTAAAGTGGTACCTCAGGTTAAGAACAGTTTCAGGTTAAGAACGGACCTCCGGAACAAATTAAGTACATAACCCGAGGTACCACTGTATCAGCTTCTGACTTTGCAGTACAGAATACACATACCCTCCGTAATATCACTTTTTACATTGGCCTGATGAATAGAGCAACTATAAACACAATGGAAGAAAATTCACTGACCACCAACTATGTCTACATGCAGTTGACCCAACAGTCATACTATATATAATTCAGGAGTCTGATAGAAGGAGGCAAAACTAGTTAGGTTGTTGAAATATTTGTAGCCCCTGAATACTGGAGCTAAAGCTTACAAAGTAAGCATGTGATAGGTTTAATCTCACAATACGGAAAGGGTGAGGGACAACATAGCAGCAAAGAAGGTCACCTTTTTTACGTTCGCTCTCAGTGCCCTGGCATGTCTTCTTATACATGCCCCTGAGGTCTTGCAACTCTTCCTCTAACTGCCGGCGTGCCATGGCAACCTGGGAATGGTGATTGTGGTTCTTCTCCAGTACCATCTGCAGTTGGGCCAACTGCTGCTGGACCCCATACAAGATCACGCCGAGTTCTTCCCTCTCAGTCTTTGCAGTCTTTACGCCTGCTGTCTGCAATCAGGGGAGGGACAAAGTGACCATGCACACTCCAGTGTGAATGGACAAAAAAGAAGAGACAAAAATTCAAAGCAAAGATACTGTACCAATTCCCGAAACTCTTCAGTCAGCTTTCCTATCTGTTTATTCAGGTAGTTCTTGAGAGCAGTTTGGAATCTTTTCATCAAGGGCTATAGAAAGAAGCAAGAGCAAGTTAATATATCATCCAAGGGGTCAACATTTGTCTTCTACGACTGCTACAATTTCTGCCCTGCCTATCTTGGGTAAATTTCAGTACAAAATATGGGGACAACCTGATTTCATGATAAAATTTTAAAGAGAAGATCACATATAGCTTTACCAAAGGTCCATGCTGGGCATCCACCCTCCTTTCCAACCTTCCACTTAGGACACACCTACAGACCGGCATTCAATAAATGCCCCAGGCATTTATCTCATGTAAAACAATAGAATTAATGGAGGAGAATCATGCCGAAACAAAAAGCTTTATGGTAATTTTGTTTGCTGACTGAATGGTTCGGTGAACAAGGAAGGCGAGGGGGAAATGGAAGGCAAAAGGGGAGGAAGCAGAGGCACAGCTGGGGAAACTGGGGTCAAGGTGGGGATTTGTAATTATAGAACGCAAATGAGAAAGGAAGTCATTGAGAGTAAGGGATCTTGTGTGAAAATTGGGAGGCTGGTGGATTGAATATATTCATGAAAAAACTCGGAGCAACAAGGGTGAGAGAGCAAGTGTGGGGAATCTTAGAACTGGGGGGGGGGGAGACGGACATTGTTATAACTTGCAACCCTGATTTATCTTTGTGTGAGAAGATCTGCTCAAAAGAGTCAGCCGCTTTGTATTTAAATATCACAAATTTCATCAATATCTTTTACTATCTGACTTTCTGTTTTCATCCAGCTGCCGACATGACAGCTCTCTTAAGCTTTGGTCTTTTCTTACATGCTCTGGGTCTAACACAACAAGCTCAGCTTCTTCCTCTGCCTCTTCGCTACCGAGATCGCCCTCAGCAAAATGCAACGCTTCCTCCTCTTCCATGGGCCCAAGCATACTGGGTTGCAGAGACAAAGGCTGAAAAACAGCCTCAGTAGACTCAGGGAAGATGACTGTCTTAGAGGCACCTATATGTGGAGAAGAGATGAGTAGCATCAGCAACAGAAAATGCAAGGTAGCAAAGACTTCTTTATGACATGGAAGGTTTACTGTGACCTTCTTGGGGCACAGTGCTTCATAGAAAAGCAGGGTATAAACTGAACTGAACTGCAACAAAAAGCCACTAAACTAAACAAACACCTCTCACCTGATACTACTGGGCAGCACATTATTAAGGATATTCCCCCAGTTCCATCCATTTACTGCCATTTTTGTGCTATTTTATCTATTTTATAGTTCTCTTTCTCTTCTGCTAACCTATTTTGATTCTATTTAACTTCCTATAAATTGATTGTTGTTTCTATAACTTTATGTAAGTTGTTTAGAGTGGTGTGGCCTGAGAAGTGGTATACAAGTACTATAAATAAACAGTGTTGTTATTGCCATTATCCAATCTCGGTTCTACAAAAATCTCTTCCATCCAATCTATTTAATGTCATCTCCATTAATCACTGTTTAAAATCCTTGTTTCTATTATCCAGATCCTTTGGATATCCACAGCATGTTCAAATGACTGTGGCAGTGCTATAATGATAACAACCAGGCAGAAAACCACAGTGGAAAATACAGAAGTCGACTTAGTATTGGCACCAAACATTTCAAATGCAAGGTTTCTCCATCACCAATTGGATTCAAAACATGCTTCAGTGGCAAGCAAAGTCCTCATCAATAGGAAGGCGACTGATACCTGAAAACACACGGCGTCCCAATGGCGTATCCAATCTCAGGCTGCTGGTCCCTGAAGATACAGGAGACAGCACTTGCCCACTGGGCAATCTGGAAGGCAGGCTGAATGTGTCATACCCTTCCTGAAATAAAGGCTACTGTTAGAAGGGAGCTGCCGAAAAGGGTGTTGATGCTTAGAAAGACTTGAATTGGTAATACAGTCATACCTCGGGTTACAGACACTTTGGGTTGTGTGATTTCGGGTTGCGCACTGCACTGAACCCAGAAGTGCCGGAACGGGTTACTTCCGGGTTTCAGCGCTTGTGTATGCGCAGAAGCACTAAATCGCACTTTGCACATACGCAGAAGTGCCAGATTGTGACCCACGCGTGGGTCCCGGGTTGCGAACGTGCCCCCCGCATGGATCACGTTCGCAACTCAAGCGTCCACTGTAGCAAAATACGAATGAAGCTACCTCACAACGACCCTAGGAAGCAGTTTAAAGACTATAACTGGGGTGGATAGCAGATAGACACAGATGCTTGTTGGCATCCTATGAGAGTCTGCATTAATTTTTTTTTTAAAAAGCTACCTCGTGTGATTGCAAAGTAAAGACTGGAAACATCTTGCTAGTGCAACCTTGGGAGAGTACAGCTCATATTCCTCCTCTCTCTCCCCGCCCCCCCCCCCATCACACACAGACACACATAGAGCACTCAGCCTTTCTTCCCTAAGTCAGGATGAGGGTCTCTAAAAACCCATCTCCCCCTAGTGTTGAGATGGGTAGTGAGGAAACACATCTTCTTCTCTAAGCAGTAGGCAGAGGGCTTTATTTCCCCATCTCAGTGCTGAGTGCTACAGCACTCGGATTGTAAGATAAAGCTGGAGGGGGCTGACAGGTCACTTCCTGTGAAATGATGAGCTGGATTTGGCTGTGGTAAATCAACCCTGCCTTGGACAAAATAATAGTAAAAATTGACTCATGGATTTAATCAGCCCCTTCCCCCCCAAAATTATCCACTTCCACCTGCTCCTCCTTCTCACATTTTATTCATTTAGACTCAACCACATTTTCAACAGGACTGCTTCTTGATAGAGACCTGACATTGTATATTCAACAGAATGGCCTAAATCAGATATAACACAAGACTATGGGAATAAGCCTGCTTGAGCCTAGGGCTTTAGAACTCTCCTGTCTTCCTCTAGTGTGGTTTAGCAGTATTATATCCAAATGAGGCCAACATGACCTAGGGAATAAAAAGCTCCTTTGTGCCACATTCAGTGTCACACTCACCAGCAAAAAGGAGGGGGTGCCACTCTCAGGAAGACCTGGCATTGGTGTGCCGGGCTCACCCATCACTCTTGAGAGTATCTCTTCCAAGATTTCCATAGGAGCACCTTTTGCCCCTTCCTCTGTAGCAGCTGCAGGACCACCTTCTGCCCCTTCCTCTGTAGCCACTGCAGGAGCACCTTCTGCCCCTTCTTCTGTGATCGCCGCAAGAACACCTCCTATCCCTTCCTCTGTGGCTGCTGCAGGAGCACCTTCTGCCCCTTCCTCTGTAGCCACTGCAGGAGCACCTTCTGCCCCTTCCTCTGTAGCCACTGCAGGAACACCTTCTGCCCCTTCCTCCATGACTGCTCCAGAAGCACCTTCTGCTCCTTCCTCCATGGGATTATTTTCTCCTGGCTGCAAAAATTAGAATGAATCAACACTACCTGAACACTAGAAAATAATATGAAGATATTTCACGTTTCATCCTCTAGAAAGCACAGAAACTTGTCTTGATTCAGCCAAATGTTAAAGGACATGCTTAACCATCCTTTAGATTTGAGTGTGATAATTTGAGAATCCAAAGTCTAAAGACAGTTAGAAAGCAAGTTAGATCTGTATTTTTCTTCACTGATTTGTAGCATGGTCTTTGGCAATGACTGTGTAATGTTTATTTTCAGCAAAGGTTTAGATTTAGATTCTTTTTTTAAAAGTGAAAACTGGAACTATGTTATAGTATCTGCTGGACTGGAGACAAGAGTGCAGTAGCAACCTGTGGGGGGAGGTGGAGCATCCCTCCAAACACTGATGCTACCTACCTGGATGGGGCTGGGGTAGGTTAGGGTGGTAGCAAAGTCAAGGCTACATAGGGATGTCAGCAGGGCCAACCCAGTGCTCCCACCATTGTACCTGTGCAGCCCCAAATTCACAGCCACCCTGCCCCATCCAGGTAAGCTGCAAGGATGCTGCTGGCAGTGGGCGAGCTCTGCTGCTCAACCTCATCATGTAAGCTGCTACTGTAAGAGCAACAGCAAAGCACTGATAGTGCTAGAAAAGAATCAAAATAATTTGACTACTGAATACCAGAAAAAGGAAGCAGCTTTGCTCTTCTCAAACCATTTAAATTAACTGGATTGTTTTCCTACTGAAGAATCATGAATACCTACCTCTGTGGTCACCCCATCATCTTGATTTTGGCCACTTGTATCTTGCAGCTGCTCAGTCTATTCAATACAAAGAAAAGGGTAAGTGTGTGAAACATAGACATAGAGGAAAATAGCATTCTATTCATTTATTTTTATTTCCAATATTTATAGACCACTTTTCATCATTGATGGTCACAGAGCAATTTACAGAACAATCAATGAAACAACTCTTCAGTCACTTAATATGGTGTTTAAAACAAACAAAAACCACAGGTAAAAAAACATAAATTCACAAATAAGCATAAAATGACTTAAAATGCCTGCTGGAATAGAAAGGTCTATGACAAGCATCCAAAGTTCAACAGGGAGGGTACCTGTTGCTCTCAGCTGGGAAACAGGTCCACAGAGTCTGACACATAATACTGAATGCATGGCTCCTGGTGGACATGAGCCGTGGATCTGAGTCATGGGGCACTACAAACAGGGAATCCACCCTCAGTTAATGGGTTGGGATATAATGATCCTTAAGGCACCCTGGACTCAAGTTCTTAAGGGCCTTGTAAATTAATACAAATATACATATTGCAATAATTCAAACCAGTGCTAGTGAGTTCCTCAGTTCAAACGTGTGCAGTTCAAGTGAAACTGTGTCTTTAAAGCTGTGGTTCACTTTCTATATATAACTTTAATTCTCCAGCACATCAAAATCCTTGCATTTATATTACCTCTTCATCTTTTGCAAGCAGCTCTTTTTTCTCATCTTCTGCAATTTCTCCATGCTGCGATTCAGCACTTTATTTTAAATTTAGAGAAAATAAATTATTTTAATAACATTACAATCATATGTTGAAAAAGCAGTTTAGATTTTGGTGAATTTTATATTCAGGCCAGTTTGCAAGGCAGGGCACCAATACAGAATGACAACAGTAGTAATTTGCCTTTGTTTCATTTTGGCAAACCCAATTTGATATCTTAGTGCTACAGATTTATACTGTACTAGGTCTAACTGTGCAATCCTATGCATGCCTACTCAGAAGTTGAGTTCAGTGAGACTTCAGTCCAAACAAGTTTATATAGGGTTATTGTTGTTTGTTTGTTGTTTATACTCTACCTTTTTTACTGACAAGACTCAAAGCAGCTTACAGATAAAAATAAGAAAAGGGGCGGGCATTAAAAAACAATTAAACACACACATACACACACACACACACACACACACACACACACACACACTATTACAGCCATAGCAATGGTTGCAGTCCAAAAGTCCTGAAGAGTCAAGAGGTAAATGAATAATATCATCAATGTGAATGACAATCTAAAGAGGAAAAAGAGTTCTGTGTGGAAGGTGATACAGCTTCCACAATATTCTTTGCTTCTTATTACTGCAAGTTCTAATGATGACTTTAGCAGTAAGTTTCAGATGCAAATGTGCAGCTTGGTTGACTAGAACAGACAACAAGATGAAAGGTGAGAGCTATGTTTCTTTTAATAATGCATGTGTGCTGAATCAGTCTAAATAGGAAACGGATGAATGGAGATTCTGGGTTCACAGGAGCAGGTGGTGCTAAAATAGGGAAGGGAAACTGGGAGCTCTGGATTACAATAAATTGATGGAAATAAATAAGGATGACAACAGCCCAACATTTGAGAAGAGAAAGATACAAAATGCAGTTGTTTGAGAGGCTGGAAGTTGTGAGGAACTGAGCTTTTAGTGATTACATAAACAGTGGTGAAAATGGTCTTGAAACCCTAGGAAGAGAGCTGAGATGCAAAGTGTGAGGAAATATGAAGTAAGGGGACTACAAAGCTGATGACAACAACTAGAAAGTATCTGGGCTTGTGCATAGGGAGAGGCTCTTGGTCTTCCTTGAGCAAAGACCAGATGGGAGGACAAGTTACACAAAGTAATGTTTGAAATGGATATCAGGCATGGGGAAATGAGGGCCATGCAGTTCACCCCAATGCATGTCAACTCAGAAATAAATTCACTGGGACTAAGTAAGCACACATAGGATTGCAGCTGGCGGGAGGGGGGCAGAGTAGAGGTTTGGGAGATCCTTGTTGTTGTTGTTTAGTCGTTTAGTCATGTCTGACTCCTTGTGACCCCATGGACCAGGCACTCCTGTCTTCCACTGGGAGATCCTAGAAGCTGGTAATATGGGGGGACTGAGGAGAAAAGTAAAGGGCATCAGCGTCAGGGATGTCCCAACAAAGCGCCTTTTGGTCAATTGAGTGGAATGGGATATTTGTTGACTGTTTGCAATGGGAGGTGGAATATTGAGAAATGGAGGGTGGAGCTGGTGGGTAGGGCAGACAAGGAGTGAAGCGGCAGGGGGGGAAGCAATGGTCTGTCTTATGGGGCTCCTTTTCTTCACCCACTAACAACAGAAATTCCCATTCACATATATGCCCATTTTCCCTTGAATTCAAGCTTTCTTGATATACGATCACAGCCCTAGATTTTAGTAGCTGAATGGGGGCGGGTTGGGGGGTGCTGTTAATGAGGGCACAGCAATGTAGATCTACAACCAGAAATTCATTTTATTTTATTTTATTTAAAAGGAAAAGTGGGGGGGGCTGTCCCCCCCAAGAAGAGAGATACTAAAAGGGCTTAACTAATGCAATACACTGAAGGGCAGCAGCCTTTTCTGGGGCACCCTTTCCCCTCATCACAATGCACCCCTGTGCCTGCTCCCTCTCTAACCCAAGTGCCTTGAACCCGCTCCCTTAAGCGCTCACCGGCTGCCGCTCGGCTCCATCCTCCTCCGTTGCTAGGCGACGCTAAACACATCCAGCGCTCTCTCTTCCTTTCCCTTTCTCTCTCTCTCCTGCCCCGCCCCGCCTTCTTCTCGGATGATACCACTTGCGGGGAGCGAGAGGGGGAAATGGAAATATGGTCCGAACCATTTCTGTGCTTCAGGCGGTCGTGCATGGACTAGGCTTTAAGAGACATGCATATCGAGCGACAGGAGACAAAGACAAATGAAAAAGTGTAGAGTGACACGCTGCATGAACTAAAGATAATTTATCTCTTGAAATACATCATTGGCTGAGCTTCTCTATGGTCGCAGAAACTGTGTCAATTAGGTGTAATCTAGATATTTTTTGCAGTAAACGTTAGTGGGGGAGGAATAACAGCACAGTTTAATTTTAATCTATGGAGAACTTTGTGAGTCCACTCTTCTTTTTCTTCTCTCTATGGCCAACGAACCTGTTCGTCTGTTTCTGATTTTTTAAAACACCTTCAACTCTCGCGATATTACTGGAAGGCTCCGCCGGCCCGTCATCCTTTTCGCGGCGTGAAAATTGGCGGGAAAGAAGGCATGGCCATGTCGGAAGACTCTCGCCTCGCGCAGTCGCTGCCGCCGCCGCTGCCGCCTGTGAAGGTCCTGGCCGCGCACCTGAGGCGGTGCCGCCGGGTCCCTGGCGGCCCGTGGCTGCTGGACCGGGAGGAGTACCGGCGCCCCGCTCTCGCCGTGTCGCTGGTGTGGCTTCAGGGCACGGTGCTGGCCGTGGAGGAAGGTGGCTCGACGGTGCGGCTGCGGGACGACAGCGGCCCTTTCGTGGCTCAGGGCGTGGAGAAGATCCCCAAGGGGCGGCCTTGCCTCAGCGCCGGGAAATACGTGATGGTGATGGGCCTGGTGGTGTCTTGCAGCCCAGAGCCCACCATCCGAGCTGTGAAGATGACGGACCTTTCAGGCAACCCCCTGCACAGGGACATGTGGCAGCTGGAAGTGGAGGATTTGCATAGGCACGTTTTGTGATGGGAACAGTTTGTCAAAACTGCTTCTCAAAAGAACCCTGGAGGCTGAAGAAGCACCTTTGGAATTATTTAATTATTTTTTTATTTTGCTAAATAAGGTTCCTCTTGAACTTCCTTTAGGAGAACTTGGATTAACCAGCGGAATTTGACCTTGATTCATTTGCTGCAGGTGTGACAGAGCAATGGCGATGGAAATGCTTGCATCCCAACCCCCTTTTTGGAGGAGGGCTGTCGCTGATTCCCAATTAGTCAACTTGGGTCAAGTAACGTTAGCTTATCCAGTGGAGAATGCAGTTGTCACTGCTACGATAAAACATCCACAGTCAAGAATCTGGTTGCAGAACTTTGGGCTCTTCTTTCGGCCTGCACTTTCTCTGTATTACAACGCATCTAATGTTGACTTGCCAATTTCACTACCACTTGCAGTCCAGACATCTGACTTCAGCTGTAACTCCCTGAACTGAACTGCTACATGAAGTCCATGCTGCTTTAAAATACTGTTTCCTCTGCCCCAGGACATATTTGGACTAATGGAGTTTCTGGACAGCTATACACATCTGGCTTCAGGGAGACACTTGCAAGATGGACGAAAGTTACAATAAAAACCTGAGCTATTATCATCTTGATCATCTATGCTGACCATTTTCTGACAGGGGTCAGTGGGGTTCTTAATGGCTCGTGTTTCATGGAATTCAGCATCACAGCTTATGCATAATTGATGTGCCTTGTTTTGGAACTTGCCTTGTTTACTAATGTGTGACTATTGTGAGGTGTGGAGGTAGCTATTAAATAATCCACAATCTATTCCTGATTTTGAGGTAGCACTTTTTCCAAATAAAAGGAATGCAGGGTAGTTGCTGATGCATGCTGCTCTGGGGCATATTGTGTTTCAGCATAGAAGCACATACTAAGCACACATAGTATTTCTACATTGTCCAAATATTAAAGAATCATCTCTTGCCAATTACAGTGGTAGCTCAGGTTACATACGCTTCAGGTTACATATGCTTCAGGTTACAGACTCCGCTAACCCAGAAATAGTGCTTCAGGTTAAGAACTTTGCTTCAGGATGAGAACAGAAATTGTGCTCCGGCGGCACGGCAACAGCAGGAGGCCCCATTAGCTAAAGTGGTGCTTCAGGTTAAGAACAGTTTCAGGTTAAGAACGGACCTCCGGAATGAATTAAGTACTTAACCCAAGGTACCACTGTACTGGATTTAGTTATGCATAGTCCCTCTGGTTTGCTGCGACTCAACAGCATATCATGGAATCGAGTTTCCTTTCACTTCTGATGCTCAAACAAAAATGTTTATATTAACAGGTTTGGAATTGCTGAGTACTATTAACATACAAAGTGGTGGTCAGAGGATACTAACTCAATTTTCTGCAGATTCAATTTCCCAGGTATAGGTTGCACGTGCGTATTTCTAGATATATACTTGGGTTAAAAAAAGAAGAATTCTGGAATAACTCAGTCACAGCATGAGCACTGAATAGTATGGAACAGAAATACAAGTTTTCCAATAAAGATATACTCAAAATAGAGGACATGAAATCTAGTTGCATAGTATTCAAAAGCGTAATCTCTAGGAGATGCAGCTATGCTGTAGTCCAAAGAGATGTGTATAGATTAACTTTTTAGTGCAACCTTTAACTAACAGTTCACCATGTATTATCACTATTATTCTGAGCAGACTGCAGAAAGAGAAGCATGAAACCCTGGCCAAGGCAATCACACTGAATGTATTTAAGTTCATGCAGTAGGTTTCTTTTAAAATGCTCAACTGCTGTGTAATTTAAGGTGGAACTTTATAATGTGTGTGTTTCTCAAATATAACTTTGAATATGGAAGAAATATAATACAAAAAATCCAATTTGTCATTTTCTATAAATTTTGGGTTGCTGAAGGCGCTTATTTTCTCATGCATCCTTGTTTTTGCAGCCCAGTGCTGTTAATCATTCTTAGGTTTTTCAAAGGACAGCGTAGTGTCTACAGAGTATGTTACTCATTTTAAAAAATAAATAAATAAATGGCCCAGGACGAGAAAGTCCACTTCAGTCTACTCTTTACACTGAAGCTCCTGGCTCTTGCAGCAGAGATGCAGAGGCGGGAAACGGGAGCGGGGAAAGGGTTGCGTATATTGTGCAGCAAAGCTTTTCCAGGATGCGAACGCAGCACGTCCCTGGAAACCGGACATATGACAAAAGTCCCCCGTCTCCACGCGATGCCCTTCTGCCAGCCTAAGTATTTGCTCTTTCTATCCTCTAAGCCCGGAGCGGATCCGGGAAGGAAGGCTCTGTGGGCAGGGATAGGCAGATAGGGTGGGAGTGCCTAAGGGTAGCCGCGCCCACCTTCCCGCAGACCCTCCTCTCGCGCGGCGAGGATTTAGGAGGCGGCAGCGGCGGTGGCCTCTGGGTGAGAATTTGCCCTGCTGGGCTTTGGGGGGCGTGGGCGAGGCTGCTCTCGCGGTCTTTGCTCGAGGTGTGTATTCCCTGGGAAATAATAGCTTGCGGGAGGTGGGGAGCCGGTTCGATTTTGGGGTGGGGTCTTCATTCAGGCCCTGCGGTGGGTGAGCGGGGTGAATGGGACGTATTGCGGTGCTGGAGGAGGCGAGGTCGCGATGGGTTGATTCTGGGAAGGAGCTTCATCTCTCGGGGGTTGGCCCTTAGGGGGTGGTCTCCATCCTCTTGTAGGTTACCTGCTCAGGGCGCATGTGTTTTGACACTGGTATCTATGGGGAAATTATGGTGGGAAGCTTGCACTGTAAGTGGCTGTATAGACACTAGGGGTTGACCCTGAGGTTATATGTGCAGAGAAGCCAGTTGTTATACTAGCGAGGCAGGGAACTGAAGAGAGCCTAGTATTGTGAGCAGGGATTGGCCATCGGGTATTTGAAAGCTGCACACCATAGTGCTCTAGACAAGGGAAATGTAGTCTGAAGAGGAAGGAGATGAGTGTATGTCACTGTAGAAGGCTTATGATGAATACATGGGGAACATGCTTTCCTTTGGGGTAACTCTCCTAGGTACATCTATTTATATGAACTATGGTTCATATGTCTTTTTTGCAGTGCATTAAGCATATCCTTCTGTTATGTGACTGGCAGAGGAATGAATGTTTTTTTCTTGTTTTTTAATGTACCTCTTCAGTCACACTAGATTACCCTGGGCTGGTATGCCAAGTTCCTCGGTTGCATTTGTATGTGGCATTTTTCTTTCACTGATTAACACTTAGAAATAATTCATCTTGGCAGGGAAAGGGTGGGGAATGACACACAATACATGGTATTCTGGTGCAGAAAAGCTGTGAGTTAGACACGATCTCTCCCCCCCCCATCCCCCCCTTCCTGGAACACAGTGGTGAAATTGGAACCTTTACTCGCTAGTTATTTGGCAGGATGTAGCAGCAATCAGTTTCTAAGAAGACATATGTAGCATGCCTGATGAAGATCCTGCTAGGTGATCCTCATGTTTTGTGTTATGCTTATTTTAAAAGCTTGCCTTGGCAGTTGTGTCAATATGTAAATGTCATGATTGGGGTGGGGTGGGGCAGGGAGAGCCCTTATGTGGAATAAAAAAGGTAAAGGGACCCCTGACCATTAGGTCCAGTCGTGACCGACTCTGGGGTTGCGGCGCTCATCTCACTTTATTGGCTGAGGGAGCAGGCGTACAGCTTCCGGGTCATGTGGCGAACCAGAGCAGCGTACAGAAACGCTGTTTACCTTCCTGCCGGAGCAGTACCTATTTATCTACTTGCACTTTGACGTGCTTTCGAACTGCTAGGTTGGCAGGAGCAGGGACCGAGCAACGGGCGCTCAACCCATCGCAGGGATTCGAACCACCGACCTTCTGATCGGCAAGTCCTAGGCTCTGGTTTAACCCACAACGCCACCCGCATCTCATTTATGTGGAATAGTAGCCTATTAATCCTGTGTAGAATTGGGCATGCTTAACTGCATAGGATCAGGCTATTGATGAGCAGACCATTCTGCTCACTTTTTGATTTACAGAGCTTCTGCCAGCAGTGGAAGAGGTTGTGTCTTTCCTTTTCTCCCCACAACCTGAATTCAATGAATAATTCATATTAGCCCGAGAGGCCATAAAGTATGGATCTCATAGCATATGGGGTCAATACCAATGTACAGTTGAGTCCCCAGGCTCAGAGCATAAAAGGCCACAAGCATAATAAGAGACATAGTCTCTCCTTTCTACCTAGTATAATTCGATTTTTGTGTAGTCATGTCCCATGTGTAGTTACAGTGGTACCTCAGGTTAAGTATTTAATTCATTCTGGAGGTCCGTACTTAACCTGAAACTGTTCTTAACCTGAAGCACCACTTTAGCTAATGGGGCCTCCTGCTGCTGCCGCACCGCCAGAGCCCGATTTCTGTTCTTATCCTGAAGCAAAGTTCTTAACCTGAAGCACTATTTCTGGGTTAGCGGAGTATGTAACCTGAAGCGTATGTAACCTGAGGTACAGCTGTATTTCTTCCTTCTCCAAACTTCTATGTTTAAATAACACGGTAACTGAGGTGTTTCAATGCATTCAGGATATTACCAGTGAAGTTTATTTTATTTAATATTTTATTAATTGAATTTATATTGCCTATACCCGGGGGTCTCAGGGTGGTTCACAAAATAAAAAGTTACAGCAACGTATGTCTAACAAGCTAATAGTCTTTTGGTCATGCATGCATTCTCTTGGAAGGCAGTTCCCTTTGGAAAGGGGAACAAATCCACTGGGAGTCATTCTCTCCTATTCATGCAGTACATAACATTCTACAGTAAGTATAGACTTGGCACTAGGAATCGGAATGGTTCTTCCGTTGTCCATATACTTGAAATAATAACTTCTAAGTAAGCTATTATTTAAAATAAGTCTTAAAGTACAGTTGATGGTGGAGAAGGTGTTAAAAGACAGAGTTGCTCTTCCTGTTACTAAGACATGCACAAAAAAATCCCACTAGGGAAGTAGTTTGAAGGGGTGATGTGTCAGGAAGGAAGGTTTTAAAAACAAGCATGACTAGCCTGCGCCAAAAGTACAATGTAAAATTGGGTAGATATATGCTTGCTAGTATGTTAAAGGAAAAAGGCTGGTAGCAACGTCCTTTTAGTTTAGGTGATGGTTAAAAAAAGGATTTTCAGCAAGGAGCAGTGCAAAGTTGCAAGAGGATTTCATTTGAGATGGAACCACAGCTGCAACATTGTTGTTGATGATGACAGGGCTGTAGCATGTAGGTTTGGAACATCAGAGAACCTGCTTATGCTGAGCAGAGGAGTTAGGCCCCTAGGAATGCACCTGTAAATACCAGGGCTGGGATGAGGCTTTAGCACAGATTAGTCTTTGACGTAGACGTTATAGGAGTTCGTCTCTCGCTTGGCACACAGGCCAGTAATCAGGAGATCAAATGAGATGGTGGTTTGGTGAGTAGGAGATGAGCAAAGGCTTTTGACTCGGAAGACCAAGAAGTGGTACTGTATACTTAAGCAATCCCCAATTAACTTTTAAGTAGAGGAAGGGTGTTGGTGGCTTTAAGAGTTGGGAATGAAGTTAAGGAAAAGGCCAAGACCAGCTGAGGTACAGGACAGGAGTTGGACAGAGATTGCTGCACACACACAAGTGCACGATTCCAGGACAACTTGTCCAGTGAATGTTCTAGGTGGGAGGAAGCTTCCTCATACTTTCTGCCAAGATTACAGTGGTTTTTGGAGGTTTGAGCCACCAGGCAGAAGCAAGCAAACAAGCAGTTAGGAAACATCACAGAGATCTCACAGGAGCAGGAGTCAAGAATCCAGCAGTGGTTGAACT